TGAACATTTTGGTTTAATAAGTCGATGAATTTAAATTGGGTTACGCTTATAACATTTATTAAATTAGATATTTTTTCTAATCGGCTAACCATTTTTTAGTTAAGATGGTAAACTTTTTGATTATGTCAAAAAACATGTAAACGAGTTCCCTGTTGTTAGTAGAACAGGTTGACGGCCCATTCCACGTCATCAATTCTTTTGAACATTATTAGTTAAAATTATCGTCAGAACCGCTTGATATGAGAATTGAAAACAATTAGATGTTATCCAGCATCAAAAAGTTAGTCCCCATCATCAAGGATATTTCCGAGTAAGTTCGTCATTGCAGTATATTTCACCGTGATTGTCTAAGTATATTTTTATTTTTTGGTATATTAATTTATATTAATAAGTTATTTTTTTTATGTGAAAGATCTTAATTGTGTTTAGAATTGCTTACTTAAATTGATGAGTAGTCAAGATTCCGCCAAGTTGATGTGTTCACTATACAAAGTCACATAAATTATTTAATATTTTTACTTTATTATTTGTAAATCCTCGGTAATTTCAAAATTTTTCTATTTGAAAATTATTAATTTTCTATTGCCAATTAATTGTATCACAGACTTTACTCTTACTCCCATTGCACTTTCGTTTGCGGTTTTCAGTATACGATTTTTTATCGTAGTTACTGAAAATTATTATTGTGAATTATACTTGTGCAGTGATTTGAAGAATTTACAATTTCGTTGAAATTGTTGATTTTTCAAAAAAATTACGAGATTCGCGGAAATTGCGTGCTTTCTTGGCATTTTCCGTTCGCGGCAGGCGGTTTATTTTTGATTGTTGCAAGTGTTTTTGTTTTCTTTTTTATTAAAATAGATAATAATAATGTGAAATAAATCACGATATTTGACAGATGTGCATATATATAGAAATTGTAATAATAATAATATTATATCATAAAATTGTAAATTGTTTCAATTTTTTATAGACTGCGATAAAAGATTTTACATTTGGATAAGAAACTGCGGTAAGTAAAAATATAAAATTCTTGAAAACGTAAAAATATTTGATAACGTAAAAAGGTGAACTTTGAAAAATAAGAAACTTAAAAATTGCACTAATAAATGGGTTATATATATGTGAGCCGTGCGCGGATGTAAGGTGTGTTATATCGAAATTTAATTAATAGAATTGAGAATTAATCCCAATTTTAAGTCTTACAAATGTCCAAGCTAATTTTTTGTACCTCGTGTACATTTTTGAAAGTTATATCGAAAAATTAAATTTTAATATGCGTCTTACATCTCACATTTCGCATACGGCTCACATATAGCCTATTTATCTCTTATACTTTATTTCAACCCTTATAGAAATTTATTACTAGTAACGCCAATTTATTACTTATTTCGAGTAATTAATCACTTTTATTTCGAATACTTAAATTACTGTATATTATAGTATTTTAAATACTCAAAATAAGTGATTAATTGGCGTAGTGATAAATTTCTACAAGAGAATAAGGAGCCTTTAAATTCTTAATGTAAAAAATTTCAAGTAATTTTCTTTAATAAAATTTAATTAAAAAATTTAATTAAAAAATTTTTGAACACTGTGTTATATCACATTTAAAATCGTGATTATTTCAATAAAAAAACATTTTATGTGTAAAAAATATATTTTTTATATTTAATAAATTTTATATATATATATATGCATATATGTAAAATATTCTCTCTCTCTCTCTCTCTCTCTCTCTCTCTCTCTCTCTCTCTCTCTCTCACACACACACACACACACACACACACAACGGGGGCCAAATCTCTCAAATTGGTCTCATGATCAATTAGCCTGGATTCGCACCAGGGGCAAAGTCTGTTGGTAATGTCAAACGAATTTAGCCTGGACTTGCACCAGGGGCAAAGTCTTTTGGTCGAATCTACGAAATTTAGCACGGACTCGAACCAGGGGCAAAGTCTTTTGGTTCAAGTCTACGAAATTTAGCACGGACTCGAACCAGGGGCAAAGTGTGTCGGTAAGGGGCAAAGTCTATCGCACGAAGATGGCGGTCTCTTCTTTAGGCAGGCCTTTGGCGATCTGTCTATTAATCTGTGACGGAGCATAGCACCACGTAACACCACGATATATGTATGCATATGTAAAATGTGTATAGCATTCCGAAAAAACACATTCGGCACGTGTTCGTACAGATTATATATCATCGATGCCTGCACTTATTCCGATGCATCGCGTCTAGGTATTTGTTTATCGCGATCGAAGATCGCAAAATTAGATTGTTATCGCGATTCAATAATAATAATAATAATAATATTTACTTCGTAACTGTATCTGACATCCGTGTCAAACTCTGTCAGATGCAATTTATAATATCCAGGCCATACAGACATTATTTATTTGATCCAGAAATACCTTCTTTAAACTCTTCAAGAACACGATTTATCACACACTGAATAAAAAAATCTCATCTGGAAATAGAAAGCATTTTGTAATGAATGAATATGAATGTAATGTACACACATATGATGATTTTTTGTCAACAAAGAATGAAGGAAAGGACGAAATCTAATTGGTTGTGCCATCTTGTTATTAGGATACGAATGAGCAACGTGATTGGTGATTTAGTAACAATATGGCTGATACTTCAGTGTTGCCCTCAAATGTTCCTAGATTTGATCGAATGTAGTCCAATGTAAATCCGTGGTTTTGTATTTATCTGGTGGTTATCTTTTGCCATGCTCTCTCTAACCTAGTTTAAAAACAAGTTTAATTTTTCGTACGAGAAACTCTTAAAAAAAACAAGTTTAATTTTATATAAATTATTCAAGTTTTGCTCTGTGATTCCAAATATTATTTCTATATTTTGTTATTGAATTTGATATTTATAAATAATGAAAATATGATATCATGCACATTACAAGAATAACTGGGTAAAAATGTTGTTATGATTTTTATACAAGATTATGTAAATAGAATATAGAAATGTATAAAGATGATAATAGAATTGATAATAGGATTCATAATTGTATGAAGTGTATTTCTAAAGAGATTATATGTACAGTTCAAATATTATGCAAATTTACCAAGAAATTATATATTATGATAAAAACATTGAAAAATAACAAAAGTATTTTTATTTACAGTAAATGAGATGCTGAAGGAATATAAGCATTTATCTATTGAAAATTTTTCGATTAGTTTTTTGTAACAATACAGAAAAGTAAATAATTCAAAATGTTTGGTTTAGTTTTAAAGCATCCCATCATTTTTAAAGCTTTATTAACTGAAGCACAATCTACTTGTGGGATGATCCATAAGTGTTTTATATATGATAAAAATATATTTTTATCTGCATCAACTGTTAGAACATTTCTAACACAAAGCATAAGGTAAAATATAGTGAAATATTTCAATGTTAAAGTATATTTTTATGAGAATAATATACATTTGATATTTTAGTCATCGTTCTTATATTAAAAACTGTACAATAAAATTAATATTTATGTAAATATACAGGATGTTCTTGGACTAATGTTACTTCTTTACAAATGGAATAAATCACATTACAAAAAAATGCTGAATATTTTATCTATCTTTATATATATATAATAGATAAAATGATTTAATTGTTATAAAAATTAAATTTATATGTGTATAGATAGCAAGTAGCAATAATTTCAAAAAATATCTTGTATATTTAAAATAAAGTTTGAACAAAATAGCAATTTTACTATCTTATAAAATAACAATAAGTTATAAAAATACACAGATCATTTGATGGATTAAGGCAGCCAGTAAGTTTTCTTAAACCTAACAAATCGCCACAAAGTCTGATAGTACGACATCAACAAGAAATAAAAACCATATTGGATGTGAATACAAATGTACGGAATAATGTACTTTTATATAAAAATGAAAGTAATAGACATTTTTGGAATATACGACTTTTTGCATTTGGGCAGTTATTGGTTGGTCAATATTGGCTCTATATACTTATACACCAAAGTTCTTTGATATATTTAAAACTGATGTAAAAATTAAGGAGTTTCTACAGAAACATTTCATACGGTTTGGTACATTTGTTTTCTCAATTTTTGCAGGTAAGACATTTTTTACTTTTTTTACAGTAAAAATTTACTTTTATATGGAAACATATAATTTAAAAAGATTTAAAAAATTAGCAATATCTTATTTTAAATGCAGTTTTTGTTGTATATATTTTTATAAAATAAAGTAGATAAGTTTTTACTCTATCTTTTCTAGAATGATGTATTTGTTTTATAGGTCCTATCACATTTGGTGTTATGTATGCTACATGTTCTCGTAACATCAAGTACATTATCTTAAATAAAGGTGGCAAAACACTTTCACTTTTTACTTATCATTTATGCAAAAGAAAACTCAACACAATAACTGTACCAATAGGAATGGTAAGAATAAATTGCATTATTTAAAATTATAGATATACTATATTAATTTTTGAGATAAATTATGATAATATATTATAAGGTCAGCAATATAAAGATAAAAAACAAAATATTTTTATTTTATTTTTTTAAGGCAAAATGTACTTCACCTCGAACAGGAGTTACTGGAGTATGTATACCACTTAAAGTAAAAAACAAATCTTTTTATTACTTGATTGATAAAAGTGGCACATTTGTAAATCCGACTCTTTTTGATTATACAACAGCAAATTAGAATATTTTAACAAATACGTTTTTGTTATGTTAAAATCGTTATTTTAAATAATAGTTATAATTAATAGAGTATGATCGTGTATACAAGTACACACACATACATATGATGATATATAAAATGTGTAAAAAATGTATATGTAAATATGTATACAAATGTAAATATATATACTTTAATATACTATAAATAATCAATTAGTTTGTATAGATGTAAATGTATCGATATGTTAAATTAAGACATACTAATATTAAGAAGGTTATCTTGAAAAAAATTACTTTTTTTACAGATTATTTATTGATACAAAAGAAGTAAATTTACAATTTGTATTTTTCCAAAAGAGGAAAAAGATGTTAGTACAATGTCTATATATACAAAATTATAAGTAATATTTTATTGCACCGAGATTAGTTTTTTTATTTATCATTGGTATCCAAAATACTTTATAGAATTAAAAAAGAGGCAGAGTGAGTGAATTTTACTTCAGTTAATAGCATTCTTTATATTTTATAATCAATATCTTTGATTTTGTCTGCCATAATACTTTCCTGAATATTTGCTATATCGGTCACTATAGCCATCATCCTGATATTTGTCTTCTGCTTTATAATAAACTTCTGGTGCTGTAGAACCAACACGACCTTGCCAGTAATGGGTCCAATATAGATCTTCAGGATTGATATCATGTGGGTGTTTAGCATTTTTGAATACATGTACACAATACACAAGACTGCCAATCAGTGTTAAAAATCCAAACACCAGAAATACTATTCCTAAGATCCTAAAAGGAATATTACATTGTGTTATAAAAAATTCTATGTACATATATATAAAACAGACACACACATGACATATATACAAACTGCTCAACTTCATTATATATAATTTTCTACATTCTTCTATTTGATTAATAATAATAGTTATTTGAAATATAAAACAAAATATAAAAACGGTTTTTATTTAATTAAAATAATTATATTTATTAATTTTAATATAGAATCTTACATATAAATCATGTGAAAATATAAAAACAGTACTCTTACCAAACAACTAATGGTTGGAAGAATTGTATGACAATGACAAAGCCCAGAGTAACCAGGATCAAGCCGAGATTAAGAAGTAACATAAGGCAACAAACACCTTTGGTGTTTGGGCAGAAAGGATTGGGTGTCGACATAGTTTCCACAACTATACCACCTTTCCGTGATGTACGAGTTTTCACTGTCGAAGTGCCTGATCTGCCGGAACCATAGCTGTAGTGACTAGGCGCTCTGTGATCCAATCTGGAGCTTGGTGCTAAACTATGGCGTGATATCCGACTGCATATAACAAGGTACATTTTTACATTGTTTATATTATTTAATATATCATATATTCAAATTGGAGAACAACCTTATGTCGGAAGTGGCTCTATATGCAGCACTGGTGACATATATATCTGAACCATTGTCACAAATGCTGCCGTGTGAGGCACTTTTGCTAAGCTGATGTAAACTATGTTTCGAAGATCCAGACAATACTGAATCGCGAGTATTGTGCGCGCTTCTGGATCTTCTGTCTTCTCTATCATATTTGTCTGCGTGATTTTTTTTATTGGTTTTACCTGAAAAAAATTGAAATTATAGAGATAATATATGATGTATTTATTAGGATCACAAATATGTAATATGTTTTAAATTGAGAAAAAATATTTTTTGCTATAAATATCTTACTATGGTAGTATGTTCGTTGGCAACGATATACTCAGACACGGTGCGATCTGAAGGAGCTCTATGACTCTCTTCACCATCTGTAATATAATCACGATTTGTGTTAATGTGATAACCAGCATATCTAGAATTATGCATTTTGATGTCTATGTCAATGCACTCGTATAAGAATATTAAAGATAAATATATGATTGATCAGTCAACATTCGCGTTTAGAGCTCATCTAAAACAGAAATACATTTATTTATATATGTCAATGATTTATTAGAAATTATAATTATTGAACAATAAGGAATAAAATATTATGCTTACTGTGAGCATGCAATATATGATAAAAAGTATTTTCTCTAATATGTATATTGCATTTTAAAAAAGATTGATTCATACGCGTCATTTATGCTGCATCAATCTACAACAAAAATACTTTATAATGTTACTGCAAAAGAAATCAAAGTTATATTCAAAATTATAATTTCAAAAGAATTTTTATATATCAGAGTATTTATGTGTCGCTAGTGAAGAATAAATTAAGAAATTATTATAACGACTCAACTGGCTTTAATCTTCTTTATTAATCAACACTTCATAAAAATATAATCAGACTACGTTTCGACCTTTGGTTTAAGTCCTTTTCAAGTCTCAAAATTTAAAAAACTAAAACTTTCACATAATAATTCTTTGTGTACAAAGAAAGTCAACTGAACTTTCCATAAGAGTGGTAAGGAACAACTTAGTTCGTTCCTTACCACTCTTACGGAAAGTTCAGTTGACTTTCTTTGTACACAAAGAATTATTATGTGAAAGTTTTAGTTTTTAAATTTTGAGACTTGAAAAGGACCTAAACCAAAGGTCGAAACGTAGTCTGATTATATTTTTATAAAGTGTTGATTAATAAAGAAGATTGAAGCTAGTTGGGTCGTTATAATAATTTCTTAATTTTTATATATCTTCATTTTTATAATTTCGTTCATTTAGCAATATTTGATTTCAACATCTTTTTTAAAAATGCCAGTATAATTATAATTCTTTCTACACAATTAATGAATACAGATTTATTAGGTGTGGCATATATTCCTTTAAGTATACTGCCCGCGCATATATTGATTATAAAACATTGCTTTATCATTGGATTGTCTCTCAATCGTAGGCAGTGCTAGCAACGCATACACCTTGTTGGGCAAATCCTTATTTAGTACGATGATGTCATTTGGCAAGGACATTTGTGCAACATCTTCGATCGACAATGCGCGCGGCAATACCCTTCGCCTCCGATTATTCTTCGCGACTCTTTCAAGGTAATACTTTATCAATCGTTTTTCGCAATAAATTATCATATTTTTAATTACATCCTTATTAATTAAGTGCACACATTTATAAAATCATTCTTTTTATCATAAAAAAAAATCATAATCTCATTTTTAAAAAGTAACTACAAAAAATTGATTTATAATTGTAACATGTTACGATACAATATATAATCGAATTTAATACAGATTTTTTATACGAATTTAATATCTAATATTTTATAAAGAAATGCTTTGAGCTCTATAAAAATAGATATATGAATTGCAAGAAATTTAGTTCTCCGAAATTTTCCAAATCAAAAATTAATTTTAATATTTTTTTTTTTTTTACTAAATATGTTTAAGCATTATTAATATTCTTTTTAGTTTCTTTCCTAAAGCAAGACGATTGATAAAGAAATTAATCCCTATTAATTCTCTTTAATTTGCTTGTGTTTCATATAAAAAAAATTCGCAGTGGATGATTTTAATACTTAATAGATTGTAGTCTGAAATGCTAAATGTATTTATTCTTCTCAACTAACCGGTTATTAAATTCCTGCTCTTTGCGCGTTATAATCTCATGTCGCTTTTAAATATAAACTTATATTCTCTACACATAACGAAGCGCGCAGGCGCCACAAATCCAATGCAACCTGTGCGCGCAATATTTCTTTCCTTAATGCTGAGAGATCCCCGAGAAAAAAACCATTAATGAAAAAATATCGCGCCAAGCTCTTCGTGCGTATAGTTTTGTGTAACATCAGATCGCTGATCGCTGATCACTGATCGTTGATCAAGCGCGAATACCAAGATTCCATTCCGATGTATTTGTACCAGCTCTTCGAGAAGAGACCGGTTGCTGTACCTTGTCATTCGCTTTTTGGAGAGAGATTATCTTCCTTATTCTATCGATCCTTATCCGCGGATGATTCCTCTTCTCGTGGAAACACGCTGGTCGAATCTGGATCCTCGCGATGACATATCGATGATCGCTCGGTTTTACACGAGAGTATTATTCACAGCCTCTGGTTCATATCTCATGCTTATTCTCTCTTTTCCTTCTCAAAATTGCTCGTATGTACACACTTGTTCGAAGAGCACTCGCGACTCGCGACGACGATTCCAGCGTCGTTCGCGCGGACCAGCAGCGTCGCGCATCGCGCGTTCTCCTCTCAGACGAGCTGATTCGATCAGATGAGTCAAATCTCAGAGATGCAAAATCGTCACAAAGTCTTGGATCTTCTCAGCTCTCGTCTCCGCTCCTGTCTCCGCTCACACCGTTGGAATCACTGGAACGGTTGCTGCTCCAACTCATGAGCGAAAGGCGCATTCATCGTACGGTTTTCCACCACGCTTCTGCAACACCTTTAAAAGGCGAGCTCAGGTGTATACTGTGCTTAGCGCACTTCTTACATTCTCCGCCCGCGATTGCTCTCGATCGTCCCGCCCGTCTGCGATTTGTTCTCCCACTCTTTCTCGTCTCCTCCTGCATAAATTAAATAATATGAGAAAAAACTGAATTGCAACAGAATTTTTATTTCGAAATATTATTTCAGAATTTTATAGCATTTAAATGCGTAATATAAAAGTACAGATTATGCTGCTAAAGTGATATTTTAATTGAATAAATAAAACTGGAATTTTAATATTGAGTTAATGTATCTTTTTTTATGTAAATGTGTGTATCCCAGCAAAAAGTCAAGACGTCTTTAAGCTTTCTTTTAAAGACGTGCTATTTTATTAAATATTTTTGTGTTTAGAAGAATATATATAGCTTGTCTTTAGTACAAATAATATACATATGAAATGAAAAATAAGATAAAAAATAACCGAACATTTTTGCATAATCAATTGTGTGTTTAGTTTTTGTGTTTTCTAAAAAAATGAGAATTATATTTTTTCTACAATAATTTAATTAAAAAATATAAGAATTCATGAGAAAATTCATATAAATTCATATATATATATATAGTTTCTTTTTTATAATATCTGTACATTTAGGAAAAATAATAAGAATAAAAAAATAATTTAAAAAATAATATTTGCACTTTTTTTAAGTTAGATTTGAAGAAATTAGAAAAGATTGTCTACATATAATTATACATATATATAACAAATTTTTCTTATTTCTATAAATTATATCTTTTTAATTATTTTTTAATTATTCTTTTTCCTGTTTATAAGAACATATATAGATTATACAATATAAGAGGCAAATGAAAACATATATATATATATATATATATATATATATATATATAAACATCACATATTTCATATATAATTCTATATATATTTGTATAGTTTATACATGTGATCATATGTATATACATATAGATATTTTTCTCCAAGAAGTCCTAATATCTTAATTATTCCCGAAATTAGAAATATAATTAGACTTAATGGGTGCATTCGTTTATGCAGTGACTGCCGCAGAATGCCGCAAATGTCGTTCGTTTACTCCACCTGCGCAACCGACTGCAGCGCAGTTTGTTGTTCGTTTAAGCAGAGCTGCTGCCTATCTGCGCAGCCATCTCGGAGGTCCTGCTTAGGATGCCTTGCTCGCAGTACTGCGGACTACTGCGTAAACGAATGTAGTCTTCTCCATTGTTAAGCCAATTGAACTTGGAAACGTTGCCTGAAAATTATTTCAATTATGAGGTATGTTATAAAAGTTCAGAACAAAGAAGGTGGAGAATAACTCCTCCAAACCCAGGGAGAAATGGCATGTTGAAAAGACGTCGAATCGATGTCTTTTATATGCGTCTAAGTAAGATCTAATTTGACGTCTATATAGACGGACAAATCTTTGAATTTCGACACCATCTAGACGTTAATATAAACGTCTATAAAATGTCTAATAGACATCTAAATAATTGATGTAACGGCTGTATTCAGCAGAAAAAGTAGCGTTGCAAATGTTGTAAAATTGATGAATCTAATAATGGCGTATAATTGGCGTATGCTTTTAGTTTTGACTAAACCTAAGCTCATACAATACTCAAATTCAATAATTTTACAACAGACACTTCTACTTTCTCTGCTGCGAACGCAGGCAATAAGTGCAGTATTACGTACACCATTCAGTGAACATTTTATTTTAATTCTAAGTATATTTTTATTGTAAAATATAGAATAATGTAATATTCTAATCAAAACAAATTGCTCAGTAAATATTCATTGAATTGTAATATTGGATGCATGCAAATATATTTTCTTTAGAAAATTTACATTACCTTTTTAATTTACGAATGAAAAAAATAGAACCAACACTAAAATTATTTGGATCTTGGTATTTAGATTGTTATACATATATTTATATAATTGAAACTGAAAGGATGGAAAAGACACTTTAGAAAATAATTTTATATGTATTATTAACCTTATATCTATTTTTTATTAATATGTATTGGACAATTTCAATACAGGATAATCTTTGTTGACATACTGAAAACTCCAGTATATGCCATCTTATCGTGTCTTGATATATATATATTATAAATATATATATTTTATATATGTATATATATATACATTCTTTATTAGTGTACATATATATTCTACATATACATACTTCAACTAAAAACTTTTATATGTAATAATTCAAATCAAATTTAAACCTGACAATGTCTTATCAGTTACATAAATAAAAAATAAGACAAATAATATTCAAAATAAAGCAGCAATATCAAAAATACAATAACAAAATAAAAATGACATAAGACTTCGCAAATTGCACATGAATAGAGATCATATTTCACATTCAAGAAAAAAAAATAATTAATTGCATTTTATGACGAATATTAAATGACCTCTTCCCTTTTAATGGGAAACCTCCCCCGTGCTAATTTGTATCGAGAAAAAGACCTTGTAAAGAGTCGTCTAAGAATAATAAGATATCACAACGCAATATTCTCGTATGCGAGCACTTTTTACCTCTGCTTTTCTTATACATTAGATTCTGTTAAAAATAAAAAAAATGAAATTGCACATTTTATTGCTTACGCCCAGCAGCGTTTCGTAGCCAATTTCTGACTGCATTTAAGGCATCTTCCAAATCACTGGTAGGAAATTTTAATAGCATAACTCCTAGAAAAAAAAGAAATATTTATGAATTTTTTCTACAATAAACTTAAGATGAAACAAAATATTGAAAAGAAGATAAAATACCTTGAAATAATTCCCATAGTTTCAGTTTCTTAAATGGCCTTTTATTAACTTTAGCCTTTTGAGGATTATGACCATCAAAGTTGAATTGTTTCGCTAAGGAATTAGTCATCAATTTGGTCATAAGTTTTGATGCTACAATTTTTTCATTATCACCTAACGGTTTTGTAGCTTTTAGGTAAGATGTGAAACAATACTCTCAATCTACGAAGTAAATCATTTAACTTCTTCATAGATAACACACCTCCTTCAAGAGCCCACTCCCTCAATGTTTTTAAAACATAGCGTCCTCTCTGTTCGTCATTTTCAAATTCAATCATTAAATCATCATTTTCTTCATCGTTACTATATCTGTTAGCATCATTAATTTCAACACTTCCTTCGCTGTCATTATTCTCATCTTCAAAATGTAATTCACTGTCATTGTCATTATTATAATTATTGTTATCATCCATATTTTCATTTTCAAGTTGATCGATAGATGCATCAGATTCTGTTGATACTTCAGAATTTGTTTCTAATAAAGAAATATCTTCAATCCCTGGAATGGGCAGCATTTCATTATTCTCTTCATCGGATGAAACCTTTTCATTGGATGAAACCTCTTCATCGGATGAAACCTCTTCATCGGATGAAGCCTCTGTCTTGTAGACAGTAGTAATTCGATTTCTTAAATCGTCCAATTTTCTTTGATTCCTACATTGCCTAACTAATTCATTAATTATTTGCTTGTTCGTATTTCTACGACGATTCCTACTTTCCTATGATAGATGTAAAAATAATACAAGAACAACATCAGTACTAAAATATATTGCTTATACTGCATTCACAATAATGTTATGTAATAAATTTTGATAATAAACTTTAAATAAATAATAGCAAAAAAGAAGCAATAGTGACAATATTATTATTAATAATTCCGTATATGTTGAGGTTAGTTAAAGAGTGAGTTAAAGAAAAGTGTATATATAAGAGCATACAATATTTTTAATTAAATAAATCAAAATAATTTATTAATATATATATAAATTATGAACTATTTATATGAAAATTGTAATTTATTTATGAAACAATTATAACCTACAGACGACTTGAGGCACAAAAGTAAAAAGTAGATTATTAAGAAATTATAAATTATGAAGCACTTACCGGTGGACTTTCACTCATTTTTGTTGGTGATGACTTCTTTATTAGAATAGCAATCGATCCAGCAGACTTATTCTGTAACTTTTAACGCATGCGTTATAACTATAATTCATTTGTTAACCATGAATTCGTCGACGATACGACGACTAACGCATGCGTTACAGTTATAACGCATTTGTTAAAAGTTACAGAATAGGCCTCCAGAAGAACAAATATTATCACAAGCACAGTTCAACATTCAACGAACTTCAACGAATGATCATCGATCACGGAACAATAACAGAATGAGTTCGTTAACTCGTTGCGTTAAGTTGGTACCATATTTAGTCGCAAGGCGGTGTCGCAACTCGCAACTTATCTTTTATACGACAGTTAAATCAAAATAAGCGTTATCGAACCAATCATTTAAATAATTAAAGTTATATTTTCATATAAAGTTTCCTCATACATAATTAGTAAATATATATATATAATATATATATAATAATTAATTTACCTTTATTTTTATAATTAATTAATATATTACACACACAAAGAGAAATTATACAACACAAATAAAAAAAATATATATATATATATATATGGATCACATATATATTTTATATATAAATTTTAATATATGTTTTTTTACATGAAAAGTATTTTATTATGGATTAAAATGAAATGTTTATTGATGTCTGGCCTGATTGTTTTAGCAAATAATATCGACGTCTAGTCGACGTCTAATTTGAACTGAAAAAGTTATAGACGTTATTTACGTCTAATCGACGTCGATCCGATTTCTTGTTTCTCCCTGGGAATAGATCCTACAAAACTAAAAGTAATGCAAGGTAAGTAATACAATAAAATTATGAAGTCTGTTAATTTATATTTACAATCCAATTAACTTAAAAATGCACTTTTATCAAGAATATAAATTTAAAGTAATCTGTTTAAAAAAAATGTGCTTTGTATAAAGATGCAATTCTGTTACAGTCATTCCTAGCTATCAAGCTACTTCGTCCCCAGTAAGTTTGGAAAAATCTGAGAAGTCTACATTCAGCAACATTTCAATCCTACCGTCATCACTGTCTAAAAATGTTATGTGCACACGTCATATGTCAGAACCTTCAACCTATTTAAAAATTTTATTATATTTATTCAAATAATAATTCATATTTAATATAAATATGATGGTTTCTAAATCGGCCTAAGAGCCATAGCACGAAAAATTACGAAAATTAATTATTCGGAACTGTATCTCTTGGTACGAGATTACTAAAGTTCCATATATTAATTAACCTCGAACTTACATATGGAGAAATAGGCGCGAAAAATATAGGTCCAAAAAGTCGCTGAAGCGGGAATCGAACCCGCGTCTTTCACTTTCCGGGCGACTGCTCTTACCACTAATAGCTATTTAGACTTTTCGGACCTATATTTTTCGCGCCTATTTCTCCATATGTAAGTTCGAGGTTAATTAATATATGGAACTTTAGTAATCTCGTACCAAGAGATACAGTTCCGAATAATTAATTTTTGTAATTTTTCGTGCTATGGGTCTTAGGCCGATTTAGAAACCATCATATTTATATTGTTTATATTGAGAGCCGATAAAAAATATTTATTTCTAAGTTAATTCATATTTATTTAAAATTTCTTTACTTACGCACTCCAATTACAATCTGAGCAGTCAATTCACGCAGGTGATCGTTCGGTAAATGATGTCACGTGACTCGCAGATAATAGACGCAATGGATGCGCAGTGGATGCGCTAATCACTGCATAAACGAATGCACCCATTTATTTTGATATGGTTATGTAATATAGATCAAACTAAAAACTTATTAAAATTCAATTTATATAATAATTACATCTCTCCAATAGTAAAAAAAAAACAATTCCTAATTGTATTTGTAAATTAATTATATTTTTTTCGAACACTTAATATTGCGAAAGATTATTTTCGATAATTTTATCACATCCTTTTTTTCATTGTATATATATACGTTCAAATACATTTTTGTGATTCAATTTTAAGAATTTATTACCTTAACATTTCTGATATACGGCAGATTACGGTCATGTTTGGTTATCGTAATCTTATTTAAATATTCGTGTATGACAATTAATTGTAAATAATTAAACTACATATGTTTACTAATTTTTCTAATATACATACACGAGTCATGTTATTTTTCGGATTTTTGAGTCATAATACATGAATATTTAGACACGCGACTCCTAAGCCACAAAAAAATCATTAAAAAAAGTTCACATTGCATCCGACAATCCGAACCAATAGGAGATCTAATTTCCTAGGGACAAAAATGGCGTGACTTCGAACGTAGACTTTTTATTGGACAGACCACCTCGCGTGTCGAAATTCCACGCTTCTCTTCCTTCGCTCGACGAGAGAGGGCAGCACCCTATCGCGTATAAGCTCGTCCGGTTAGCCAGCGTGCCGCATCCGCATCTCCGAGGCTGCTGATGACTGACTGTCGGGTTGAAGAGCGTTGCACACGATCGTTGCACCGCGTGCATCGTGATTGACATCAGGACTGACTCGTCGTAGACTGACTCCCCCTCAGCCGAGCGGGATTATGAATTGACGCGATCCCGGAGAGTCCTTCGCCGTTTCTACGCGGCCCCGTCAAGCTCCGTCTCGAACAACGAGCTCGCGAGAGGTGAGTAGCCGCGTGCGGATTTTCCCGATGTTGAGAGAGAGAGGCAACAAGCTGCTCCCTCGTCGCCGCGTGTTCGCGGCGAAATAACCATCCGAGAGCGCAAAGATTCGACGCGGAAAAATATATTGGAACTCGCGATTTGGAGTTGCGGAAATTTCCTCTCTATCTTTCGTCCTTGGTGTCCTTGATGCGCGAAATTTCCTTCGCATATTTATACCGGTAGAAATTGAAAACATATCTTCGGATATCTTGCATCAGCTTCGTAAAAATTGCACAAGATGTGTAATATATATGTCGAAACTAGTAATACAGAAAAATAGTAATTTTTGTAGTTTTCAGTAGCTTTAAATAAATAAGCTCTTAGCTTTAAAATTATTTATTATTTATTAATATTATTATATAATTATATTATTAATGATATAGGAAAAAATGATATGAAACATTTCATGCTTGAATTGTTTTATATCTATATATCTTTAATAACAAGAAATCATCTAGTACTATATATGCATGACTATTACTAATTAATTCTGAAAGAGATATTTAAATGAGACAGTTTCTTACATGTTAAGTAATACACATATGCTGTCTGCTACATATGGAAATAAATAATCCATTTTATCCTTTTATTTATTTTTTATATATTTTTTTTTTATTTGATAAAATTGTCTGAGAAAATAATTATTAAATTATTATAACAAGCATTATTTATTATATCTTAATTAAACGTTGAGCGAATAAAATATTGAATAATTCTTGTCTCTTATTCTAGTGCATTAGATAGGAATGGAGTTTGGAGTGGGCGATGTCGCCCAGATATCGGCGGAACTGGCCCGAGTGGTCGAGGTAATAATGTCACCCAATATATCTCAGCAGCAACGCCTGGAGGTGTACAATGCTTGTGAAAGATTCAAGGAATCCTCACCACTATGTGCGCAATGTGGCTTATATCTGGCGCAAAGATCCCCGGACAGAAGCTCAGTAGTGCGTCACTTTGGTCTACAACTAATGGAACACTGCGTGAAGTATCGGTGGACTCAAATCTCGCAGTCAGAGAAGATCTTCATCAAGGAAAATGCAATGAAATTACTTCAAGAAGGCACTGAGCCATTGCTACAGGAAGAGGCGCACATAAAGGACGCATTGTCGCGGGTGGTAGTCGAAATGATAAAGCGAGAGTGGCCTCAGCAGTGGCCAACTCTGCTAGCTGAGCTCAGTCAGGCCTGTACGCAAGGTGTGAGTCAGACCGAACTGGTCTTATTGGTCTTTCTTAGACTGGTGGAGGACGTGGCGCTCCTACAGACACTCGAATCCAATCAGAGGAGGAAAGACATATATCAAGCATTAACCACGAATATGGCAGAGATCTTTAATTTCTTCTTGAGATTAATGGAGCAACACTTTTCGGAATTTCAGAAGAAAAGTGCCTTAGGACAGACATCCGAAGCTGAAACACACAGTAAAGCCGTTCAAGTAAGTTTTTTGTAAGATGGCAATTCATATTTTAATTAATTCTAATATTTGTCATTTTATGTTTCTAATGTTATTATGTAATTGTATTATAACAGATAGTACTGACCACGCTAAGCGGATTTGTTGAATGGGTTTCTATAAACCACGTGATGGCCGAGGATGGAAGATTGCTGCAAATATTGTGCCTCCTGCTGGGTGATCCTATATTTCAATGTTCTGCCGCCGAATGCCTGCTCCTGATTGTAAATCGCAAGGGCAAAGCCGAAGATCGAAAGCAGTTGATGATCTTGTTTTCGGAAGAAGCTTTGAGATTTATTTATACGGCAGCTACTGCACCACCGCCTCTCGCTGGACCTACGAATTTCCACGAGAATCATTATCTGTTTCTGAAGAAGCTCACACAAGTAAGTTTCACGATAATTGTGTCAATTAATACTGCATCGATTTCTTTTTGACAAATTAAAAAAAAATACTCATTGTTTATAATGATTATTATTTCAGGTACTGACAGGCATGGCGACACAACTGTGCACTTTATGGGGAAAAGATGACGCCTCCAGTATACGTCCAACACACTTCAACCTCTTTCTGGACACTGTACTCACATTTACCATGTACTCGAGTCTTACGCTTACGCATTTAGCGAATACAATCTGGGTGATGCTATTCAAGCATGAACACATCAAGAATGATACGTTATTGTTGACGTACGTGCCTAAATACGTAGAACACACGGCGCCCAAGCTAATTCGTGTTGCATATCCATATGGTAGACAAAGCAATGGCATGACCACATACTGCCACGTTGATTACGACTCGGAGGAGGAATTCAACGTTTTTTTGCATCGTTTTAGAATGGATCTGTTAGAGGGATTTAGGCACGCGACTATGGTAGCGCCCTTAGTGACGTTTACATACGTGCAACAATGGTTGACCGCAAAAATTACCAAGGGTATGGCGAATCTGCAGTACAAGAGTGATCAGAATGATCGAGAGTACCTCGAGTGGGAGGCTCTTGCACAGGCATTGGACTCCGTTGTGTCTAGAATCTTGTTGATCAATGAACGGCCGAGTGTACAGACCGGTTTGCAGTTGTTGGAACTTTGTCTAGGTTACACTCCACAGGATCCTTGGCTACTATCAGCTCTGTTATCTTGCATAAGCGCGCTGTTTGTGTTCCTTTCGATGTCGACCGGCTCAATGAGCATGCCGGGCGTCGCTATCCTGCCGCGCGTCCTTGAAAAAATCTTTGCCGCATTGGTGTTCGAAGCACCCAACGAAAATGAGCGCAATCGCTCGCGTGCGACCAAAAACGTACGACGACACGCCGCTAGCCTCATGGTTAAGATCAGTCTCAAGTATCCGTTGCTGTTGCTGCCGGTATTTGAGCAGATACATACCATGGTGCGCAATCTGACACGAGAACCAAGTCCGTTATCCCGAATGGAGAGTGTCATGCTGTACGAGGCGTTGCTCCTTATCTCCAATCACTTCTGCGACTACGAAAGGCAGAATCGGTTCGTCGCGGAGGTGATTGGCGACGCGTCCAACAAGTTCATCACAATGGGCGAGGAATGGTTCAAAGGACCGCCAGAATTTATGCAATTCGTGGGATTGGATAGACTACCAGTGGAGAACATGCTCGAGGATCCGGCCAGATTCAATCGCAGTGATCTTATGATGTGCATTTGTACCGTTTTAAGTGTAGTCAAGCGATGCTCTATTCCAGAGGACCCTGACCGCGCGGCAAGGGGTGGCTTCGTTGCTGCTCTCAGCGAAAGTGGTAATCCGGTTTACCGAAATCCCGCCGCACCCCATGTAATTCCTATCTTGCCAACGCTCTTCGCGCTGCTGCGAACGATGAATGCTCTCTTCACTCCTGCCGCTCTCGCCGTTCTTTCGGAGGTAATATAATTAATATTAATATATACTATTAATAATACTATTATAATATTAATATAATAACATTAATGATATTATTAAATAATACTATTAATATTACCCTAATGCTCTATTATTAATATTAATAATACTATTAAAATATTCAAAGTTTTTTACTTTAAATATATTTTTATCCTAGGGCTACAAAAATGCTTATGGACTTTTGGAATCGGAAAAAGCGAATCTGTTGGGCGTAAATGTGACCAATGACAATACTAGTGAGACGGATCAAACTTCGAGTACTTCTCTAGTCCGAATGCAATCATTTATTAGCACAATTCACGATCAGTGCTATCATATGCTGGGCAGTGGCTGTCATATGATTGGTCGAGATTTCTATCAGTTGCCCGGATTTGCATCAGCATTGCTCAATTCAGTTTTCTCGAATATGGAGGTAATTTAAGAAAATATTTAATTTTATCGATAATCTTTTAATTTTCATAAAGCTTCGTATTACATGTATTCTCTTAAACAAAAATTTAAAAAATTATTTTTTCTCAGGTAATTCCAGACTACAGACTGCGTCCGATTATACGTGTGTTTATGAAACCATTTATATACTCGTGCCCGCCAGCTTTTTATGAGAGCGTACTAGTACCTGTACTGGCTCACGTATCTACACATAGTGAGTGTGATTATAAGTTAATTTTTTTTTATTTGCTTATTTTATTTATATATATTTTATTTTTTTATATTAAATATATAACTATATCATTATGTATTTTATTTATTATATTATTTTTATTTATATATTAATTTTATTTTTTATTTTATTTTTTGCTTTCCGTCATCAAGCAAATTTAAATAATCTAAGTTGTGTGATATTGTTTCAGTGTGCCAAAGATTAAGTGCAAAGTGGCAATATATTGCGCATCTGTACGAATCCGGTGGTCTAGACGAAGAGAACACCGACACACAGGAAGTCATCGATGATATGCTCAACAGAAATCTGACGAGAGACTTCGTGGACGTGTTAAAAGTGGCTCTAGTCGGTGGAGCCGCTAGCGACGCTGCGCCTCCAGACATCATGGATCAGGATAGCGGAGGAATGGCAGTGGATCCACCTCTTTCACGAGGAAACAGCATCGTCGCTGAGGTCGTCAGCGAACTGGGGGCTTTCGTTCTACGTCATCCATCTACCTGTCACAGCGTCGTCCTATGTGTATTAGGGTAATACGATATAGATAGTTATAATGTAAAAATCTGTGCGTATTTCTATAAAATTGTGAGATAAGTAAAATTAAGTTTTTTTATTTTTATTTCTCTAGAACATTTTTCATTCATAATAATGTCTGGCTTCTCTAGGGCGCTTTCGTGGAATGATTCAAACGCGAGTCTCAAGGCGACAATGTTGACCGGACCTGTAGTGCGAGCTCTAGCAGCCGATGGTAGTCTCACTCCTTCCATGGCAGCACACATCATGGTTGCCGTTCTCCAAGGTTTACAACTGCATGGTCAGCATGAGGCTAATCAGGGTTGCCTCATTACTCTTGGCGCACAAGTCTACGAGTGCCTCAGACCGAAGTTTCCGAATATAATCGAGGTGATGCAGCAGATTCCAGGAGTTAATCCCGCAGACTTGCAACGATTCGATGAGAAAATGGTGGTAGTCAGCACAAAGGGCAATAAGGTTGAAAAAGGAAAGAAGGACCTCTTCAAGAAAATTACAAATCAGGTACGCGATTCCAAGATATATAGCTAGTGTTTTTTAAAACTTGGTCTGCGTTTTTAAAGTCTCGTTAAAATAAAAATTGCAATTTAATAACGATCGGGTTTTAATACGTCTTTTACAGCTTATTGGCAGAAGTGTAGGTCAATTGTTTCGCAAGGAAGTTAAAATAGACAATTTACCGCGGATAGAAATATTCGGTAAATCTCAACAAGTGCGCGTGGACGAGATTTCGAAGAACGCCACTGATACCGGAATAGCAGCATTGTTCGCTGGGCCTACGTAGCAGAGAGTTTTAGCGAATTATGTTTTGCAAAGCTGGTCTAACTCAATAAACAATTATAAATTATTGTAAAAAGATTTCAGAGAATGACTATACGGTGACGCAAAAGAAAAGAATACTCGAGCTCCTAAATCTGTTGAAATGGCGTACTTTTTTCTGACAAAAAACGCGAATTACAATCTGCGAATATATTTAAAAAGTAATGAGGCGATATCTCCAATCGCGCTTTAAATATTAATTAAAGATGTATGCAATTTTGCATATTTTAAAATTACAAATTTCAGAAATTGTTTTTTCACTTGTATTTCATTTATTTCAAAATGTTTTCAAAAGTCAGTTATAAGAAATAATACATATGAATAACGCACAATTTTCAGTAAAAATTGCAATTACTTAAAAAATCAAGGTAATATTTTAGAAATCTTTGGATATTTCATGCCCTCAATCATTAGATGCATGCAATAAAATCTCGGATATATAAATATGAATTGTAAACACATCTGATGAACACATTATATATTTAGATCAATATTTATGATGAATGACTGTCGGAGAAATTCTTTTTCTGCTTATTCTGAAATCGATTGTAAGTAATTTGAAACTACTCTACAGATATCAACGCGATACAAGTATAGTCAATTTTTTATGTTCTGTGGATATAATCTTATTTATTCTAATTAATTTGAAATAAATATGCTTGAAGAAGATCTTGTTCGTGTTCATCATATTTGAGACTGCAAACATGTCATTCAGTATTCAATATCCTAAAAGATATAAATTTCTCACATTATCATTACTTTAACGTACATTTCGATGACATGTCAAAAAACAATTTCCGAGATATTTATACACATCACATAAAAACAATATGTCTAGAACATAAAAATTGGGATAAAATTGTGGAAGGGTTGTACAATAAGACATAGCAGATTATTGTGATAAGGAATGTAGCGAGTAAAAAAATTTAACAATATACTCGAAGTGAGCGACTTAGGAATCATAAAGTTAAGTTGCTTTGTATAAACGTGGAAAAAAGAGAAGTGACATGTTCTAAGCTGTGACTGATTTGTGGAAAACCGCGAATATTGTATAGTATACAATTCATTAATTATAATTTTATTATATATAATTTTTTTCTTTGCTACTTTTTAAACTATATCTCCGAAGTCCGTAATATTTATAGTACATTAAATTTGTTTTTTTTAACTTTATGAGCTTTTTTTTATTTTTATTAATATTTAAAAGAGAAAAAAGTAAAAATTTGCGGAAAGTACAACTTAAATGAATAAATCTGTTGCATTATACTATGTTAAGGATTTCGAAGTATAGTTTATTACATCGGTGTCATATATTTATACATATAAGTATATACATATTGTACAATAAAATCTTATAGATTAATCTTATATAGTGGAGTAGAAGAGAATGAATTATATATAATCACACTCATCTACATACATATATATTTGTTTCGAATGTTCATATTATACGATTCGTTGATTTTTTCAAAAGTATGGATCGATGCCGAAAATGTATATCTATTCGCAACAAAAAGTCGATAAACGTCTTCCTTACAACCGAGTTTTCTCGTGAAATAATTGAAACCGCGGTACAAATTATAAATCAAATTTATACGATACTACATTTACATGTGAATTGAAACGGCAGTTTTAATCAAGATATACACGCGAGAACATACGAAGAGACATTTGTACATTACGATTATTACACTCTTAATATATAAAAATAGGAAAAAATCTCCAAAAATAAAATTAAACGTAAAGAAAATGTTTGAGCAACTTGCGATCGATTACTGCCGAGTAAATTATAAAAAAAAATTTAAGATAATTTTTGATGATTTTATTTGATTATTAAAAATCATATTTAACTTTAATTGACCTCACAAGTTTTAAGGAAAACTTGCAATTAATAGTGAATGATGGTTTTTGACTTTGTCATAACAAATCGTTGAAAATGTTCATCAACAGTATCAAATAATTTCGAGTTAGGTTTATATTCTTATAAAATACTTCCTGACAAATGACTACACTTTATTTCACTGAAAAGCATTCAATTGAGGACCAAAATATTTTTTTGTCATTCCTTAGACATACGATATTTGTATTTTCGTTGCGATTCACGATTTACATATATTTTTTTACGCTAATTATGAAATGTTTTAATCTAGCATTAAGTGTTTCGTGAATTGTGAATTCACAAGTTACATCAAGTCTTTATGCATGCATGTTCAATCTCAATTTACTCATTTTCTTTACGTTTACTCTTAATATAAAAATGCGATAAGCGCGCAAATGACGAGATTAATGCACATCGAAAAGAGAGTAAGCAACTAATTAGACATGGAATTTAACTACAAACTATTGCAAAAATCATTCCAACGAGAATATTTATCAGATGGCGTATTTAGAATATTAAATGTTTTGTTAAGGCGGTGTAAGAAGACGATCTCACACACCCTCCCATACACATACACACATGTAAAATTGCCATCAATTTTACTACAATATTACATTACAATATCACATATCAAAAATGTTTTAATCGAAAACTCTTTTATTCTCTAATCTCTCGCTTGTCTTCTAGTTTGACTAGGACATACATTTTGCGCGTTAAATGGAATTTTTTAAAGATCATCGTTACGTAGAATTACTGTCTCGCATGTTTTATCTGTTTTATCTTTATCAGAGAAATGCGTTTTAATTTATAATTTAAACCCGTAAGTTTTTGCATTATGCACTATTTTCTCCAGCATTCCATTGTGCTTTTAGTAACCACGTATGCGGTTCACAAATTTTGTTCGTAGGTTGTGAAAAAAGTAGTTATCAGAGGAATTTACATCTAACGAAAAAAAGATTCCATTGTAATCGTAATCTAAGATATCCTCTTACAAAAGCATTTACCTTTTTTACATTGGGACATTGCTGACGAAGAGATAATACAAGTATTTCCTTTTCGTGGCATTCTTCCAAGACGAATCAAGCTTATATACTTATTTGTCTAACGAAAATATCTGATACACATTTGTACATCAAAATTGTTTTGCATATTGCCACAATTTCTCATAACGTGTGTTATACACAAAATGTTTTATATATTCCTTTTCTTTCGAGAATAGTGCATGCCATTATGTGAATATCGACAAAAATTGTACACAAAATGGCACACAAAATTAATTACGATAATTATTCAGAATATTACAAAAATCTGCTTATCTTACAAACAACCACTTTCGACCACTTTATTGACTTGTTAAATTATATGGATCAATGAGTTTGTAACAGCACTATTTTCACAATGACACAATCATTTTCTTTTATTATCGATAATATGATCTACTGAACTACATCACATTGTATACTTACTTATGCATTTAACTGATCGTTAAATGTAACGAAATTATCAAGATTATTATCCAGATTATTTCATAAAAATTGTTAATATATATATATATATGTGTGTGTGTGTGTGTATGTGTGTGGGTGTGTGTGTGTGTGTGTGTATACAAGATATCCTATATAAGTAGGATTTTATGCAGATTAGTACTATCTTGTAAAAAATAAGCATCTTTTCTTTGGTAAGATTTCCAGAAATGCATTGTTTTCGAGATCCCATTTTTTAAAAATATAATTAAAAGTCTTCATCTATAATACATTTGCTATTTCTTAATTCTTATGAAAATTGTGGTCTGATTTTATTAGAAGTTTAATATTTATATTAACTTCATTTTTTATATCAGAGCCAAAAAACACATTTCGCTGTATATAAAAATTTTCTCTTATATATATGAGAAAATATTAACTAATAAAATAAAATTTTTTAAAGTGATAATTACAATAATATAAATATAAGACAATTTATAACAAAATTGTCATTGAAATGTTTACATGAAGAATAAAGAAATAGCAAATATAATATTGACATTAAAAAATAAATTGTCGAAAATCTTTCCAAAGGAATAAATACTTATTTTTTGACAAAGGAATACCGATTTGTATTCTATCTATATAGGACATCCTATGTATATAATATTAATGTTATAGTAAAGTGCGACAATTACTTTGTTTATATATGCATAATTAATGTATAAAGGAAGTAATCGTTGCACTTTGTCGCAATATTAATGTATCGACGTAACGCTATTGATTTATGCCAGGCCAGAAAGCAGCGGAAATCCGCTTCTTTTCAAAACCTCGCCCACGTTTTTTGTACATCAACTATAGCGAAATCAGCTATAGTAACTTGTATATATTATATTGTAATAAAGAAATTACATTGACAATAATGACATGTACGTCAATATACGTCTCTTTGTCTCGTCCGCAAGACATGTGTATGTTCGATAAATATACATACAATTTACATAATTAATATTTTATTTGATATCTCTCATGTAACATATACTTTCCCCATAAAAATCGGCGAATTTAATATATATATATATATATATATATTTATATACTATCATTATAAATTATCATATTCGCGGATACGTTTTGACATATGAGCTTGTTATCTTGTTAAACTATATATATATATATATATGAATATATATATATATATATATATATGTATATAACGTCAAAACTTATAATTGACTGTAAACTTCGTACGAAATATTTCACATAATCTTTCACGACAAATCGAAGCGATACATCATTGCACATTTTCTGTACAGCACCACAATTCTCCTTCGATTTCTCCGAAACGAAGAATTCTATACTTTACTCAAAATAAGCCACAAATATTTTACAGAAATATTTACAGAAAATCTTTCGATGTCCTTTCTTTTATTAAGCATGACATTACTTTTACATAAAACAATATTTTATATATTGAATTAAACACTGCTTAAAATTACAACCACATTACGTGCAGGATGTACAATAATCCAATTGTGATCCAGACCCAAATTTGTCGCATTATACTCGAATCGTATATACCGCATATAACAAACACAAAGCGCCTGGTTTTTTTTGTAATCAAGATAAATACTCAAAATTTGTGTACATATACATATACACAACGCACAATAGGTATAAACACTATTTCTTACAGCATAAATATCATTCAACGCTTATCGTTAAGTTTTACAAAAAAAATGCAACAGAATATTCTTTGGAATCCGAGCGGGTTTGTATCCAGATATAACGACAGAGATATTCATAATAAGAAGCACTTTGTTACGTGCTTGTTACTTGCGGTCAGCTGCTTCGTCGCTTCATTTGGAATGTATAATGCAATTTGTTCAATGCACGTATAACACATTGCACAGCAAACTCTAAACGTAAATCTACGTGCTCTTACATATGCACGCACGTTCATAGCTTAAACTCGTTACTTCCCTATCTTGGTCTTTGGTAAAATCATCCTTTATCATTTGTAATCACTAAAAGATCCTAAAATTCCATTTATTCATATCTCTTTTATCTCTTCTATGTATATTAATTTTCAAATGACGCTTGTATATAACGCTTCATTTTCCGTGTTACTTCGTCTTATACATACGTGTTACAATATCAGAAGGAAGACAAGACTGTGTAAATTTATTTTTTTTTTTTACTTTTTAAAATTTATTTCGCTTATAACGGGGTATTTTCTCAAGTTTCGTTGACTTTTATCGCGCGAAACGCACTTCGCTGTTTTACTCTTAGAATATTGAGAATATCATAGAAACGTAACACTTGTTTATCAATTTCTCAAAGGTACATCATAAAAATGTTTCGCTATCACTCGCGTTCACTCGATCGAAAAGAATTACACATTTTCGAGACTCAATTTAGATAGGAAATAGATATAAATCAGATATACCACAAATATACACATATATATATTCGCGCAAAAATCACATTCGTAGCATCTACACATATAATATGTACACCCATACACGAATAATTATTACTATCCGATACTCAACAACATAAAACGTTCCTAAAAAAGATTCGCCCCTTCTCACATCCAGTTTTGTACTTGAGACAAAGGCAGATCTCAGATAATCTTCCATGATATACATATATAATATATATCTCTTTTCATTGTACATATATATATAATATATTGTTCGATATTTACAAAAATACAATAATAACATCTCTCGTTAATAAATATTTATCGTTAGCTGAGTTTGAGCAGTCAACGAATAAGGCGAGTATGTTTTTTTTTCAGTAGGGCACATATACGACTGTTGTTCGCAAAAATGTGTGTATACACACATACATATAATGCACATATCTTTTTTCTCCAGATTTCTTCTCCATCTACTTCGTTACACGTCTCCCTAATCATTATTTCAGCATAATCAGTTGTTAGTAAAATGGCTCTGTCCATCGTTAATATCTTTCACAATTTTACATAAAAAAATTTGAGTTTTCGTATAGTGTACAAATTGAATAGAATTGCATTCGTAATTCTTCCATTTTTTATTTTCAAATATTTTATTGAACATTTCTATCTGGACAAGAAAATCTAGATATCAAGAGAAAAATTTACAACGCATCAAGTTTGAAAAGAATAATTGAAAATAAAAACCGGAAAAGATGAATGCAATTTAATTCGTACAATTCAGTTCGCGTGCTCTCGGAAAAACAAGCGCAATAAAATATTAAGCTATAAAAAATGTTCAGATACTAAAAATAGCCAGATCCTATTCTAAACGTCATGATCTTTCCAGGCCACAAGTAATGTTGGATCATCTCGATATATAATGGTCGTACGGAGCTTTTTATTAAACGTTGATCGTCAACCTTCAGTATTCTCCTTCTTCGCCAACAGCAAAAACACATCCATATTATCCTTACCCTTGACATACACCTGCCCGCGCGGCTCGAATTCGTATCGCTCCGATAGAACATCCAGACAATTGCTGGCCATCTGTATCCTACCGGCGACTCCGGTCGAGTCCATCCGCGACGCGATATTGACCGCGTCGCCCCAGATGTCGTAATACAATTTTGTCGCGCCGATCACGCCGGCTGTGACGTCGCCATAATTATAGCCGACTCGTAGGATCAGCTTGAAACCCAACAGATCCCGATTGAACTCGTATATCACCTTGTGCATCGCCACAGCGAAGTCGACCAACTGGAACAGATGCGTGTATTCGTGCTTGCTCTGCTGCCTCACCTGTGGATTCAGTCCGCTCGCAGCCATAAATGTGCTGCCGATCGTCTTGATCTTCTCCACGTTCGCGTACTCCGATTTCTCCAGCAGCTCGTCGAAGTCGCCGATAAGCTCGTTGAGCACTCGCAGATACTCCTTTCCGCCCAGATACGACTCGTCGTACAGCTCGTTGAAGTTGACAATGCTGGCGAAGATGATGCCCACGGATTTGTGATTCTGTGAATACTTGGCGGTGGTCTTGAGCTGATCGGCCACGTATTTCGGTATGATATTGTGCAGCAGCCAGTCGGCTTGATTCTTCATCGATTGCACGCGCGTCTTGTCGCGCGCCGCGACCGCATTACCGTGAAAACACAATCTGTAACTGATCTCAAACTCACGATTCAGGAACCAGACCAGCAGCAGCAGCAGCGCCATATCCAGATATATTTCCGAATTGTATAATCTCTCGTTGTACCCGGTGTAAGCTTCCCTTCGAGTCGTAGCAGACGTTTCTTGTCGTCCTGGATGTTTCGCGGTCGACAATCTTGCAGCGGTCGAGGCAATAAAATCTCTCGTTGCGTTCGGAAGATTTCCCGAGTTATCCAGATCGCTTTGTTCGCTCGCGAGCGATTTGAAAAAATTCGAATGCAAAGTCGCTAATTGCGAGCTGTTGCCAGGATTGCTACTACTATTAATACTATTGAGATTCTCCTGGTGATACGGAGATATGTGACTTACCACGAGACAGATGAATAACACGCCGGTGAGAGTGACCAGTAGATTCTTCATCCAACAGTTGAGCTGCGTGAAATTGCAAAAGTGGACCAGCCCGACAAAGATTAGATAGCTGTAGTAATATTCAAAGTTGCTCAGACTCCGGTAGCTGTTGCACGTGAAATTAAGCAAGATGGAGATGATCGGTAGACCGACCAAAACCGCGCCGCACACGTGCCAGGGATACCATCGGGAAAAGAACTTGAAGATACTCTGCGTGAATGTCGTATGAGCGATGTGCGGATAAAAGAGCTGCCGAATGCAGAGTAACACCGCGATAACTTGAACGGCGGTGGTGAGTACAGAGAACACCATGTAATAAATCGTCGGTTTGCAGAGAAGGAAAAGCGAGATTGTGATAGCCGTGTAGACTAGGGCGGATATCAAGATGTCGAAATACGTATTAAATCTCGAAGTAGCCAGGGTCGGAGGATTATCGCCGATACCCTCAGTGGCCTTGTGCGCGTTTTCTCGATATTCTCTCTCCATTTCCTCGTTCTTGAAGAAAAGAGTGACGCTCGAAAGCGGCGGTTTAACAAAGTACGAGCGTTGAGAGGTCACATTGTCCTGTACGCACCTTTAAAGCAAAAGATAAAAACTTAAAAAACATTAAAAAACATATTCGATGTATTTAAAGCGCATCGAAAAATGATTCGCTCACCTAATTAATTGGAGATCGGATTGCTTGCGTAATTTATGAAAGCATGCGCCAAATGTATCGGTCACCATCGGGGGAAACGGATAAGGGGGCACCGATGACGAAGGATCATGAGTGGAATTTAATGTTGAACTAGACGTATAATAACCGCTGACCCTGTGTCCTAATAAATCACCCTGGGCCATGCCGTTCATTAGGAACAACTGCAAATGCTCAGATTAAGATAAAAAAGATAATACAAGATAAGATAAGAAAAGGTTTGCAGGCACATACCTGTTGTTGTATACTACTTCGCCTGCTGTTACTCTTGATACCAGAGTCTTTCCTACTGCAAATGGAAGAAGCATGACTAATCGGCTCTTGACCAGATAATAAAGGACTAGAAGGTACAGGATTTGGATCCATTTCAACGCCATTACCCAGAGGGATCTACAATAAGAAAGGACCGTAAACAATTAAAAAATGCGATAATCAGAAAAAGGGAACACAAAAAATGTTACTAACTCGTCTAAATCCATTCCATTGCATTCCATTGCATTCCTCGTACGGCTGCATATCGAGTTTTGCTTGTTCTATAATGATATTTCTTCCCTCTTCTATCTCCAAAGGTATCATTTCCTCGGTTGTTCGTTGTCTCTGTAAATACCTCCACGGCTTACTCCGCACTTTTTTCTTGCCATAACTAGCGGTAGACGTCGGACTTTTGTTCGAATCTTCCTTGTCATCCATGACGTCACCGTCATTTTCAGAATCCAAAATGCTAGGCAAGGAATTGGCCTTCATTCTGTAACTATTCGCATTGGTGACCATGTGGAGATAATGAAGGCGCGGCTTGGCTTGATTGTTGCACGATGCTAGACGATTCCGTGATTGCATCAATGGCGAGATACTCTTGGGTGACGTGACATTTGTAATAAACTGATTCACAAAGTCCGATTTACGGGCTCTGATGAAATACGTTTTAACACCTGGAATAGATGAAAGATGCGTGATGTAAAATTCCGAACTTCTGTTCCTTCTTTTGCACTTTTATTTTACTTACCGTTTACTATTTCTCCAATTTCTGTAATGTATTGGTCTCCCAAAAATCTCAAAGTATTTTCACTCAAGTGCACACGGCCGGGCTTTCCCGTGCTTTCCAACTTGTTCGCCAATGTTACATCATTTGACCAGACGTCGAATTTGAATCTCTTGGTGCCCACAAGTCCGCAGAGTACGGTGCCTGTGTGCACACCCACTCTCATGTTCACACCTTCCCGTCTCTCAACATCAAATTGTTTTATAGCTTCGATCATGGCTGTTTAAAAAATGAATAATATATACAATATTAATTCCACAATTTAGATTACCAGACAGTCTACTATAATAATGATTCTTGCACCTACCTAGTCCCATTTCTATGCAACATTTGGCATGATCGGATCTCGGTTCGGGACATCCGCTTACGCAATAATAACAATCCCCCAATGTGGAGATCTTCTCACATCCGTGATGCTCGCAGAGATCATCGAAACGTTCGAACAAATCGTTGAGGATGCCTACGAGTTCCTCCGCGGTTTTATTGGAGCTCATCTTGGTGAATCCGACGATATCGGCAAACAGAATACTCACGTCTTCCATAGAGTGCATATTGAACGGACGAAACAAGGAACGGATGTCCGTGTTATTAGATGGTATCGAGCCCTTCTTCAGAGAATCCTCTCGCTCTCTTTCGCGCTCGCTCTCCTCCATGAGCCAGTCCGCGACCTTCGGCGGCATCACAGAGTGTATCATCTTCTCCTTCAGTTGCTTCTCCACTTCCAATTGTCGACGTACCAGAAGAGATTGACCGACCTTCATAAACGTACCGCGCATTCTCACGAAGGTCATTATCAAGATATGCATGCCTATCAAATGAATGCAAATCTGCATCAAGATCCTTATCGCGAGATTCGTGGAAAAGTCGATATCAGTGGCATCAAGCATGTTATCGCTAGTATAATTATCTATAGGCGATGCATTTACAGTTGAGCTAATAATGGATGGGATGCTGGAATTTAATCTCGTCAAAATATTCGACTTAGCTAAAGCATTGTACAGTTGAGCTATCGTTTCTGGTTTGAATAATCCTGAATCCATATTTTGTATCGTATCTTTATTATCTTCGTGTAGCATCGTCGATGTTGCCTCTGTACTGCTAATTGCTGTAGTAAAATCACTAATATTACGTATCACATTCTGTAGACCAGCAACAATTAGAGGATCCTTTAGGGATGAGTGCATAAGTACCAACGTTTTATCCGCCGTCGTGTTATTCAATCCTGAGGAATTATTTCGTACAACCCGTTCGCTCTGTAGCGCATCCTTCGAGCCGTACAGATAGGCAGTCAAGATTTCAAACATCAATGAGTAGAGCGTGGATATTCCCACGCAGGCGTAGAGCGGCATCGGCAGCACCGTATAAATTATCAATAGAATTTCTGAGCACAGAGCAAAATGTCCGACCAGGGTCAGTCCGTCCACGTGTGGCGGCACCATGGCGAGGAAGAGCAAGGATAGGAAACAGAGCGTGGACGCGACTCCCAGGGAAGTCGTTAGTACGTAGGATCTGTAATAATCCCTATATGTTAAATAAAGTACGGCCGACATCAGGGCGGCGACGATGCCAAAGACACCTGCTATTGCTGCCGATATCGATGTATCATTCTCTATTCCGATTATCACAAAGTACATCAGCCACGATAAGGACACCAGCAGGATATACGTGAGAGCATATCTGCAAGAAGTGATCAAAATAATCTTCTGAGTGTATAAATTAATTCCATCAGATGTAAAATATACAGGATGTTCCATAGGAAATTGCTGAAACTAATTAACTATCATTTTTTAATGTATGCAGTTATTGAGAAAACAAAAATTGTGTTGAAAAGAGGAAAATCTGCAGTTTTTAATGGATATAAATAAAATGTTTGTATACCAGTTTATTTTATTGAAAAAATATGGGACACCCTGTACATAATGCAATTCGTAATACGAACCGAAATCTTAATCTAATTTGAGGAAAGGCACTTCTCCTAAACTGTTCCTCGAGGATCTCAGAATCGAATCTAGGATTCCACCACGAACGTGGTGCTGCACGTTCGAACGGTACAGGTAGATTGATACCGCAGCATCCTAATCCCTGACTGCTGTGCGCCAAGTATGTCTGTATGTATGGCGCCAGAGATATGTGAATCTCGTCCTCGGCATCTTCGCTGTCGTCCCTTGCTCTGGTAAAGCTGACGGACGAACCACGTTTTCGATTCAATTGAGGAGTCATATTGATGACCTAATAGTATTGGGAAAAAAATAACAATAGTATTTTGATATATCTATATTACTTGTGCTGATAAATAAATGAGACAAATAAATTGGAAATATTGATATATCAAGAAATATAAAAAGAATATATATATATATATAATTTTTTTTCTGTAATATAGGGTATACTGAAAAATTAAATTTTTTTACATATTATATGTACATATAAAATAAATATATATTTCTTTTATCATGTTTTACACATAGAAAATTTGCATATCTCTTAATCCACAAATTAAAAAAATATTTTAAATATATACATATATATAAAAACAATTTTGCTATTGAATGTAATCATACATGTCTTATATGTATAAAATTGCATATCTTTTACTCGACAAATTAAATAGAAAGATTTAAAAAAGGAAAAAAATATATATGACAATTCTGAATGTCATCTGTTAATATCATGCAGCTTAAACTACTGATAAGTGACATATGTATTGTTTCTGCTGCAGCAATATGCAGCAGCTGCTAATGATACTGTGCACAGCACTATTTAGTGAATGTTACCAATGAAGTTACCTTCACAATGCACATCTTTTGTTCTGCTTCTTTTATATGTTGTATTATTACAATAATAAGTATAGTACTGATATAGTCATAGGATATTTATATAATGTTAAAAGCTACATTTCATGACATTTAATTTTTTACGATTTCTTCGTCATAATTTTTTTTCTTTTGCAAAATACGAGTTTCTCTATATTAAAACGTACTTACAGATCTTTTATACAAAATATCTTTCGCAAATTTTCTAATTTTATGTACATACACGATTACAGGCGCGATGTATAAAATTGTCAACTTCAATGTTAACTCGTTAATCGTCATTTTACGATGCAAATCGCACGATGGGGGATTTAAAAGGCGACGATTCTACGAGACTCACCGCAAGAGTTGGATTTGCCTCGATCAAAAGCGAAGACGCCAGAAAATTTGAGAAATCATCCTCCTTAATGACATCGGAGGTAGATTTCGCGAGAATCAGCTAGTGTCACAGAGCGCCATTTTTCTCTTCGCGGCTCTGCCTCGGGCGATCGTCGTGGGATACCTCGAGGATGCCTCGACGAGGTCGACGCTGAGATACGCGGCCGACGCAATAAACGAATCGTCACGGGTGTAAAAAATTACGCGTTTTCGTCGAGACTGCTAAAATATTCTCCGCTACGATGTTCCGCAGCCATCTTGAATCCATCAACAGAGACGACGACGGCCGCGATGACAGCGCCACCTCCCCTCCCCGAGCTGTCAAACGTCAAACGGAGAAATGTCACTGGACGAGCAGGATTTTAACTTTGTAAAAAAATCACTAGATCAACTAGGGACTTTTCTATCAAAAATTCTCTCTCTCTTATATTTTTTTACCTTGTTTTCAATTATAGAAAATTCTTTCATGAAAAATATAAGAACTTATTACGATTTGATAATTAGAACGAGATCTCTGATGAATTATTGTATCAGCGGAAGTGAAAGTAACTGTGCATCCACGGACACCGTGTATATGCTAATTTCGTCGACGTAGGCCGACGTCGCGACGCGTGTTCGATGACACGCGTGCAAAAGTGCAAATGCGCGTAGCATCGGCGTCTCGCACATAATTCTGACAGGCAGTTCGAATAATTAAAAATCAGATCGATTCGTCGTCCGGTTGCGGGCTCCGATACAGCCGATATACAAAATAAGAATCGGATCGGCCGGGTCGCGGATGAGCGCCGTCGTCCCTTGCATACGTGGCAGCGGCCGGCAGCCAATGAGAGGAGCGGGTGGCCGATAGGCGTGGCTTGTGGCGCCTAGCACAGCTCGCTCTACGTCCGGCCGCCATAGCGCTACGAGGGATCGAGTCGTGCGCGTGTAATAATTCGCACAGCTTCGTCGTGCTCGCTCGTACGAATTCTCGCGAATCGCGTTCGCGGCGAGGAAGTCGTGGCAAGTCTTCTGATCCCGCGACGATCCTGCCCATCTTAGGAGGTTGTCGTCTCGGTTCCGTTCCCGGAAGACCGCGGAATAATAAACAGCAGCCTCGTAAAAAGGTAAGTGGTCGTCGCGGCGTGCCGGTCGTCGTTAAACACCGTTAAACGTGTTGACGCGACGTAATACGCCGGTATACCTAGCCGATCAATCCCCGACGACGACGACGGTGTGTCGATGACCCCCGCTGCGCCCTATCATCCATATGTCATCGTCCTGTTACCTCGAATCCCGGGGATCCCTTTTCGCCGCTCCGAAAATTTTGCCAACTCTCCGTTTTATCAGTCCGCCTCTGCACACGTATACACGATGGAAGTCCCGTCGTGCTATTAGGACATTTCTCAAGGACAGATTCACCAGCGTGTAAGATTCGCGATTTTCGATTCGTTTCTTCTCAGAGGAAATTTTGCGGAGTATTATTATATTTATTCATCGTTTGCGCTCACTTTTGTTTTTTCTCAAAGTGTGTCTATTCTTCACTCGTATGTACAGTTAATTGTTTCTTTAGTCTTTTGTTATTTATAATAGTTGAGTAAAGGGCATTTTTTTTTCTTACAAATATCAGTATTAATGTGTTTTCTTGACGATTTATGTGGAATCTTTCAACAGTGTATATCGATAGATCTAAAGGGCAAACAGTTATATAAATACATTTGGACTATGTAATGCTGATGATATTTAGAAAGATAAGAAAATGTGAGAAAGTAGAAAGAAAATTGTGCATTAACAACTAATAATAAATATAATTTGCTTTATAAAATATTGAGTAAGATGTGATAAATGCCTTGTAGATAAGAGAGTGAAAATGGATATCCAGACAGGACTTGTGTACATTGGAATTGTCGTCATCTCTGCTGCAGTTATCGCTTCTATATCAATGTTTGGTATAAAAGAGAAGTCTTATGAAGAAGCAATCGCCGAGCAGAGGAAGCTTCCTGATGATTTATTGTCAAGTATGTCAGTTAAACTATCTTTTCTGTAAAATCAAATTTTCAATTTGATGAAACATTTTAATGCATGTGAAATATAATGTGGTTCCAAAATAAAAATTAAAAAAGATTTATTTAGGTAGAAATTAAATAACATAATTGATATAATATAGATAAATTAATGAAGTAATAAATGTAACAAAATATATTTTGTATAATATCTTATGTCTTAAAAACTCATCAAATTTCCAGATAAAAAGGATAAAAATAAAGAAAAGAAACACAAAAATAAGGCTGGGAAGAAAGTAAAAGAGAAGAAAGAAGAGAAAGATGAAAAGGATGATAAGGATGAAAGGACAGAACATGTACAATTTGAAGAGACTCCCCAAATACTGCCTCCTGAACCACCAGTACAAGTAAGCTTGCAACTTATTATTAAAATTTATTGTTGTTATTTATTAAAGAGACTGCAATCCATAAAAATCAAACAAAATTAATGGTATGGATTATCTCTTTAATATTGTTATAAGAAAGATGCTTGCACAAATCTATTTTAATTATTAGATAAATGTACATATTTGTATATGTATGTATGTTTAATATTTATATATTTTCTGTATTATGTTTACATGCAGATGTACTATAATTATGATTAGTTCCTTAAAGAAGTGTATATAAAGCTAAAGTATTCAAGATTTGAATGCTTATATGTTTCATGCATGAAATACAATAACCTAGGTGACACATAATATGACATATCATTATCTAACTGAAAAGAGATTTATGAACAAGGCTGAATGTCACATATTTTTATTCTATTGTCATATAAGACACACATCTACACATAAAATTGATATAATAATTACTATTTCACATTTAATTTTACATTTTCAAAATCCATCTAATAATAACAACACTACAATCTTTAATATGGGTTATGAATATACATAACAGATAAAAGAATTAAAAAAAAGAAAATGTTTCATATCATTTACGCATATTCATATTGTACATAAGAATATTTAAATAAATATCAATATATGTTAATTATACAATATGCATGAATGTGATCAGCAAATTTTGTATAAGTTTTTATGTACAATATGAATATGATATAATTTGACAGTTTATATAAATTCTTGTACATTATATATACATTATATAATAATGGGCATTGAATAACTTACAGCAAAGAATCCACATAAGATACTATAAATTTCTTCACATTTAAGATCACGTTCCATATTATATGATATGATACAATATAATGCGACATGGTAAAATCTTTTTCATAATATATAAATGGATTTACTCACATTAAACTTGCATTGATGTAAAAACAAATATGGAATAATATTTTGTATTGTGTCATCGAATATTGTCAATTACTATTATTTAATAAGTTTTGTTTCTTTGAGAATATTTACAAATTTTTTAAATAAATTTTGTTCTATCACATTTCTTTCTAGAGAAAATTGCGATTTGATATAAAGCCAATTATAAATTATAAAATCATATTTATTATAGTACATATAAGTGACATATGCAAAATATATTGTATGTCACTTTTTTATTACTGCTTTCAATTGTTTTAATTTTCTTTAAACAATTTACAGTAATTTTTATTTTATAAAATACAGATTTTTTTAACGATATTTTATCTTTCATAAATGTTATTTTAAAAGATCAAAGTTTATCACTTTCTTCAACATTATTTAACAAATTTATATAAATGATGTATTGGTAAGTTATCTGAAAGATATACACACACATACTTTATTAAAATGAGAGGTTACTATTTGCCAAATCGTGTATGAACTAAATATTATTGGATTTTTAAAAAATTTTTATTAAAATTGTTTTATAAAAATTACTAAATAATAAGAAAGAATTCGTAGATATAATTTTTCAATAATATGTTCTATATTAAGAACATTATTTTGATTGGATCTTTAGGCTGCTAGTTGATTATTTCTTACATACATGTGTCCCATTGATAAGTAACTCTGAAAGAGTTCAAGATTATTTTCTAAAAATAACTTCATCATACATGCAACAGCATTCCGATGATATTGCTTCACTTTTTTTTCTCTTTCTCTCTTTTTCTCTCTTCCTCGACCATCTTATCACTTAGATTACAAGAGTCAGACATGACAAATCTCTTTACCAAGTTAGAAAATTGGATTTTTGCCATAGAATTTTAGTCAACTTTTTATATTTTAATTTTTTATATTACAATTGTACATGCAATGTTTTCATTGTAATTGTTATAAACTCTACTTTCATTCTTTATAAAGAAAGTATTGAAAAATAATTAAAACAATGATATGATGGAAATGATAAATTTCAGGTTTATGTGCTCGACAAGAGGACAAAATAAATATAAGGTGAAAAATGGCTTAATGATAAATCGCTAGCAATAATTAATTATCAATTATTATATTAATTTTTTTATAATTTTATTAAATTTTAATGTAACACATTTATCAACAATTTATATAAGTCGTCAATAACTTAAAGTAATTATTTAAATTACATTCTATTATGTAAAACATATAAAATATTATGGTATAATATAATGATTAATTAAGTTATGTGTGTATGCCCATTGTTATATGATATAACATGAAATTTTTTGAGTATGCTGCTTGATATCTCCTTTTTTAACACATTGCTTTCTGGATCAAAATAATATGAGAGCATTGTATATCTGCATTAACTCTTAGGAGAGTAACAAAGGCAATAAGAAGAAAGGAAAAGTTGAAAAGATAAAGCCAATCCTCGTAAATAAAGACGAGCCATTGGTCAATGTGACTGAATTGAATCCCTTACAACTTCCCTTGGCAGAAGCTAATCATTTTGACCTCATTCATCCAAAGGATGACCTTGAACTCATACGGAGTCAGAGTGTGAGTGATGATCATTTGCACAATTTCTTACACAATTTCTTGCATCACGCATATTTAACTATACTTTGCATTTTGCTTTACTTTATAATTTAATGGCTGTAAATATAATAGTGGGTTGCTGAAAGAAAAGCAAAGTTAACTGCTTTGTAAAGCATTGATTACAATTCTTTAAGATTGTTATCATATCTGCTATTGTGTGTATGTATGTGTGTATGTGTGTGTATTGATTTTTTTTATTAATTTTCTTTGTTCCTATTATTTGAAAAAATCATTTGTCTATGGAAATGTATATACAATTATTGGAGATTGTTTAAAATGTTTATTAACAAGAAGTATATCAATTATTCATGAAACATTAACAATGCTGGAGATGTTAATAAATATTTCAGATGATAACAATGGGTTCTTTATATTGCTTATAACTGGAGCTTTTAATATATTCCATCTGTTTTCTCGAGTTTTTTTCATTTAGTTATTTTGCAGGAATAATATAATATTATAATAACAATATATATTTGTTACAATACAGAGAGAGAATCTTCAGCAGATTATTCAAACGGAGACAGCAGAGAAAGCCAACAAATCACCAAAGGATACACCAACAAAATTGAAGAAAAATAACAAAGACACTGTAAAGAAGAAGGATGAAAACACTAAAGATGAGAAACAGGACTCTAATGCTCATACTAATGCGTTCTCTAATAAAGAAGCTATGAAAGAAGTGAAGGAGCAGCAGAAAGAGACGCCAGTTAAGGAAGTAAGAGAAGTTATTAAAGAAGTTGTGGTCCAGCAACTATCAAACAAGGAGCCCAAAAAGACCAAAAGAAAGAATGACATTTTATCTCAAATTGGTAAGCCATATTATTTGCAAAAAGATATAATTATTTATATTTTAAGCTTATATATTGTATTATTTCTTCACAATTACTTTTCTTAGATATTGCTTTTATATTATTTGAGACTTCTGTTACTTTTAATTCATGCTTATCTCTATAGTCACACCTGTTTAAATCAATAATCCATTTCAATAGTGAATGACAAAAGTATAGTACCTTGGAGATGATCTAAATCTGTGTGTGTGTTTCTTACAGAGAGCAAATCAATATCTAACCTGATGTTACAGTCTATAGTCTACTATTTAATTGATTGGAAATATGACTTTACTTCTTCCTGTATGCTATAACACTTGCAAGCTCTTGTTTTTACAGTTTACATTATCTGATAGTAATATTCACACATGTACATTTCTATATTTGATATATTTTTAATATGAGATATATTTGTATCATGATTTATATACATTTTATATGAAAAAAATTGGTTATAAAATCGCGATTACAATACATAAATGTCGCTTTTGTGAATTTTCTAAATAAATTAGTTTACATAAAAAATATAAATTAAAGTCCCATAAAACTCATGTAAACTATGTGAAGAATCTGTTCAAAGCAAAGCAAGCAAATTCCTTTGAAGTGCTTTGGAATGTGGTTGAGGTAGGATCACTTCCCCCTCCACACTCATACACAGGTCATTGTCCGTGCGCTTAGTATCGGTAGTGCTGTAATACGAAGTAAATCTTTAAAATAAATAATGTAACAAATCTTAGATATATTTTGAAAACAACGTAATTTATAAACATTGAAAAACTTCTACACTTTTTGCAAATTTAACTATATAAAAAAATTATATTCTTATATAAAACTCATGACTCATCCGTATTATCTATAAACTTTTATTTTCAACGTAAATAGTTTTTATAGCAGAGTATATAAAAAATGAAAATTTTTTGCAATGAAAAATTCAAGATATTATTAATTTCATTTTTTTTATTTCTAGATGGAGATGCTGTCAATGTTGAATTATTGATGCTATGTATTCAGAAGGCTGAGCTTAGTCGATCTGAAATACAGATTCTCACTAATCAACTCTTGAATAAGCAGCAGGACAACCCGTTAGAGCATTCAGAATGGACGGAGGGTCGTGCCGATCCTGTTATCAAGCTAAAAAAGCAATTAGCGGAGAAGGAAAAAGCGTTGGCTGATGAACACGAAGCGAGCGTGGCTTTCCAAAATAAATTGAAGGAATTACGAGCTGAGTTTAATTCTGAGAAATCTCGGCTTTTAGCGAACGTCAGACAGCTTGAAGAATCGCTGAACGCCAAAATTACAGAGACTCAGACCTCGCACACTCGAATGCAACATATTTTGGAAAGCCATGCCGCGGAAAAACAAGGTTTCGCCAGGCAAATCGAACAGCTGCAAACCAAAGTGAACGAAGATGCGGCTATCATTCATAAATTGCAAGAGGATCAAGGACAAACTCAGGGCCACTTGCAACAGGAGTTGATGGCACAGCGTAAGCAAATGGAAGTGCAATTTGCTCAGATGCGCGAGAACGAGAACGCGTTGAAGACTCAGCTGGCCCAGAAACACGTAGAGGTGCAGGAGTTGCAAAACGAGCTGCAAGCGACTTGCGAGAGCAGTACTGCGGAAATAGAGATGTTACGTCAACAGTTGGCTATAATGCAAGGTCAATTGATGCATTCAGAATCACAATTGCAACATTTCAAGGAAACGAGCGATCGGCTACAGGACGTTGCCAGGCAACTTGAGGTGAGTTCTGTAATAATTTATAGTTGAGTTTAAAAAAGATATATAAATTTAGTTGTTTTTTATTGAATCTTTTCCTTGATAATTAGGAATCCCATTGTGCACATGCAGACTTGGATCACAGGTTGAAAAACGCGCATCGGCATGAACAGGAGTTGCAAAAGCAAGTAAATTCGCTGCAGGCCGAGTTGAATCTTGTGAAAAGTGAAGCCAATGAAGCGCCTACTTTAAAAGTGGAACTTGGCAAGGCTCAAGCTGAACTGATGAAATTAAAGTCAGAATTGTCAGTTTCGTTAAATGAGGCGAAATCGGAAGCTGTCGAAATAACAGCTTTGACAACCGCTTTGAATAATAAAGAGGATGAATTGAAAAAATCTCAGGACAAATTCAACATCGTACTGAACGATCTGCAACAATCCAACGCGCAAGCCACGCGTATGGAATCCAAAGTGAATTCTATGCAGAAGGAAATGGATATGTTGAAGGTCGATTTTGAGAAAACGGAACGAAATTTGAAAGAGGCGAAGAACAACGCGAACAAGTATCAAAACGAGATGCAAAGGATTCAAGAGACATTGGCAGGCGTACAAGCGGAATTGACTAATGCTCATACTCAGATCAAGGAGGCCAATGGAACTACGAGCGAATTGAAAGCTCTACAAACTGAAATCAATAGACTACAAAACAGTGAGAAAAAAGCGGGAGAAGCACAATTTCGAATTATGACACTACAGGAAGAAAATGATAGACTGCGTGTTGAAGTATTATTTATTTATTACTTTTTTTAGTCTTTAAATCAATTTTTATGTATATTTTTATAAATATGGTTATGATATCGGTATATATTTCAAATTATAAGATATGTATCTAAAGATATTAACATATATGTCTTATATATGTGCAGCTTGCAGATGCTATAGAAAAACAGAAGGAGCTTCAACAACAGCGTGAGCAAGAAAAAATCCTTACAAATATATTAGCCGTTACTACCGAACCTCCGCATATTAATTCGTATGTATATGTGATTTTTTATTTAACATAATACATATTTTTTGACAATGTATATACACAAAATTTTCATTCCATCTTGTATAATTGTTATATTTTAACCAAGTTAACTGATCTCTATGAAATATTTATTCTTTAAATATTTAGGGAAGAGAAAGCTTTACTGGAGTCATTAAAAACTGAGTTAACGCATAAGGAGGAAGAGCTCAATAAAGTAAATGAACGGATACATGTATTAGAAAATGATGCAAACAAACATCAACGTTTTATTAACCAACTAGAAGAAGCTTTGGAAGTCCAGAAGTCCAAAAATAATGTAAGTATTTTATTGAATTAAAATATTTTCCTATATTTTTTATACTTGACAGATTTTATATATGTTAAGTTATATTTTCTCCATATATACTTTTAGCCTGAATCTAATTGCAATTTATATATAAAACACATTAGTACATATTTATTGCTTTCATTACTTTGTTAATTTCTTTTCTTATATAAACCGCACATGCAGCATATTCTCATTTTTATCATTTTTTATCATAAAATTGTTTTTAAGCACGAAAATTTATAATTTATTATAGTAGCATAAAATTTATTATTTACGGGGTTTTTCTTAATTTTCTATATTACACACAGGAATTACGCACAAAGAATTGGAAAGTGATGGAAGCTCTTACTGCTGCTGAATCGCGTGCCAAATTTAATGGTGAAAAAGATATCAAAGTATGTTCTCTCTTTACTATTATACTTATTTCAAATAATATTATTCGACTTATCATAAACTCAACTATTACAATAGTATTTATCATAATATACTAATTTAATAAACTTTTATCATTTTATCTTAATTATTTCATGGATAGTAAACACTAACTAATGTAAATATTATTTTATTTATTAATGATAGAAAAAAGTTAAATTTGTTTCCGGATAATTCATAATATTAATAATATTAATTATTATATTTCTTAAATATTAAATCTTTCTTTTTTGTATAATATTATTTCTTTTGATTTAATCAGGAAACAAAACAAAAAGTCAAAGAGGAGCAAGAAGAAATAACTAAGGCTCTTCTACAGAGGATATTCCCAGAAATTAAAGTGTCTGAGAAAACTCATGAACAATGGCTTAAAACTTTCGAAGATGAAGTAAGCACTATTATAAATGAGTTAAAACAGACACATAAGGATCAAATAAATCCAGAATTGGAAAGGCAAAATAAAAACCTACAAAGCATGATTTCACATTACAAACAGATTATCGATGATACGGTGGGTTCTTTTTATCAAATATTTTATTATACACACATATATATACATATATACATATATATATATATATATATATATAATGTGTGTGTGTGTGTGTGTTTATTTAAAATTTTACTTATCTTTTTTAGGAAGGTATGCTTAACAAACTACAGAGTCACATAGAATCCGAGGAAACAAGATGGCAGTCGCAACTTCGACAAAAAGAAAACGAAGTGGTGAATCTTAGAGTAGAACTTAACAATATGCAAGCCAAATTAATTGCAAGCGAAGAGGTAAGAATTACAAAGATTTTAAAGGTAATAATTTCTTAATTCTGCAGCATTTTTTTCATTATTTTTTGATATAAATTAAGCAGAGGGTGAGAGAGACAGAAGATCATGCAGAACAGAATCGCGTTGAAAAATTACTTAAAACCGCGGAAAAAGGTACTCTTGGAGAACTAGATAGTCATGAACTGGCCACTTTAGAACAATTACAAGAGGTAAAAAAGAATTTATTATTTTGTCTTATTATGTTTTCTTATTGATATCGCATATTAATAACAATTTTATATTAATACACATGTGTGTAGTATGATATTATTTGAATAAAAATTAAAAATGTAATGTTGGTAATGCTGCTTTATTATGTTGTATTCGTATATTGTTTCAGGAGAAGGCTAGATTATCGCAGGAGCTGGAAGTAGAATGCAGTAAAAGGGCGACATTGGATGCTGAAGTTACGAAATTACGTTCCCTTGTTGAAACTAGCGAAACGAGTTTAGCATACGAAAAAAGTCTTGTCACGCAGCTTCAACAGGAAATGTCCCAACTTAAGGTATTTTTGTTTATAGTATTATTTAATTTTCTGTTGCTTAATATATAAAATTGGCTTAATATATAAAAAAATAATGAAAAAAATGCTGAAGAATTAAGCAATTATTATCTTTAAAATCTTCGTAATCTTTATCTCTTTACTTGCAATTAATATATAACGATAAATATTTAAAATAATAATGCGAGTAAATTCTATGGAAAATAAAATGTTTTTATCATTTCTAGAACGAAATTTGCGGTGGCTGTAGCAGCTCAGAGCAGTCTATGCTGAATGGTCCTCCTACATCAGATTCTCTTCAATCCGAGGTTGGTATCTACTAGTAAGGGTTTATTTGACTTCTATTTATATGGTGCCTTCTTTATCAGAAATACTATATATAGCTTTTATAACAACAAATAGTAACAAAATTTTTTTAATACAAGCGTAAGGTATTGCGCTATGCTGCAAAACGCTGACATAATACTTCACTAATCACAGAAAATTTAATGCCAATAATTATTAATTAACAGCTGCCTGATTGTGATTGTTCTTTTGTATATATGATAAAACTAAAGCAGTATGAAAATTGTTATTGCAAAATTGATAATATATTAATGTATCACACACATAAATAGTATCTTAATATGTATGTATATTTTTATTTTTGATATGACGAATTGAAACTATGAGATATAAATATTTAAAATTTTTTTCAATTTTTAATAACAATTTTTTATTCTATCTTATAGATTTTATATTATATAATTAAAAGAGATAAAGGACTATTTAAGAACTTATTTCTGCAATTTCTATGCAAAACTCATATGAAATTATCAATTTTTTAATAACATTATTTATATATCATAAAAAAAGAAAGGAATATCTTTATCTATGCTATGTGTACACATATAATGTGTACGAAAAATAGAGACAAAAGATCTTTGTGATCTGTGAAATTATAATTAATACTTCTTGTTTTAAAACTTTAAAATCACATATATTTATATTAATTGAACAAATGAGGAAATGCCACATCATTATTTATCTAGAATCTTATTAAATATATACAGTTTTGCAATAGAATTATGTATTACAAACGCTCATTTGCGAATTTGTTGAAAAAAATATTCCATGAATATTATATATTCATGCTTGCTAAAAAAAAGTATTGATGTAATTGTCACTGGTTATATATTCTAAGCTGTTTTATATTATGTATACCCCTGGAGCTCTAGTCAACACAGTGATTAATTTGCTTGAGATATATTGCAGAAAAAAATATTATTTATATAATATGTTGATAAAAAACGATTTTTTGTATTCTTAAAAGTATCTAGCTATATTTCAATTACATATTTTTATTAGCAATTTGATTACTGTGTGTCAATTATAAAATTGTGTTAATATCTATATATAGAACGGCAATTTTGCAAATTTTTATCGACGTGTTGTATTCATTCTCATTACATTTGTGAATTGTTAATTGTGATTTGATAAATTGCCGTTTCCTTTAAATAGTCAGATAATATATAATGCAATAATCTGGAATATAACAGCCTCCCCTATCGTCTGACGCTCTGATAGCTGCATTAGAAAGTACTCTGCTCAAGAATACAGAGTTTGCAAACTGTTCCATAACCAAGCCTGTCAATTTGGTCAGTCAGTCTGAACAAGAAATTGAGAACAGCTCCCTTACTACAAAATACTCCTCCAAATCTTGTCATATGACAGATCACAACACACAGGCTAATTGGAACCAGCAACATAAAAAGCACAAGAAAAAGAGGAAGGTAAACTTATAAGTCTGAGACAGAAAAGAAATGTTACTGGCTCGATTATTGTAATAGGTGCACTTCAGTTGATTATTGAAATGAAATATATTTATTAGGGCTCAATATTACAAAGAATATTATATAAAGTTTTTTTACACAATATTTCTTGACATTGTAAAAATGATAATTTTATTTGAGTATTTATCAATTTTTTGCAATTAAATCTGTCCATTTTTAAAAGAAAAAAAAAATATTTTTTGTATTTTAAAGTTAATTTACATATTACTGCATGATGCTCTAATACGAGATTTCTTTTTATATGATGCATAATTTACATGATTAAAAGAAATGATGAGAGAATATAGAAAAAATTATACTGCAATAATAAATATTGGAAACGTAAGAATATTGAAAATGTAAGAAACTTTGAAAAATATTTACTTTGTAATATACATATGTATATATATACTTTCGATAGATATTCTTTGTGATAATACTAAGTCTTCCTGAGTATTATTATCATTTCTCTGCTATTTAAGTAATATTGTTTCGATAGCTTATATATCTTTAAGCAATACTTTTTTATTGTGTAGATTGATTTTGTATAGTTTAACGTATTATTTTATTATTGTGGTTATTAGAGCAAAAAAGAGCCAACCACATTATTATTCAAGTAGCATGTGATTTGGAAAGTAATGGTAAAAGTAATGTAGATAAAGAAATTAATTTTTTAAACTCTGTTGTATAGCTCAAAATTATTATTATTATTATTTTTATTTAGAAGACGTGCTATAAAATAATAAGTATATGCACTAGTACATTAATGTTGCTTAAACAAATGTACTAGATTTAAATTTTTAATTTTTATGGAAAAATATTCTTTTGTTATGTTATCTCTAAAAATATATAGTATTTATTTATTTTTTTGTGCAATTTATTAGATACAATCACGTAATCAATTAAAATAATGATAAACTCGGCAAGATACATAAAAAATTACGAGATTTGTAGATATTATGTTATACATTTGCAGCGCATTTTTTACATTTCTATATATCTAAAAATTATATATTTACAAAATATTATTATATTATTTATATATTATTTTATATACATATGTATATATACATATATATATATATATATTCTTACTATATATGTATATATATTATATATATATGTAATTTTTATATATATTATTTATATATATTATACATATATATATTTTGTATATATGTGTATATGTACATATTTACATATATGCATTATATATATATATATATATAATACTAGACAATAAAACAAGCATTTAGGAGCGTTTTGATACTTTTTATATTCTAAGCGATGAAACAATACGATTTTTATTTAAGATATGTATAATATTATAATAATGACCTGTAAATCAGATGTGAGATTATTTTTTGACTGAATATGGGGGCTTTTTTTAAAATTTAAAATAAAACAAATGAGAAATTTGTGATTTTAACAGTAGTCTTTATCCCAGTGTTTGTATCAGTATAAAAAAAATTTAATTATATGATAATATTTATACGTACATAATATTGTTAATACTTCACAATCACAGATCACCGTCCAATTCTTACGACTCATAAGAAAAAATAGCCTTGTTCAAATACTTGCTCTGTGATCAATAACAATTTAATTGTTTTGATTGTTTCGACAGTCCACTAAGAAAACCATGGCAAAACGGCGCAGATTCGCAGGTATGCAAATCTAAAGATGAGATACTGAGATGTTTTCTCCTAGCCTTTTGAAAAATTTTAATAGTAGATTACCGCTAGAACAATTCATGTCAGGTCTTATCAATTTATTTTATGAATTAGTTTCTCATCTCACATTATTCTGTTGTGACATTAAATTTTTGACATTCATATTCATAAATATTTTCAATTTTTGTATTTATATTATTATATTTTATCTTTTTTATTTAATAAAATATAACAATAAATTTCTAATAGTTTTTGATGTAAGCCAATGTTATAAAATGTCATAATTTTTTAAATTCCATCAGCTTTTCTTAACCAATTAGATTTATAATTATATTATCACGATTTAATAAATTTTAAAAATATTCTATAAATTATATAAAAATGGAAATACACATAAAAGAATATATATTTTTATTGAACAATAATATGAAAACTATAATAAAAAGCAAAATCTACATAATGCAATCTATACTATAAAATGTCTTTAAATATGTCACACAGTAAATATATAGGCCATATTAATAGTACTGTTAGTCTATGTTTATTATTTGGAACATACATTTTGTATACATTTTTTATGCGTTGATGTTTGTGCGAAAAATGATAAGTTATAAAATAAATTTTTTGTTTAATTACATTTTATATTTTCCAATTTTTTTTAAATTTATATTTATGCAAATAATGTATACTTTTGTAATGTATACACATATATAATTTTTTTTAATTTCATAAAATATATTTAATATTATTAGTTGCGTGTAATTTTTGTTTATACTTGATTTTATTTATATTTTTATATTCCATAAATATGTTTTACAGTGGTTATTGTTGGCTTTATATATTTTATTTTGTGACTATGATATTATATAAATGTCTTTTTGCATCTTGTGTTTTTTGGCACATAATATGGCTAGAAAAATAATTTCTATTCCCATCTTTGATTATTGCCGATTATGACTTACGAAACTGGCTGTTTAATCCATACATAATTCATAATTTATATATACATATATGTAATTTCTAAATCAGGTAAATATAGTTGATATATTTTATTTATATAAGATAATATAAAATTATCATTATAAAGCTGCATCGATCAATAAAAAGAGTAATATGCGTTATATATGTTTAAAAACCAAAGACAAATGTAACATGTTTAAAAAATGTACATACTTAGAATTTTTATCAGCACAAACACTGGAGTAAAGGGTACACTGCGCGAAAAAGATAAAAATAGTGTATTCATTAAATTAATTAATCATTATAACAATTAATAATTATTTTTCATAGCAATATTTAACATACTTTTATTTTACATATCGCTCTTTATTTATTTTTTTTGCTATGTATTTTATGTGAGCTTAAAATACTAACACAATGGTAAAATAGCTTCAAAAATTATAATAAATATTTATTTTCGTAATATTACGTGCTTTGCATTTTTTTTCTATTAAAATATTTTTGTCTAGTATTAATATATTGCTTGAAAAATAAAAAGCGATGAGACAGAATTTTCAGAGAGCTAAATACATATTATTGTTATTACCATTGTTGTAGCTTTCGACAAAAATTCTGCTTTATTGCTTTTTATTTTTATATGTATCGATGTAAAATCTCGAATACAATCAACTATAAATAATATATAGGCTAAGTATTTTAATAATTTTAATTTTTAAAAATGTTGCTTTTTTAATTATTTATTTACATATTTAATGTGTGTAGCGAATATTGTATGTGCATGATTCATAAATTGCTTTCTAGGAAAATGGAATTTTTTATTATTTATCTATTTAGTGTTTTATTGTAAATATTGCATGTATATTTTTTTCCAAATTGCTGTCTGGTGTAAAACGATAGATATTTTTTTAAATATGCATGCTTATAATTAATTGTAACATAATTTAATAGCATGAACTAACTTTCTCTTTTAGCTATATATTAGATTGAGATATTAGAAAGATGATGCAAGAAGTCCTATTAATAAGAAATATTTTATTGATGTGTAACATTTCTTATTAATAATCAGTAGTGTCATGCGCAATCTTTCACAGATCTTAAATTGTTCTTCCACAAAATTTTTCCATTAAATAGATATTTAAATTTTGCGTGATTCACAATTGATATGCAATATTTTTAATGCTGATTATTGATTTTATATATTTAGTCTATTTTATACGGAAGAACAAGAATGTTGTTTTATATTAGTAAATTATTAATTACACAGTATATTAAAATATACTTTATTCATTCTATTAATGTACTTTTTCAGGGTGGTTCAGGAAAAAAATAACTTCGAAAAATAAGCTGCGTTAGTGCAGTGCATTTACTGACTGTTTAAAAGAGATGGGATGCAGCACTGCTATATAGATATAAATGGCATACTTTGCTACTCAGAAGACTAAATATAAAGTGAAAATATTACGGATAATGTTTATTGTAAAAAAAATACAAAATATCATATTTTATTATGTGGAAAAAACTATAGATAATTAAACTCGTAGCGATTATAAATGGAAAATTTTGAGATACTAGCGCATGTGATGGTTATATAATTTATAATTATTAATAGCTATACAATACACAAATGTAAAGGTTATCAAAATTGTGCGTTACAAATTGCCGATATTAATTGTTTATAGATTCTATAAACTGTAACAATTAATAAATTTTAATTATGTTATGCGAAAAGTATAAGAACATCACACTCACAGCATGTTCTTGCAATTCGAGAAAAATTGTATAATTAATTGATTAATGTAATTCCATGACTTCATATTACATATTATGATATTGATTCTGATATTATTTCTGAGTCATGCACTTTAATTAGTGCTTGACGACTTTCTTTTTTTCTTTTATTATTAGACGTATTATGGACCAGAAATATAATATATATATATATATAGATATATATATATATAAATATATATACACGTATATGCATAATATCATATAAAATATACGGCATTTTGTTATCGATAGCGAATACAATACACCAGATTTATAAAACAATCTTCATGTTGTTAATTCCATTGTATACAAGTTCAAATTTGTTAATCGATTCACGTGCAATAATCATGTAAGGCGAGTTTGCGTGAACGAGGCGATCCTATATATATATATAAATTATATACAAAAGTTAACGGAAATTATAATTGCGCCCAATGACTGTATTAAATTAAGCATAACACACGAGACGGATTTTCTTATAATTCACTTATAAACTTTTAGTGTAATATTTAACGAGTTTAAATTAACAAACGATTCTATAGATTATTTAAGTAAATAATCCATGAACGGCTATTTATGTTTATATTTAATTATGTTCTGTTTATTATAATTGGACAAACTGTTCTTGTATTGTTGCAAAGTAGCAATATTAGAGCTTTTTGGAGGATTTTTTTTAAACAATTGCATGAATGTTTAAAAACACTGTATTAGACATTAATATTATGTACACTTATAGAGTTCTTTGTTCATTTGTATCATCAATTGGTCGCATTAAAAAAATAGAATTTATCGTACTGATTTTTTGTAAAAGAGGCATGTATGTTGAGTACACCGCGTACTTATTTACCGTTTTGTATCTAGAAAGCATATTCATAGTTAATAAAAGTTTACTGTTTTACTTATTGCTGTATGCTGTTATAACAAATCTTGAAAATTTCACTTATTTATTAATATATAATAGATTGAGATACCTCTTTTTTTAAATAAATATTTATTATAATCACATTAACATATATACATATACACATAATCAAAGAATAATATATAACATATACTTTGAATCATATCTCTGTAAAATATAACTAAACCAGTTTTAAGAGCAGTTTTAAGCATATTTAAAAGTTATCTTTTCAAATCAAATAAGATCTTGAGCAAGATCATCCCTTTTACATCTTAAAAATTACTCATTATCAATAAACTATACATTATTTTATAAAAATAATATTTAAGACCGGTTGTTCTCTAACTTCTTGGTAAATTTTATCCGACAGATAACACATCCTTGTCTCTTTTCAGATAAGTTTAAAACAAAACGACATGTTATCTGTCGGATAAAATTTACTTAAAAAATGATACAACCAGCTCTTAAATGATACAATATATTCTTGCTATTACTAAGCAATTTTGTCTTTTTTCGCAATGTAATACCTAACGAATATTTATAACTTTCAGTCGATATCTGTTGATTGATATTGCTTAATTTTTATGACATTAGTAACGAAATAACAGTATCATTGGACTAGTAAACCAAGTGTGCGACGCTTTGTTAAGGGACGAGCTCATGGAGCAAAACATCAGATGTCTTTAATTACCAATGATTCATTAAAATGCGAGATGGATATCAAATAAAAGTTAAAAAGGGTAGATATTGTATGTACACACCAGTTCTGACACATAGTATAATGTTATTTTCCTTATAAATACTATATAAATGATAAACTATATAGACTACAGATAATACTATATAGGTAAAAAAAACTGCTTGAAAAAATGTGTGAAAAGTGCATTATATATTGTTCATGCGTATTCTATTCAAGAGTAAAAATACACAAAAATATTCAAAACATAAGAAATAATATTATCATCTAGTCACTCGATACTTTCTTTACTCAAAAATATTTATCTCAACTCTGTATCTATACGCAAAGCGTATTTATAATTGTTCCTTCAACAGTAATCGGAAAAATTACATTTCAGTATCACAGGTCGAAGAAGTTTCTTAGTTCGACATTTCTTTTGTTTTAATTCAACATTGTTTGGAGAAATCCGAGAATGTAACTACCTAAATCTTCATCTTGATTAGTCCACGAAACATAAACACTCTTTTGATCATCTTCGTCTCCTTCTACTTTCACCAAAACGGACTCAACCGATATAGAGCCATCTGTTAATTGGACTGTCCATCCGGATAATCTCTCTTTCAACGGTTGTAATAGTTTTAGAGTTGTGGCTTGTGCTGGACCAGGATCTCTTACTTGCACAGTGGACGTGAATCTCACTACGTGTTTAGTGATACCCGCAGCCTTTGCAACCTAATAAAATACATACAAGAATAACAACAATCAATTTATTTGCACAATTAACATAAAATATAGAATGTAACAATTATTTTTAAATGTTGATTTAGTAAGATTACCTCATCCGCATCTACGAGACAGACACCATCTTCTCTCAACATTAAAATACTGTGAAGTAATCTCCGTCTTTTCGGATCTGGCGGTAAGGCCGAATATCTCTTCGCTTCGGCTTTCAGCAATGCTAAAGAAGCATCCACGGGAACCTTGGAAGTGGTCGTGATGACACAAGTCTCGCCATTCGCTGGATTATAGCAGCTGACCCCGAATTCCTGTTTAATCTTCTCCTTCAAGTATTCCATCTTGGCGAATTCCCCATGCACCAGCATAACATTTTTCGGCTCGCAATACTGTATCAACTGCATTATCCCCTTCGCGTCGGCGTGAGCGGAGAAGGACATGTATTCTACGGCCATCTTCACCTCCACGATCTGCCGATTCTCGAACTCTATTCTGCGCGTCCCGTTCAAGACCTTATGACCCACGGTGCCTTGTACGCAGAAGCCCGGCATGATAACCATATTGGCCTCGTTGGGCGCCCATTTCTTAAAAATCTGCAGAGACAGGCCGGCATGTAACATCCCCGGCGTGGCAAACACTACCATCGCACCTGGATTATCAATGTACGCTTTATCGAACGGTTTTATATGTTTAAAGTCAAACATATTCCGTTGTACAAACGTTTTCTTAATTTTCTGATTAGTCCAAGTAATAAACATTTTGTAATAATTGTTAGCCTTCTCGGTCAGACCAAGCGCAAAGTAAACGGGTACTTTTAAATTCATTCTCTCCCAATACGTTTCCAAAAGTATGCACAATTCTTGGGCGCGACCGAGAGCAAATACGGGGATCAGCACTTTTCCACCTCTGTCGATGCATTCGTGTACCTAAAACACAAAAAATGATAAAATCGAAATTGTACAACCAGCTAAATCATGCTTTATAGGTAATAAATAAAAACAAAAAGACATACTTTTTTCAAAAAGTCTCTTTCCCTGCATCTTTTAGAGTCTCTAATCGTAGTTGCGTACGTCGATTCTGATATTAATAAATCCGGTCTACATTTATCTATCCATGCGGCGCCTAAATGTCGATCCGGAGTCATGTTGTAGTCTCCTGTGTATACGATGGATTGCGATCCTACGCGGACCCAAAACATAGCCGCTCCGAGCACGTGTCCGGCGTAATACGCCTTTATTTCTAACTCCGGGTCGACCATGACAGACTGATGAAGCGTGACAGCGACAACTTTTTTCATGCAATCCTTGATCATCTGGGATGTGAAGAAGTTGCTTTCACCTTTACGTTCCACCGCGACCTTCCTCATATCCTCTAGTAAGATTGGTGCAATAGCTTTGGTTGGATGTGTCATGTAAATTGGTCCAGTATAGCCTACCTGTGCGAAGAACAGATGTATAAATAAAAAATAAATACATAAACTCAAAGGCCCCTTTAATAATAAATCACAGATTAAATGGCAATAAGAGCCAGTAAAAATATTAGAGTACAAATAAAAAATTTGTAATGTCACATAGATTTTGATTTATTATCATCGAATCAAAATTTTTGGTTTACATTTTATCTTTGCTGGTTTCTATTGCCCTTTAATCTTCCATTTATGTATAAATATTCAAATGAATATAGATGTATAAATATTTGAAAGAACATCAAAAAAAGGAAGCTCGCTTATACAACAGTTTTTAAGCATTAAAGTTGTGTAATTACCATCTCTGTGAAATATGGAAGGGCACCGCAATGATCCAAGTGGAAATGAGAGATAATAACGCAATCGATGTAATTGGTCGCAGGTCCCTCCGCGACTATGTAAGAAAAGTCAGGAAAGCGTCTCTCATCGTTGAATCCCATGTGCATTCCACAGTCAAACATAATATTTTTACCACCCATTGTAACAAGAATACAACTACGTCCAACATCCTGTCCAGCACCAAGTGGTGTAACTTTTATGTCCGGCATTTTTCTGTAAAAACAATTATAAATTTAATGTGTTATTTAGATATGAAAAATTCAATTATATTAATCATATAAAGAAAAAATGAATAAAACTCAGATTATTAAATTAAATATATGTCACATAATTTGCCATGAATATGAATAAATAATCTTTTTGCATTTTAGAAACTTGAAAAATAATTTGCTTCTAAAATAAATTAAACATGAATGGTGCGAAAGATTACAATTATAATATTGACATTATATTATCTATATAAAGAGATATCAATTAGTTGATTAATCCAGATCAACAATTTCTGATGTCACTCCTTAATTATTGTCATATGTAATATAAATAAATAAATAAAAAATAAAAAAAGATTAAGATTAGGTTATAGAATTAATTAGAAATAAAGGACTTTTTGATGCGCACCGGTTATATAGTAAATATACACAAAAATAAAATCATTATATGCACCCACATAATACTACAAAATTAATGAATGATAAACGAGATTGATATATCAAAAATTTATTTTACGTTTTCTTCGAAAATTGTTACATAAAAATCTTGTAAACAAATATATCTTCTTTTCTTTATATACAATAATCTATAGTCAACTATAGTATATACATACATATCAGTCCGAGAATCGAGTACTATAGTCCAGATTTTTATGAACACACGCGATTGGTTAGTTTCCGATCATATAAATGCGCACTTCACGATCGTTCGAGGAAGAAACACGATTGGCTGTCGACTGGAAAAATTTTCAGAACTAAAAAAATTCCCTATTCAACAGTCAACACGTGACATGTTCACCTGTGATTGGACGAACAAACGAAGCGATGCTCCGATAAGAAACGTGTACGTATCTGTAGATTCATGCGATAGAAGTTTTATTAGGATTCGTGACGTGACAGTGATGAGTAAAAGAGAGAGAGAGTGAGAAAGAGAGAGAGAGAGAGAGAGAGAAAAGAAGGTAAAGTGGGAGACAAATTCCGAAGGATTCTGCGGTGTCAAAAACAGCTGTGCGCTGTTCCAGCGAGATGAAAAAAATGTAATATTTACGCGGAGTGACGCGATGCAAAGGAAGCGAGTTTCTTTGCGTTCTCCACGAGATTCTCGCGCGTTCGCGTTATTTATCGATTATATCCCGTGTGTGCGTGAATCTCCTCCCTCCTCCCTGCCCGGCGGTTGCCATGTTTGATCGCGAACGAGTAGCGGGTCCTAACGTCCTAACGTACCACGTGACCACAGTTTACAAACGGCCGTTGTGATAAACTGCTGAGAACGCGATACCAGCACTAGGACGTGGTGCGCGCGCGTTATGTGGGATCTTCGTACGGAAGAGAAAATAAAGTAAAGCACGATCTTTCCGAGACGCTCGTGGTAAGAATTTTATCACTTTGCTGAATAATCTTTAAAATATGGCGCCATGAATCAACAAAGTATGTGCGTAGGACTCGACTCTCTTCGATGAAATATTATGTTTCGTTCTCCGTCTAATTGGTGCTTATCAGCGAGAAAATAATGTTAGATTGAAAGGATGCTTTATAGGTTTTTAATGCGTTCTAGAGTAATTTAATTTATTTCTTTAAATCAATTCAAATTTTTTAAGTCTGCATAAATTTATTTAAATTAGTGATTTGTTATACTTCTTTATAAAAAATCGTAAAATAATTTATTAATAATTTATAATAATTTATATATTGTGATTTCTTAAATCTGATTACAATGGTACAAAAATAGAATACTTCAGTTAAAAATGTACTAACATTTTTTTCATTATTTTTTTAATATATAAAAGTAACGAGTAATTTATGAGTCGCCAGTGAAATAAAAATATAAAATGTGTTAATAAACCGACCACAACTGGCAATGTTATTCTTTAGTTATTTATTCAAAATTCAGACAACGTTTCGACCTTAGTTCAGGTCCTTATCAAGTCTACGATCAAAAAGTAATAATTATAAATGTTGATAAATTATTAATAAAAAGCACATTTTTAAAAAATGATAAATAGCGTAAACCAATGTATATAAATTAATTAAATAAAAATCATACCTGCTAAGAAATAAATTGACACACTTCTACATAATAAAATTCATACGAAACGTCTGAATTTTGAATAAATAACTAAAGAATAACATTGCCAGTTGTGGTCGGTTTATTAACACATTTTATATTTTTATATAAAAGTAAATGTGATATTTTTTGTTTTGTTGTAGCTCTGTTGTGTTTCAATTATATTTATGTGCACCATAAGGAATATGGAATGTTATCTATGATGATTCTATGGAATGTTATTTACATGGTTCAAGAATAGAAATATGAAGAGTGGTAGTCACAAGGAAGAACCTGAGGATAAAAAAAAATATGTCTTCTTTTCGGATCCAGATGTTATTGCTAAACGTGCCGAAACCTCTGCTATTGTGAGTGATTTTTGTTATTTTTTCTCCTATATAATTATATGTTAAAATTCTTATACATAATTTCTTCATTTCAGACAACACAGATTTCATTAGATTTGGAAGCGCAAAGGCAAACTATCAAAAATCAATTAGCCAACTCACGAGTTTCTGCACCTGACATAAAGAGTTTAGAAAATTTGCTATCTTATCACCCTGTTCAACCATATCCTTTTACATTTATTAGTGCAGTGAAACAAAAGCTAGGAGATTGTATCACCAGTGCAAAAATATACAATCCAAGTTCTCAAGCAAAAAACAACTTGACTTCTTCAGTGTTAAAAACAAATAGTACACAGAACTTCTATCCAATTGTACCGAAAATGGATTATATTAAACCACTGAAAGTTCCAGATTTGAAAATCTCTCCAAAAACATTGGACTTCTCTAGTATAGATAATTCCGTCTCAAAGGAACTGCCTTCAACAAAGTCTGAAACAACTGCAAAAGAATTTGCACTTGATAGATCTGATAGATCGTTAAGAACTGGTGAAAAAGTACAAAGAAAATTAGACTTTTTCTTTCCAGATGGATCAATTATTAATTGTGAAAACATAGAGCCATTGAAAGCACCAAATGTATCTATAGCATCCAATTTATGTAAAAAGAAGGAACATGTTAGAGATAGCTCCAGGGAAAAGGAAAACAAATCTAAGAGAATGAAAAAAGATGATACTTTGTGTGCAAAGAGGGACGAACCTGTGCAAGAACATACAAAACGCAGTCGAAGCCCAAAACATGTTTCCAGAAAAGATGCAAGCAATACAGGCAATGTAAGATTACCAAAAAATGATAAATTATTTTATGCTACAACAAGTAATGATTTTCTGTCGATGAAATTAAAAGATAAAAATGTTATAATTTCCACCACTAAAAAAGATAATGAGAAAAGACAAAGGTTTTTCAATGCACAGTCTGTAGAATTGAGAGATAATCCTATAGGTCGAATATCGAGCAACGAATCACTATCGGATAAAATTACACTGAGAGATAACATTAGTGTTTTATGTAAAAATATTGAAACTAAATCTAAAGATACTTGCCATATGAAGCAAAGATCTGAGATAGAAGACTCAAAATCAGATTCAAATACATCTGATCATATATTTGATTTAGATAATAGACAATTGAAGGAAGATAAATCAAATAGTACCTATAAGGAGCAAATAAAGAGAGTGTATGATAAAAGTAAAATGTCAAATAACAAAATCGAAGGAAAGCAACACAGTGCTAATTCGGGACCATCGAAAGATATCGGATCCATGTCTGAAATAAATAGTTCAAAAAATCGTGCTTATCATGTAAATTCTACACAGGTATCAAAAAGTAAGGATCTCGAAACGGCTACGGAAATTAAACAGAACATTAATTTTGCCAGATCGATTAAAATTTCCGAGAAATATGCGGAACATTCTGAGAGACAGCTCACGAGCACAAGTACTAAGAAAGACGAGGAATCATATTCCCGGAGCATCGTTAGTAAAGAAACAACTACTAATGATGATTCGAACAACGTAGATGTCAGCATATTGCCGGAAGTATTATTCGATGTTAGAAGAATCTCTTTCAGAGATGGTTATTTCCAACAAGAATTTCAAGATTTAGCTACGCCGGAAACAGTAAATTTTGTCAGATCTAAACGAAGAAGAAACTTGATCCCAAGTAGTGATTCAGAAGTGGATGCGAGCTGTCCAAAGTATAAACCAACAATAAATTCTGAGAAAGAGCAGGAGGAAGGACAATTGGTGAGTATATATATGTTATGTTTATATACACATACAAACAAATATACAATCACATTAATAATATACAAACATTAAAAAAAATAAAAATATATTGAAATTAATTTCAGATGCATCCAAAAGCTTTACATAAGCAATTTCGGGCAGAACTGCAGCTTTATGATACTTTTAACGAGTCCCTTAGGCAAGTTATAGATGTTGAAAAGTGTTTATACAATACTAAATGTAAGCAGGAACAAAAAAATTCACAAAAAGTAATGGAAAAAGATGAAGAACTGGAGAGAACTGCTGAAGATGGCTATGATAATAATACTGAAAAAGGTAAGAAGCCTATTTTTATTTAGTGTAATTATTTGTCTGAGAATCTTACTAGAGAATTTTATATATATATATATATATATTAAATATCCAAAATATCTTTATAACAGCATTGGATTCAATTGACTGTATGAAAAAAAATGTCACCGAACTATCGAGACCAAGCGACGAATCACAGTTTAACAAAAAGTATTACGTTTTAACAAACCAAACTAACGTCGACGAATCGGCGGGTATTAATTATGAAAATATAGCGGTGGTCAAAGTGGCGGAAGTACAAACTCAAACGGTGAACGATATAGCGACTCAAACCAACATATCCACGGACAAACCAAACGCGGAAGACAAAATATTGGAAATCGACGAAAAGATGTACGAACAATCATCTTCAGTGGAAAATTATATTTCTCAACAGTTTTTAAGTTCGATCGAACAATTCGAAAATTTGGACCAAATAGATGATATATCAGTACCAAGCAGAATAAAGACTATGTCGGAGATTAGTTTACATGAAACTACCTCATCGATAAAAACAGAAACTGGGACTGAAATTAGTATCTCAACTCGAGATGTGACGTTCTCAATTAATCAGTATATGGATTCAGAAGTATTTTATTTTATATATATGTATATTTGTGTGTAACTGTACACATTAATTGAATATTTAATTAATGTGCATTTTTCTTTTCTTTTTTAGATAGAACAGCTTATAAGAGATGAGAACCTACGATGTAATAAAATGAAGGAGTTGTTAAAGTTTCAAGAGAAAACATTAAACGACAAAACTAAAAAATTGGCGCAATTAGAAGAACAGAAGCGTGTGTTGAGAGACACGGGGCAAGACAGTCGTTCCTTAAAAAAGAAACAGAGAGCTCTGTTATTAAAACTGCAACAAGAACAAGAATTACTTACCCAGTAAGCGCAATATTTGTATAATTATTAATAATTTATATAAATAATTAATAATTTGTATAATTGCTTACAAGTGCTTTTGTATTAAAGTATATTGTTTATTAATAGGATAAAAAGATTGCATCAACACGCAAGCCAGGAACGAATGAATATATTACAAAAGCAGAAAGATATGTTTAATCCGGAAATGACGACGAGGAATATTTTAACGAAATTAAAGAGAAGTGCCGACAGCTCATCACCGAGGAGATTATCGGGTCCTATGAAGGGTTACGACATACGCAGTAACAGTTCTAAGAGCTCCGTGATTGAATCTGATAAATCTCAGCACGATGGCTCTCATATAGAGTCATGTTTACAAAGATCCGAGGGTGATTCGATCAAACTTGACTTGGTAAAATCCGATGACTTGATCAAATGTGACGAATTACGAGAAAAGGATCCGATAGCGTCGCCGAAAAGAAGCGATATATCGAAGCATGAGCTAAGATCTCGAAAATATGAAGAAAAAATGCCTAGAGCGGATATTTTGCAGTGGAAGCAAAATCAGCGCGATATGGAATCGAAATGGATTCAAGGTCATCCTATGAAGATGAAACGTCTCTTGGAAAATCAGGAATCATCGATCGGAGTATCGCAATCGTCAAAATTAGAATTAATAAATACGTCAGTACCTGATCACGCGAAATCCGAATCCGATACGTTAGTAGAAGAATTGTCTAAGAAATCGAGAACGTCGCAAGACCTCTCTGTGCAAACTGCGACCATCGCGAAAGAAAAAGAATTGACTTCCAATACTGTAACCGTTAACAATGGATCTATAGAGGAAGAAATAAAAACGATAACTCAAGATACTGTTTCAAAAACGTCGCAAATTTCTGAAGATATATTGCAAACAAACACGAGTAAGAGTTTTAAGAAAATTGAAAAATCTATTACGAGTGACAGAGACATATCCAAGAAGTCGCAATATAGTGAAGAGTCTAATGCAAATTCCAAGCACAAGAATTTAAAGTATCAAAAGGTGAAGTCATCTTCCAATACATTAACGGAAAACATACCATCCAAATCAAGTTCTCATTTATCTGAAGAAGTTATCAAACATCAAGATAAACGAACAAAACTTGAGCATGAATTGCTTAACAATAACAAAGATTCAATTTTAAGTGAGTTAGATTTTAATGAAAGCCAAAAATCGCTTGTTAAGCATTCGAAACTTGTAAAGGATAAAAACTTAAAGTCGAGCGAAACGTCTAACGATTACGAGAGTAAGGAAAACGTGTCCAGTCAAGTTTCCAACAGAAAACTTGCAGATGATGAGAATTCTTCTAGAAACGAACGCAGCAACACTCAAAATATATCCACGTCTCGAATTAGTACTTTTGCCATTTCTCATCGCAGTTCTAAAGAAAGTGAGAAAAATTTATCAAAATCTATAGTCGTTAGATCGCAGGACAGACATTTGGAACAGTAAGTAATACGTAACACATATGATTATTTATACGCATTTTTCTCTATTTCTCTTCTTTTTTTATTTTTAACGATACGAACATTCTTTTACGTCATTTAACGCGAACAAAAGTGCACATACGCGAACGTGTGTTTCGCTAATAAAATCTTGAATCACTAAAGTTATGTGTTGGGAAGTCTAATAATAAACTATGCATTCGCGCCAGATCGAGTAAAGCTATTGTAAAAATAGATTCTCTGCAGAGAGGCAGTCCGCATGACAAGCATTGCACATGCATATTCTTGTTAGAGTTGTAATACATTCTCTCCTGTTCTCTTCAGAATTTTAAACGCACGCGAAACTGCAGTTGTATCGCGTAAAAACTGTCTTAAGAACTTGATGGCCTGGCACGCAAGATTAAAAGTAGAAGAAAACCGTGTGACTCGCATGGAGCAGACGGCATATAAACTTGTTGCGACTTACTCCAATATCTTGAATCAGCTAGGTAATGTACAAAAACAATTTTATGTAAAAATTTCGTCGTTCAAAATATTCAGTTATAATTATACATAAAATTATATATTATAATATATAAAGTTTATTTTTTTATCATAATTTTAATACAATTTATTATATATAAAAATATAATAATAGTTTAATAATAATTTAGTGTGCTTTTTTTCTAATGGATTTACAATTGAAAATAACTGACCAATAAATTATATTTATAAGTTTTAAGGAAAAAAAATAGTTTAGTACAGAGATTCTATATTTTTAATTATAGAATATTATAATTATCATGACAGTTTTTTTGTTAAATAGGGTATTAGATTTTTTTGCTTACTTTCAAACTTTGATTGTAAATTCTTTTAATAGATACCACTATTTCGTCTGATACGAGCGATGTCGAGGGAAGAATAGGAGTTCTTGCTAAAAAGTTAGAGGAACGACGCATTGAAATCGCTCGTTTAAAAAGAGAAGCTAAGAAGCAAACCAAGAAACAGCTACGTGCTCTAGAGGCAAATTTACTGAATCAGATTAAAGTAAGTGTATATAGAGTAAATATAAGTAAGTATATAATTATCTAATTATATTTTTCTATGAAATTTGTTTTTTATTTTCTTTTACAGAAGTACGACATGACCATCCACGAAATGCGTAAAAAATTGGAAACGAAGAAAACTATTAAAGAAACCGACAAGTTAGCTATAGAACCAAAGTCATTGGCTGATTTCAAAGTACCTGAAATACCGCTGAAAAGGATACAAGATATTTATAAGAGTAGCGATTTATTGAGATCTAGATCGGAATCTGATCTTTTAGTGACGAGAAATCAGCAAAAAAATCTGTCAAAAATTATTTCTATAACGTACGATGATAAACTTGAAAAGGATAGTTGTAAAAAATCAAAATATATGGATACCAAAAGCACAAATATTTCAGAATTAAAGGACAATCATATCGTTCCCGACGAATTCACTTCATCAGAGGCTTATAATAAAATTCGACCAGCGACTTCGGTATTATCGACTGCAAATGATGCACATTTGGAAAAATATCTTACTCTTTCTAAGAAAACGCACAACGAAGAATCTGAGATAAAACAAAATAGCACATCTGGCAATGTAGAAGAAAACGTTGAAACAAATCTCAGCACAGTAAGATCAGAATCGGAAGTGCGAACATTATCGGATGCGAGATTTGTAGATCACAGTACCATCAATACCGAATCAAGGACAAATAAAGGATCAACGACTGATGTCGATCGATCTCGACCAAAGACAAATCTCGCGATTCGAGCTGAGAATCGGGAAATAGAAAATGTCTACTATATAAAAGCCGTTCCGATTAGATCCGACTATTCCACGGAAAGTGCTGCTTGTACAGTCGCCGATTCCGATATACTCACTTATTCGAGGAAATTGGACTATTTACAGTTAAATAATAAGAACCTGAGCGAAGATATAAGTTTGATCGAAAATGATATCAAAGCTTTTTCGGAAATGATATCGCGCCTGAATAACGAATCGAATGAAAAGTCTAAAGTGGAGAACGACGAAAGAAATACATCGCAGGATATATCGGAAATAATATCCAAATCAGTTTTTAGCGATAAAATCTCAAATAATATTTCAAATGAGGAGAAGCATATAAGCTCGGATGAAATTAATACCAAGCTTCGTTTGACAAATAATGAAAAATCAAAATCTCTCGACGATTTGAGTCACGATAAATATAAATCGGACGAAATAATAAATAGCGAAACATCGATAATATCGGAAGAGGTTCATCTCTCCGATTTGGCTCGCGAAATTGATTATGAAGCTAAAAGCAAAGAGATAATGAATCAAATAGAGAAATCGATAATATCAGAACACGTTAAAACTTCAGGTTCACGTTCGATATTAGAAAATGAGGACAAAGAATTGAATGACTTAGTCTCGGAGCTCGAGGTAAAATCAATTTCTGAGATTTTTTCCAAAATGTCAGAAAGCAGAAAAAATCTCGATCGCGCAGCAAATATTATCGATGACTCAGAGAAACGTATAAGTGAACAGAAGGATTTAAACGAGAAAAAGTTGGAGAAGGATTTTGTAAAAAATCGAGCGGAAAAAGCGGAGCGTTTATTAAAATTTTCTGAACATTTTCATTCTCCCATCATTTCGGGTCACCGTTTGAAGGAAAATTGCGAAACGCAAAACACAGTTTCAAACAAAATCTTACTACACGTTGCCAAAAGCAAAGATTTGGAATCGGATAATATTCCCGAGGTATTGAAAGCGGAAATAGGTACTGATACAAGAATATTAAAGAGTCTCGATGAAGATGTTGAAACAAGTTTAGTCCGCCATAGCAAACATTCGCATCCAGCATCCAACGTTAATCAAGATCAGTCGCATACGACGATTGACACGGAAAATATTTCTCAGGATAGAAGCAATTGGACAACGTCCGATTCGTTCCAAGTCCCGCAGGATGAAATCAGTACTGGAGAACAAGATGACAATTCGAGATCACGCGAGGATCACACAGATGTTTCGAATAATTTCTCGAAGAAAAACGTATCACATTGCGTTGACGATGCTTCGAATTTGGAGGCTAAAATTAATTCGACAAATGACATAAACGTGTCGACATGTGTTCCGAAGGGAGAATCCACCAAAGTCGAGGTGCACGACATTACGTTTAATAACGTATTAACGGATTCTCAGGTGATAAAAAATAATGACGAACTTGACGATATATTAGATATCATCGCTAGAGAAGAGAATATTTCTGATAAAGAAAACGAAAAGCTTGATAACGTAATCTCAGATTCTATGGCTGAATTATTGGAAAAAGTCAAGGATATCGTGGAAAACGATCAACGAAGTAACGAGGTAGATAATCGTTATGAAGGAATTTTAGACGATATAAATATCAGTGTAAATGACGAAACCGATGAAGCTGTCTTGGATCTTTCGTCCTTGAATGACAAAGCGCAAGGAAAGATAAATGAAGAAAATATAAGCGAAACTAATACGGATTATCCAAATACACATAACGATAATAAACCTGATAATGAAAAAATAGATATTTCCTTACAAACGGTCGACGAAACCGAGGAGAAAGCCAAGGTAAATTTGCAAGTCGAGATGGATAACGAAGAGAGTCCGCGCAAAGCGATACCGGAAATGCAAGAAATTATAATAACAGAATTGGATTCGGATAGTGTAGAGGACAATGTCTTATCGGAACTCGAAATCGATGCTAAAGTCGAATTGGCCGAAGAAGAAGAATCTGCCGCGAGTTACGTAAACGAAGACGAAGAAAAGAAGGATATTGTAGAAATAAAGGAATGTTTGGAATCAATTGTGGAACAGGACAGCTCGGATGGCGAACAATTGGACAATTTGGTGGAAGTTGCTGAAAGTGGATTGGATACTGTGGAAAAAATCATTGCAACATGTGATTTTCCGGAATCACTAGTAGACGAAGCAGTCTCCGAAGTTGAAGAAACTGAAGAAAGAACAAATGATCCAGCTGAAAAGACAATTGACAAAATGGCGATATCGGACAATGCACCGATAATCGAAAACCTCAACAAAACCTTCGACATATTGAAGGATCCAGAGTACGAGGACATTTCCGAGGAGAGTCTCGAGGTGTCTGAAATTTTAGATAAAAATGATTTACCGAAGACGAAGAAATCTTCCAACTTGCCAGATAAATATCAAGCTACGCAGAGATCGGAGGAAGTATTGAGGATACTGGACGAAATTTCGCAAAGATCATCGTCCGATTCCACGAGCAATTCGCAGAGAAACGAAGAGAAAAATGTTGCGCAGAGTGAGACGCAGGAAGAGATCAGCGAGCTACTCGACGCGGAGGTTTCCGCGGAGGATGATAATTCGTCTCCCGAAATGATGAATAAGATGATGACGGGACACGAGGACATCGAGGAGAAATCTTACCAAGTGGACGATGAATCAGAGAAAGACCGATTTCTGGAAAGAAGAGTGGAATTACCAGACGAGGCCACCGGCGACGCGGACTTGGTCGAGGAGAAGGACGACGACGAGGAAAACAAGTCCGCCCGGATAATATACGAACTGCAGGAGAGAGTCTCGCGGCTCCAAGAACAGGATGGCTCGTCCGGTGAATCCAGCGAAGCCGGCGATACTCCGAGAGGAGTTTCCGACATCGAGATGGATTCGCCAAGAGACTTCAACGATTCCAGATTGGACATCGACATCCTGGATGACGATCTGCTGAGCGGTACCAAAGCGATGACGAATCAGAACGTCGATGTGAAAACCAATTTTCACCCGGCGTCTATCGTCGCCACGTCCGAGAACGACATCACGGCCATGATTGATAAATTAAAAGGTATTTTAAAATATTTTTTAGAATTATTTTTTTTTATATTACATATTTTATATTTATATATGAAATCGAAAACATACATAGTAGACAATATGCAGAGTCAACCGTCTGTTTTTTATATATATGAATTATATATCCAGAGTGTAACTAAATAAACATATACGGAGCACACCATCAAGTTCTCTGGCCAATTTGGAGGATTTTAATTTTTTCTCGGTGAAAATGTCGAGATACCAATCATTTTCAAGTTATCAATGATTGGAAAAGAAGAACTTCTCAAACTAAATATTGTAGAGTTGAAATATTAACAAAATTACATTTTTCAGTAATTTCATTCTTCAATTAATTACATTCTTCAGTTAATTACATTTAATTAATTACATGCTTCAGTTAATTTTTAAAAGTAGTTTAATAGAATTTTAATTGAAGACTTAATTTACTACAAACGTGATAAAAATTGAGAATATGTAAAAATAATGATCTTCAACATTTTCGTTGAAAATTTCCAAATTGGCCTCAGAATGATGTGCTTCATATATGTTTTTTTAATTACACTCCGTACATATAATGTATGTGAATCAGTATTAATCCTTTAATTAATCGTCCATCTGATTGTAAATATTCTTCAAACTTGAAACATAAAAATTACGATATTTTGATCCAATCAATGTTTTGGTATCGAGTCGGTGTTTATAAACACATGCGGAATAATCTAATCAAGAGATCTTACACTTGTTAGAGCAAGACAGTAATCTTTGAAAGATGCTATTCGAGTGAATTAAAAGGAATCGAATAACATATTTCAAGCGAAGAATCAATTTTATATATGTATATGTTGAGAGATAGTGGAGTCTTTTCTTTCTCTCTTTATACGAATTACTTGTTGTACATGTTTTCTCGACCGAAATTCATGCGATGCAATTATTTTATGTGGGCTGACCATCATCTGAGAGTCATCACTCTCGATATACATATTTATCTCGCATCTCGATTTGTTACACTTTTTTACATACTATATACAAAAACACCTTTTGTGTTTTTTTTTTTTATCTTTTTTTATAATGGCTGTGTGCTCTCCTGTGCAAAAGCGTTGCCTGGTATAGCCATGTGTTGTTTATTTTCAGACAAATAGCAAAGTCGAGATTATATTTATCTAAAGGTAATACACGAAATTACGAATGATACGAACATTGACTTGTTATTATATCTCAATGTCGATGTCGCATGAAATGCTTGATCCTTTGATTATTATTAATCTGTATGCGCGCACAAGAAAGGCCTGTAAATATACAGGGGGTTTCAGAACCGGTGGAAAAGTTTTTAATGGCGGATTTCTGGTATCATTCGGAGACGATTTTTTCTCAGCGAAAATAGTAAAAAATAAAGGCTTTTTTGGAAACTATTGTGGAAATAAACTATTAACAGAACTACATTCTTCAGTTAATTTTAAGTAGAGTTCGCTTTAATAAAATTTTAATATAAGGCTTATTGTTAGTTATAAAGATACTTAATAGCAAAAATTGGGAACATGCTAAAAATGATGCCCTCAACATTTTCACTAGGGAAAAATCGTCTCCAAATGGTATCAAGAATCTGACATTAAAAACTTTTCCGCCAGTTCCGAAACACCCTGTATATTGTGCATCATCACAACACAAGTTCAGTTCATCAACTGTTTTGTCTTTCTCTTCTCTTTCTGAATCTTTCTTCAGAAGATATCGTGTACAAATTGTGTACAGATGTTATATGGAATGTCCAACACCCCGTCACAGCTTTGTACCGTTTTATATACGTGCATTGAAAACATTTGTTTCTCGATATACTGGACGTTTTCCTATTTCCTTGCAACATTCCTTCTTTCCCTCCTCTTTTTAGAGCACTCGAGTACAAACTGTTGATCCTCCTTCCTCCCTCCCCAGATGTAATGTGAAGGCTCTCTCGTGTTGCTTTTCCCGAGGAACTTGTCTCTCGGCCTGTGTCTAATTATTTAATCGATATAAATATATATTTTCTTCCTCTATTCCGCACAGCTTCGCTGGAACAACCCGGTCTCGAGGTCGCCGAATTGGAAGCCAAGTTGCTTCGCATCGAGCAACTGCAGATCGAATTGGAGGTTCGTATCTTTGATAGCGAATTATTTAATTGCCATGCATCAACAAGTGCATTAAATTTATGCATACCTTACCTTTACAAGATCAAGAAATTGGAAGCGGAGGAGGTGTCCTTTTACGTTCGGGAAATACCAAATAAACCGCCGCCTCCCTACACCCCGCCTGGAGATGGTCGATTATCGACTTCACTGGGTTCACCTTCGCTGGTCACCGTGATTCCATGCAACGTGGAAGAACTGACATCGTTCACCGAGAGAGCCACGACTCTGATATACAGTGCTAAACTGGCCGGGGAGGACATCGCGAGTCTGGAAGCACCAGGCGAGATTTACGAGTCGATCAAGGATAAGAACGAGAACAGGGACAGACGGATATACAACACCTTTCTCTTTGATCTATGCAAGGAGATCATCGTGGAAGTCTTTCGGGCGGAGTACGAGAAGCCTGGACCGAGCTGGACGAAGCCGAACGTGAAAACGAAACCCGCGATGAAGATCCCGAAGACCGTGGAAGAACTCGTCGAGTACGTCAACAAGGAAGTCGCCACGCTGTTCGGTTTCAAGACGAAGCTGCAAAGGGAGAACATGGTGATGCGTTGGAGCAGGAAACGTAGGGATCGCGTCGACGAGTTGCTGGCGAGGGAAGCTCAAGCCGAGGAGGACGAATGGACGAAGTTTCATCACGACGAGCTGGTGGTGAAGAATGGACTCACGGTAGCTATACTGGACACTCTCATGATGGAAACGGCGAACGTGATGAAAATAGCGTACGGTAAAAAGAGAAGAATAATGGTGTAGCGATCATAAGCATTTTGCATCCCGCGAACAGAGATACTTATCATATCTTACATATGATAATTATTAAAATCGAGGCAAAGGATGTATAAAATGTTCTCTCTTTTTTTCCTCAGAACTGCGTTTCCCACGTTACATTCTTACATTTTTATTCATAATATTTTATAGCGTGTATCATAGGCTGGTTCCTATTTATTTGTTGATTGTACAATTTGTTGTTTTTTTTCTTTTTGTCACTTTACCGAGCTGATTCAACGTATCGAATATACAGTGAAAAAGCAACAAGCTGCATAAGTGAGATAATGAAAAATATGTGAATAACAGAAAGATATGGGTGTAAATAATTATTAGGCATTAATATATTCTATCCATGCAATTTGATAATCAAATCATCCTAGGTCAGTTTAAAAAAAAATTTATCTCTTGTTAACAAGGCGATTTTGACACGAGTGTCTAACGTTTAATGATAATTATATGTACGGGCTATCATAAAACAATTGACGCGCGCGTAAGAAGTGATGTACTTTTTGTTTTTTTTTGTTTCACAAATGATCAAGTATTCATTATTGAATATAATTGTAAAGCATTTGGTTCATTTTGTCTCGCATAGAATTTGATAGCGAAAGTACGATCTTCTGTTGCGTAAGTTATACTTTATCGTCTATTCCTGTAGCTTTAATCGAAATTGTACAATATATAATTACTGCGCAACACAATCTATGCTCTCGTTAAACTGTAATTGAACGAAATGCTCCCTTCGATTGCTGTGTATGTAAAACTTATTTTAGCAAAACGTATAACATATGTAAGTATATAAGTACATTTCGCAATAAGTCACACAAGTCGAGGACGTCACATGTGCTCAATTACTTGTAATAAAATTAACAAAATTCAAACGGAAAGACTGACATTTTGGGGCCATTTTGATCGAAATTATAAACCGTTAAATCAAGTACACATATAGATCGACATTGTAGTAGACATCGGCTATACAGGGTGAGGCGCATAAGCATTTTTATCTCTGAGAACACTTCTCTTTCTTGTCATTACTTTAAACAATTGGTTTAAATCATGTTTTATGTGCTTCTCTTGCATGTTGTGGTTTTCAAACGTATTGAATATATTCAAGAGAGAAATAGAGATTAATTCTTTAAATAAAACACATGAATATAGCCCCTACAATTGTATAGAATACAATCAAATCCTATATAATATATACAGTCACATTACATTTATTATTATCGACACAAACTATCTGTAATTTCATTTATTAATAGACTGATAATCGCGATCAATATGCGTTTTAATTCGCGATCGATGCGATTTTGTTGCCCTTAGATTTATGTTTATGGTTGTGATGTAAACGTAAGGCTTGCGGGAATGTCTGATAGTAAAGCACATTCAAACATTGTAGCAATTACACATGCTGCAATCTTCATAATTTTTCTGATATTCTGATATCATCATCGTTTTGAATGTGCGCTACCTCGAGGTTCTTGTACGCTTTAAATATGTAAATACTGCAGCGCTCAAGTGCTCATTGTCCAGCGTTGTTCCTATATATACATGGGTAACATCGCTCTTTTAATTGATTAATTTTTAATTGTAATTTTTATTAAAATTCTCATACACGGACTCTCCCGAAGAACCTTCTTCCGTTTGCAGGGTACTTTTCTTTTAGTATTATTCACAATCCTCTTTACATTTATCGTTCTCGGCCGTGTCTGTAGTTGTTACAGAGATTGTTCACGTATGTAGTGTTGAATATGTACTTAATTAAGCTATAATATATTTTATAATAAACTTTTTCGGAAAAGAGGGAGAACTTTTTTTAATCATCTATCGTACGTAAGAAAATGAATAAGAAAAATTAATATATCTGAAAAAATTATTTACAATTATAATAATTTATTTAACAAAATATTGAAATTTTATATATTTTAAAAAACGATCTTTTTTTTTTAAATTTAATTTTTTATATGATGCGTAAAATTAAGTAAAATTTAAATAAAAAGATTATATTACGTAGAATGTTTTTAAGCCAATAATATAACCGAAAAAAGTGAAAATGTTTCATGAAAAAATTCATAAACTGAAAATGTAGAATAAAACTTTTTTGTGTAAAGAAGTTTAAAAATAGTTTTTAAAGGGAAAAAAATTTGAGAACCTGTATTTCTATACATATAAATATATATGTGTGACCTAACAAAAATGTATATATATATACGAAAATGTACATAAAAGATTCATAATATTATAGAAAAGTAATCATATATAGAAATATAGATTATACACATAGGTTTTATAGTATTATATTATTTTAATGAGATTCATCCATTCACAAGCGTACAAGATTTTATATAATTACAAAGAATTTTTGTATTATATAACTTGATTAATAATGTAATAGATTTTTTCATATTATTCCATACAGAATATATCTGTGAGTCTTTAAACTAAAGTTCGATAATTCTACAATTTTGCTAATATTTTGTAAACAGAAATAATGTTACATTTTCTATAAATAGAAAAGATATAATTGCGAAATTTCTTGATTAATATAGGCAAGCTCATAATATTTTTTACAATACACGAAGGAAGAGTCGAGAAACAAATTTCAATAAAAAGGAAGATAAAATTTCTAGCTGTTAATATATAATTGCACAATGTTTTTATAAAACGATATAATTGGAAGATTGAAATAAATTATTTCATATTTGCTTTAAAAGTATTATACATCATATACATATCAAACAACGAAATATACACATTAAAGATAAAATAAATAGATGCAAACTAATAAAAAATATAAGAAAATATATAATATTTATATAATATATAAATTATATATATGTATATAATATTATATATACATACATACATACATATATATGTGTATATATATATGTGTGTGTGTGTGTGTGTGTGTGTGTGTTGTATGTATGTGTATGTGTATATCAATAGTAGCAAGATCGTTCAATGATTTATTGTTAATATAGAATATGTGAAAATGACTAGGTTCGATTCTGAGAAGCAGTTCTTTATGCTTCTTCATAGAACAAAAGTTTAATATATATACACATCTGCATCGATAGCAATGGAATATCGTACATATATATTAAGCTCAAGTTCGCCAAGTACAAGCATCAACCAAAAAACTAGCATTTGGCAAGCTTGGTCGGGTCTTTTCTTGTCTCTATGTATATATAAGAAGGAAAAAACCTCCTTATCTATCAAAGTCCTTCACTAAATCCTGCTGTTGATTATCATCGATCTACAAAGCACGAGTTCTCCTATATTCCTTTATCAGCCTATAACGAATAAAATTGGTATTAGACTAGACTGTTCCACCGAAAATCGTACAGCTTATTCTCGTCGTCGATTCTATTCTATTACAAGCTATATATGCATAAAACTGACTGACATGATTCATCAGCACCAGTGAATGTGTACAAGAAAACATTGATCGCTCGTTATCGATTATTCTTATATAGCTGTTATAGTATCGAAAGATTCGCATATTCCAATGCGAAGAACTAAAGCTCGCCAAACCGCACGATTTCTACGAATACTTTGCGATCTACTGTCTTCGTGGATTATCGGCATCCTTCGATCCCTCGCCAGTGTCTGCGTCCCTCGGATAATCTTTAGAATTTCTGTCTTTGAAATCACGAGAATGATAATAGTGATTACTTTCCCTTCGCGATGCTTGACCTCTATACTTGCGGTTGTTGCCGTCACGACCGTAATTGCGATATTCGCGCGATCTGTATGATGGTGACTCGAAACAACTATTAGCAGCTTCCGCTGATCTTACGCTACCATTCTGGAGTTGGGGTAAAACGGTCGAATCTGCCGCATCCACCTGATGATCCGGCTTTTCGTGCCGATTTGTGTTGTATCTGTAATAAAATTTTATTTTTTAAGGTTTTACATTCCATGACATTAATATTTTTAAGACAACTCCTATATATGGGCGCCCGCAGGATTTTTTCCAGGAATTAAATGCTTTCTATTCTTTATTTCTTGTTCTTTATTTTTATTTATATTAAATACGCAAATAAATTCCAGTATTTATTCAAAAGAAGAACAAATGCTTAATTTTTTACTGATTTCTGGCTTTCCCTGTGGACGCTAATGCTCCTACATATATGTAGGAAAAAAATTCTACGAGTTTAACAATACCTCGATGATCTGCGATGCCAGTAGCTCGGTATTGGTAAGGGTGGAAATTTACGAGAGCTCTGTTCCTGCATCGTTGTACTCGTAGGCGAAACACGGCTATGATGACTATTGTTACCGTCGCGAGAACGCCCTCCACCTCTGCTAGAACCGGCATTATTTACCGAAGAAGCTGAGGCTCTCAGAGAGGCTATCTCCTTCTTTTGATCCATGTTCTCCTTGTGCAACCGTTTTACCATCGCGTACGATTCCTCCAAAAGAACAACCAGACTTGCTTGTACGGGATCTCCGACTTGAATACCCACATCTGTCATCTCGATTTTATTCTTTTGATCTTTGGTTGTGTCCAACCTTCTGCAGAAAAAAAATGTTAGTTTATTGTTAGCACATAGTATCTTTTAAGCGTAAAATAAACTGACTTTTTTTGCTGCTCTATAATGCTTGATAAATACTGGTTATGTGTTTTTGCCTCTTGTAATGATGCCTTAATGTCTTGTAAGTCTTTCTCCAGAAGCTCCACTTGCAGAGGTGTTACATTGACACATATTGGGCTATTCTGTAAATACAATTTAAACTTTTAAATCTCAATTTTATAGAAAACATTCTTTAAAAGAAGAAAAATCTTAGAAAAATATTTGATAACAAAATTATCAAATACTCAAACTACAGTATTGTTATAAATACCTTTGATTTCGCAAACCCATTTCCATTATCTTCAGGCGAAGAAGGACTGCTAGCCACATTGCAATGTGCTCTTTTGGAGAATACTAATTGAAATTGTAAATCTACAAAAATTTATAAAAAGATGTAAGAAGCAAGATATTCAAGGAGAGCAAAAAAGATGTATAATTAACAAGTTATTTCTATTACCTCTATTTCTTTGACGCAAGGATTCTATCTCCTGATGTAAAGCAACCAAAGTTGCCTGATGCTGTTCTTGTAAAAATTTCATGTTCTGCTCAAGCTGCACCACTCTGTCTATATTCAAGCTTTGATGTCTAACATGTGCGAATCCATCATTTCTTTCGCTCAAAGAAACCAAATCAGGTGGCGCTTTCTTTCCCTATAATGTGAGTAATTATATAAAACTTATAATTATAAGCTTGGAATCTTTTTTATCAAAGTACACAAATATTGTCAATAATGTGTAATATTGCTTAACAATGCTGCAGAGTTTTATATATTTAATTTTAGTAGTAAAAGATAATTACATGAATTAAGAAGACACACAGATAAGTATATTTAGGTAAAATTAAAAAGAATAATTTCTATATGTGCAGTAATTTATAAACTAACATATAAAAATATTTACTTACTTGAGGAAAGGGCACTGTTGGTAATTTCATCAGCACTTTAGATGTCATTTTCAAGCTTGTTGTTACCACAAAGTAGAATTCGTCTTTGTATTTTCCTCTTATTTATTTATAATATTTATCCTTCTTGACAATGGAATAACTAACATTCAACAGTCAAGGAGAAACACAATTGTACAGCCCAAATTTGTTAGCATAAACAAAGCTTCTTCAAGTGTCTTATCATAAAGCAACCTAGGAGAAAAATATATAATTTTATAATTAGAATTGCAAAAATCTAGAAGAAACAAGATGAAAAAAATGCAAGACAAAAATCAAATAAATGTACGCTTTTACAATGATTAATTCCAGATAAAATGTGCTGCAAAAATAATACAATTTTCGTATTTTTCGTACAATCTATTGCAAATAAAAATTGAATAAAAATTGTGAAAATTCATAAACATTTCTCATTCGAATCACGGCATACGCCATATAAGAGGGGGGGAGGGGCTTTAACACTGGCTAAGAATTAACGATCACAAGAAATAAATAACGGAGCGAAGAGACTCGAGGAAATGCGTTACTTCGTTAAAGAGCGGCTAGAATACACATCGATGAATATTCGATGAAAAAAACACAATTGCATGAAGATGCACACCTTACCGAATGTATTCAAGCTCGCGGAAGATTCGATAGGACGAAAAGCGGATGAAAATTGCGAGAGCGCAGCAGAAATCCGAAGATTGAATGAGAACGTCCTGCGCGCACATCGGTGACGTCACGTCAATCGCCGATTGGCCGGCGACGTTCAAGCATGGCGGCGTTTTCGAAACTCAAATTCCGAATAATTTCTATGCAAGTTTGTTTCTCCTCGCAATTGCTTGAAAATCCATCTGCTCGATCCGCTATTTTATTCATACGAATTTTATCTCGTCCCGTTTTCGCGTTTCCAAAGAATCATCGATTCTCGCGTCCGCGTTCGAATTTCCCGCGTTTTCTACCATTGACGAGGCATCCGCCTTTCCTGCAAGGATGCTCATCGCCGTTTTCTCGCTTCTATCGGAAATCATATTTGAGTTATTTCATTATCTCGCACGATGAATCGCGAATTCGCCGGATTAGACCGAAGCGGCAACGTCCATTTGACGTTTGACGTTTGACGTTTCGTGTGACGTTTGACGCTGCGTTTGACGTTTCACGCTGCGTTTGACGTTTGAGGACGGCGCCGCGGATGAGCACCACTGATCCCGCTCTCGCGACGAGGATACACCCCATTCGTCGTCGAGGTTAACCCGCGCCTTCCGAACCGCTCTCGCTCGGAACATAGTATTGATCCGTCAATCCGTCGTAGCCGCGCCCACGCGCCCTTTTTCGATCGTATCTACCCCGCGTAGCTGAACACGTGATCCCGATGATAAAAACCCTCGACCATTTATTTCTCGTCTCGTCGTCGATGCGAGAGCGCAGGAATAATTGCACGATCGAGTATATATTTTGTCTCTCATTTATATATGCGTGAAAAAAATGCAAAAATTGAAAGAAAAAAATTATCTCATAAAATCTATATTTATTCATTCCATCATTTAAATCCGGTAATTTCAGCTAATGAATTTATATCGAGCGATTTAAGAAAACATTTTTTTAAGACATATTATTACTACGAAATTTATCGTTGTCCTTGAAATTTGACATTTGTATTCCGCGGAATATTTCATTATAAATATCGATCGGAGCGTATATATATATATATATATATATATATATATATATATATATATGCACACACATATATACATATCGTTACTGAACAATTCTTCTTCCAAATAGTAGTAGTACAGTAATTATCTCCGAAAGAGAGAGGGAGAAAGGGGGAGAAATTCAACAAGAAAAAAGATATCGATTTTACAAATTTACACCCAATTTCAGCCCAGTTCAGGAAAGGAACCGAAAGGAACTTATCTCCATGTTCATCTTTCGCGTTCCCATGCAAGGAATCGTGCCCCAGTGTATTCTGTTTTATAAAATTATTACATTTACTTCCCTTTGATATCGGTTATTTATGGCACGGCTGAGGGAACGCGAATGAGCGCGAACGTACCTTCGGAAGTACCGCACATAACCAAGGAAGGATGTCACTCCTTTTAAATCACGCAGAATCCGCCTATCTGAACGATAACGAAACGGAAAATTTATTTCTTTTCGATGACGAAAGCGAAGATTATAATTTTAAGGTAGATATATACTCAGCAGACATGATTTACCACATATATATATATATATATATATATATATATATATATATATATATATATATACAATCATATATGTCATTCTGCATATGTACACATTTATAGTATTTTATTTTTTCTACCCATGTTATTACTGTTTTTGAAAAGAAAGATATATACTCAGCATGATTTATCACATTATACAATCATATATGTCAGTCTGCATATGTATACATTTATAGTATTTTATTTTTCTCACGCATGTTATTACTGTTTTTGAAAAGAAACAGATTCACTTTGTTCTTTTATTTCTTTCTACAGTATGTACCTGCAAATCGTTTCAAGTACATAGTAAAAGATGTACGCAGACAGAGATGTAGAGAGGAAGAGGAGAATGTATGGGCTTCTTTCGTCAAACAGCAGGAGTTAAATGGTTACAATAAAAATGGCATTCAACCGTCTATACAAAGTATTAAACAGCTGTTAGATGAAGGTATGAAGGAAGCAGACAAAGAACTTAAAAAATTAGAGACTGATATTCTGCCTGATAGAATAAAAAAAGAGTGCGGCAAGAGTGGAAACAATCAAAAGAAAAGACTAAAGGTAAAAAGAAATTTTCTACAAAGCTAATGCAATAAGAAGATGTATCGATTAGATTGCTAAAATTTGCATATATAATAACAGGTAAATAATATCAGGGACTTGACCCGAAGAAGATAACTCCGATTACAAAAGACACTGGAACAGGTAGCACCAATTTACTGCTTACGATTCCCGAAGAGGAGAATGCTTCTGGTTTTTATGAGAAAAAGCAAGAGCCCGAACATTTTAAATCATACGTCAGGAGAGCTCGCTCCGGAAATGCGATATCGCAAAAGAAGCAATCTTCATCGAAGCAGCTTCACCGTACGACTAATGATCTCGAATACAATTCCAGTCCTGAAAGTAGTGCACGATGTCGCGACGACGTCGGAGATGGAGTTATTCACGTACGACCGGATCCATTTGTCATGCACAAAATTCTGACGATGCAAAGGAAGGTTTGCGAGTTGCTGGATGAAATTGCATTGAGACTGGGAAACATTCCACCGCCGGATGGCATCAAAGATCTGCAGAGGCGGCAGCAATGCGTTGCCGAATTCGCCGTACGATTCTCCAGAAATTATCTGTACGATCTCAATCGATACGTTAAGGACATCCAGAGGCATATGTGCGTTATATCGCCACGAGCGATAATAAGACCGAATCACCGAAGTCTCGGACTCCACATGCATGCGATCGAACACAAACTACTCGCCGCTCATCAACTGCTGCTGCATGCATTAGTTGCTTATTGCAAGCACATTCCTAGTTCTATTCTCAAGGGGCATCCAGGAAAATTTAGAGAGATATTACAAGTAGTTATCGATCTAAAGACTATGTGCGATAGGCTCCATTTAAACTATCTCGATTCGGGGGACACTGATATTTTGATGCTGGTAATGTTTTAGTTATTATTATCAATTTATGATATATACTTAATATATTTGAAAATTAATTGCATCTCTTTGCACCTAACAAAAGTGCAAGATTTAAATTCGCTTACAGGTTTTCTAATTATAGGGAAAGGATATTGAGAAAAAGTGTAATATCATTTTGTTCAAGTTGAAGCTTCACGTAGAAAACGATCTCCTTGATCCTAATAAAACGTCGTCGATGGCATCTTTCACTCCGCATTCGTCGAATAAAAAACGATTGAACCGTAAACAGTTATCTAATCGTTTAAGTATGTATAGTATGGAAAATGCCAAAGCTGCCAAAATTAATTCTAAACATAAAACAAGTACGTAAATGTCTATTTTTCATACAAATTAAATATATTTTGTAATATTTTAACTTGTACGAATTATATGCATGTCGTGCATTATTTTTCTAGATTATTATCAAAAGGATAAAAAATCGAATGCAATAGATACAAATGTGAAAAGAATTTCCAACGAGCCAATATCCAATCAGTCATATATCAGTCCTGTAACATCATCTAAGGATGTAAATCAAATTAGCGTTAGAAAGAATAGAAAGTATGCAAAAGAGGAGGATATAAAAACTGTGATGGATATGCTACCTACAGATTCAGATAATGTAAAGAATTTAGAATAGTGTAGAATAGACATATTGTAATATTAACATTTTATTTTATATATATATATATCTCGGCCAATAGAGCCAAACGCGATGTTATGGCGAAAATTAATTTTATTTTTTATATGCTTTTTAGTGCAGCAATTTTGAAACACAAGAAAAACATAATGCGATGCTCACAAGGAGAGTAACTAAAGCGTCGAGAAAATTTTCCGATAACTTGCCAGATTCAAAACAATCAGAAAGTATAGAAAATATTGTTGAAAATACTACCACAAATAAGGATGACGAATTAATGAAAAAAATGACGACAATCACGGAAGAACATTTGTCCAGTTTAGTGCCAATTATAGCAGATCTTATGTCTTTTGTTTCTAATAAGGTAAACTGTAACAATAATAAGCAAATTACCTAGAAAAATAAGATTCTAAATTCAGTTATCTTTTTAATCGCACTATAAACATTTCTTAAATTTACATGTATAGCAAAATGAATCAGAGCCAGTTTCGAAAACTACCACAAAAACACTAATGGAATTTCTGCAGAAATATCAATCGCCTAAGAGCACGAATATCAGCTGTGATATATGTCATTCTGCTGTAGGAAGCAATTGTGAATGTGAACACTTGAAAATAAGCAGGTAATTGTTTAGACGTATTTTATAAATATACTTAATATGTTTTAATTTCTTATGATATTTAAAGAGAAAAATAAGAGAAATAAAAATTAATATTTTGTTTTTATTAAGAACTTTGGCTGAAACACAAAAGAATGGCAAAAACATGCGACTAATTTGTATGTCATCAATAGAGAATGCATCAAAAGTACCACGTTATTGTGATGCATCGTGCCAAGCAAACTGTGAAAGCTTAACAGAACTGTCAGATTTCGAAATAAAGGTAAATGATAAATAAATAATAACTAAAGAGTATAAAAAATAATAAGTATAAAGAATACAATTTTATACTAATTAACATTCTGAATTAATAGATGAGGGAAGGAAAACGCAGGACAAATTCGTTGAATAACATCGAGCTCGTTGTTTCTGAAGAGACTGAACTAAATTTTCTAAAATATAGACGTGAATATCAACGTTTAATGGAATCGGTTCCAATGTATTCTAGCAACACACAAAACAAACCATGGGACATTGTCGCGTGGTAAGTATAATATTGAAAAATAGATTAAGGATTTTACATCTATATTTACACATTAATTATATTACTCTGCAGGATATCCGATAAGCTTGTAGATGAATTAATAATTGAGATATCAAAAGAATTGCAAATAGACGATGTCATACAGAAGTTATTCGAGTTAGAATTTCAAGAATTTTAATGCTAATAATGTGCATCTCGTCTGTATCAAAATCTGAAAAAAAAAACACACAAAAAGGCACAAAAAGGAATCGTATAAGGAATTTTGCATGAATTTGAGATATTTTTTATACGTATAAACTGATCAAAAATTTTGAAAATAAAATATTGTTTTCTAAATATATATATACATATCTTTTCCATTAATTTTTATATTTAATTCGTCTTTTCGTTCAAGAATTTATTCATTACGTTGAAATTAACACACGTTTGTGTGTATATATATATATATATATATATATATATATTTTGATAAATAAAAAAAAATATATATATATATTGATATATATATATTTTTTTTTATTTATTATATATATATATGACATGAATTATATGCGCATGCGCAGTTTTCAATATGGCGACTTACATTGAGTCCGTGAGTAAATTGTATTGAAAGCGATTTCTACGTATTCTCATGTATCTTCACGTTTCCAATTTAGAGTTTGTTTGCATTTCGATTTAGTCTGATTTATTTTGATAAATCGTGATGAGCCTGCAAGTGTTGAAACTTTACAAGGATATTCTGAGATATGGAGAAACTTTGAGATTCACAAATAAGGGATATTTTCGACATAGAATACGAGTAGCTTTCAAAAATAATAAAGATCTTAATGACGAAACACTGATAGATTTTCACTTAAAGGTAATTATGCTGTGTTTCATTCATGTATAAATGATATATCGTTAATATTATATTATAACCTCTCTTTTTTTTCTAGCTTGTACATTTATATTTTTTCTCAATATCTACTGTATTTACATGGAATTACTTTCAGAAATTTAAAATTGATCTCTATTTTATTACATTTTTCTCATTTATATTTACATTTTATAAAAATCATTACGTGTTTTTCAAATTTGAAATTTTTGTATTTCCTATATTATCTTATGTAATAGTAATGTAAAAATTTCATATTGATCCGATCAATCTAAAATTAATTTCCCCTTTTTCTCCTGTTTCAGAAGGGTATGAAATTTTTGGAAGACAAAAAAGTGCTATAAATAATCTTATTTTATAATGTAACGAGAGAGACTAAGTATAAAAATAAAGTTATTTTTATTCTTTGGTGGCCTTCCGTGAGACTGTATACAACTGTACATTTTATAAGGAGAATGATGTTTACATTCTTATCAATGTGTCAAAAGACCCACAGCAGGATCTATTCGTCAATCAATCGTGAAAAGTTCCTGTTACTAGGTGCTGCGATTAATAATTATGAAAATGTGCCACTGCGCAGCAAGTCATTCAAACGTCACCTTGATTACTCAAATGTGCCGAAGCTGGATGAAGCCGACCTCGAGGAACAGTTCATTCGTGGCTGGGGTCCAGGTGGTCAGGCGACAAACAAGACGAATAATGCTGTAATGTTAAAGCATAAACCAACAGGCCTCGTTGTTAAGTGTCACGAGACGAGGAGTCTGTTGGAAAACAAGAAACGAGCACGCGAGATTATGATAACGAAGCTTGATAATTTGCTGAACAAGGAGCGTTCCATCGAAGCTCAGATACGCATCCTCGAGAAAAAAGGACAAGCTCAAAAAGAATATAAAAGAAGAAAGCTAGCAGAGATGAAAAAAGCCTTTCAAGAACGCGAAGGTTTGACGTAATGTTAGACTTATTTTATGTAAATTTCCTCCAGGAGGTGTACATGTATAAATTTTAGTTTTAAAAATAAATATAAAATACACGTAGATTGTCGTTTTTAATTTAAAATAATCAATGGTTGTGTTAATTATAATCAACTAATTATAATCAAATCAAAGCACTTCAAGTTGTATCTTAATTTATCTTCTGGTTCTGAAGTTTCTAGAGAAATAAAAAATGTTTGATTATAGAAACTATATATAAATTGCGGTATAATTTTTGTTATTATTAGATTAGTCATTCTTAATAGATTATAAATAGAATTACACATATAATTTAGAAAAGAAACAGCGCCAATTTTTCTAGAGATTATCTATTGACTAGGTCAATTACAATTGAACTCTACATAAATTAATCTAGATTTTTTTTCATGGAATTATAAAGGTATAATAAAACAATTTTTAATGGAAAATTTTTATATCTTTAATAATGATAGTTTCTCTTTTTGAACTCGTGAACGACTTACAGTTTTGTTTGAAATAAAGTAAATAGATATATACTGAAAAAAAATTGAAAATAAAGAACATTATCTTCAATAATATGCAGCATAACAGAAATGAGTGATTATACTGTTATAAAGCTGTATGCAGTCTTGCGTACTCTAAAAATGTAAATACACTCTATATAGAAATTATCCTTAATAAATGATTTGAACAAAACGACTGTCTTTGAAGTGATATACAATTTTCGTCTAATGCAAAATGACGAAATAAAGGAATATAATAAAAAAAAGGAACAACGACAAATATCTTTAAAAAAAAAACCCAAAAAAGAGGGGTAATTTTCTGTTTTCCAAAAACAACGACCGCATCGAAAGAATGTACAAGTGGGATGTATACCTCGTGGTGGAGAGCGTTATAAACTAGCCACCTGAAAGAACGTCACTAAGTAGAATGATAATAATCACTAAGGATAGAGAGAGATAGAGAATACTATGATGCGACGTGTTAAATACTATTCTCTACGTACACAAATAATATTTTTATACACAATGTACATCGCGTCAAACGGGACAATATCGGATCGCGAGAAATCGACCGTCATTCGACAGAAATCTAACAAGTCCAAGTACTCTTCCTCTTTCTCTAATCTATATATCTTCAGCTGCTCTTCAACCACCGTCCAAAGTGGCCTCGGCTGGACTTGATGCGCTTCCTCGGCGGTTTGGGTTTGTTGGATCTCGGGGAACCACCGGAACTTCTCAATCGCCGGTTGCTCGCCACCGTCACCGTCGACAGGACCCCGTGATCCACGTCAACCTGATCGTCGAGTTTCATCATCCGCACGACCGGCTGGAATTCCATGCTCGAGCGACGTTGCTCCAACTCGGTGGACGCTATCGAGGACAGACTGATGACGCGCTCCGACAAAGCGCACTGATCCATCATCAGGTCGGACGAGTTGTCCTGGACAACGTTGCTGTCCGACGACGAGATGGCCTCGCTCTTGCGCTTGGCGTTTCGCACGCCAGTACCCGATGACTGCTTCTTGTTACAGGTAGACGTGATACTCAGGTAGCCGTCCTTCTTACAATTCTCGTCGTCGTATACCATGCCGACGTGATGATCGGACGACGACAGATTGTTGTGGGCGACCGCCGTCTTCGATTGACGTTTCCTGGAATAGATGCGCCTCCGCGAGCCCATTCTGCCCCGCCTCGTCGTGGCGAACACGATGCCGTGCTGACGACCGTGTTGCTTCAACAATTCCCCCGTGTTCTCAGACGAGTTCTCCTCGCAGTTGCCGCCTCGCAGCTGCCGCTTTGGCGACGACAGCTCAGAGTTGGAGTTGTTGTGGTGTTTCTTAGGAACTATACCGGTCTCCGTCTCCTTCCTGCACTGCTGCAGCTGTATGCTGTCCCGATTCTCGATCTCCGTGTCTCGCGACTCGCAACTGTTGTTGTCGACGGTGACGACGTGGTCGCGCTGCCGTTGCTTCCTGACAACCGGCGACGACTTGACAACCAGATTCCTCTCGGTGATCGCGTTCACGTCTTTTCTGCCAAACAGGCTCTTCTGATTCTCGTGATTCTCGTCGTTGCCCGACTCGTCGTTCTCCGACAGCTCCTCGATTCTCGACAAGTCCTTCCTACATGGATAATCCTTGCTCGACAAATAGCTCTTGTTCGTTGTGTCGCACGCGTTTTCCGAAATGGACAACGATTCCACGTAACTGCTCGTGTTGTCGTCAACAGCTTCCACGTTGGTAGCACAGATCCCCAGCAAGGCGTCAGCGTCGTTCTTCCGGTTGACGTTTGTCCGTTCCACGACGGTTGGCAGGACGATGTTGTTGTTCGTGGTCGTGACCGTGTGAGAATCGGTCCCTTCCGACAATTTGCCGGACGTGTTCAGCGTACTTCCAGCAAAACTCTTATCAGGATAGAGCCTCTTCTCCAACAATGATTCCCGATGGTCGCAGTCCACGGACACCTTGCTGTTCGCTTGTACTTTCTTCTTCATCTTGTTACCAACCGGCCACCCGGTCCGGTTTTTCCTTCGTTTCCTTCGTTTCAATGGAGTGTCCGTATTCGTCTCCCCGCACTCGGAGCTGGCACATGACGAGTTGTTCTCCAAACAGTTGGTGATGTCTTGGCAATTGTCAAACAGCTCCAACAAATTTGATGGGGCGCCCTTCGGCATCCCACAGATACCGTCGACCTGCTCCAAATCCAAGTCGGGCGTGAACGAATCCAGCTCCGTTATCATATCCTTCGTGCTCAGCATATCGTCGATCGTTTTGGCTATCTCCTTCAGCTCCACGTTCAAATCCGACTTGAGATCCTGCTTCTGCTCGGGTTTCGGCGTGTTCGTGCGCGACCTAACAAATTGCGGCGACTCTTCTCTCGTACGCAAGGTCGACTGCTGCTGTTCCTTTTTGCGGAGTATGGTGGACATGATTGCCAGTGTGGATGCATGGCAACGAGGACTTTTTCTCGGTGAACGTCCCACGCATCCTATACCACGTCCGCGACCCCTTTTCCTACCCCCTAAGTCGATTCTACTCTGCATCTTCATCAGCATTTCGTGAAAATTTTCAATCTCGTATGGCAGTAAAAATGGTTTCCTCGCGTCGCACTCGCTGAAGCAGTGCCAAAACTCAGCGCCCATATCCTGACGTTGATACGTTTGATACCACGGCTCGGACTTGGGTATTGCCTCGAAGGAGAATTGCATCTTCTCAATCTCCGTTGACGGTTTGGACGGATAAATCTCAGCTACATTTTCGACCTGTGCTTTGCAGTCGTTGGATTGTTGCGCCGACTTCTTTAACCCCGCGTGTTCCCTACCATCCGCAAACGCGGCGTCCTTGATACCGGTCAACGGAGCCTGGTACCTCAATCTGCTGCCCGGCGTCTCGAACTTGTAGTAGTCGGTGTTGTCCTTGATGAACGCTTCCGCCTGCGTACGTCTCCTTTTTCTCGCTCTACCCAGGTGCACAGAGTCCTGCGAATCCTCCTCCATAATCTCCTGTTTCACTGGACTGGAATTCAACGGCGAACTCAGCAACGTGGACGAATTGGCAGTTTCGTTGACTTCGCTGTTCTCCGACGTATCTTTCGGCAGCACGCTACTCTGCTCGTTGTCGCTGAGCGATTCGGTCGAGTCGTCTCGTTTCGGTTCGCCAAACATAAAGGACTCCGCCTCGTCGCTTAACAAAGACAACTCTGACTTTCTCACGCGCTTAAACCGCACTACCACCGGCTTCTCGCTCGACGACGGTGCTTCCTTCTTCTCCTCGCCGTCGCCGTCCTTTGACACCGTGTGTTGTTGCGAATTGCCACTATCCGTCACTGCACTCGATCGCAGCTTATTACCCAACACTTCCACCTTGTAATACGCGCGATTGTCCTCGATCAAACGTTCCTCCACCGACAGTCGATGTCGATATCGACCTCTGATACTTCTGCCGCCCCTTCGGTTGAGACGGGAAGGATGCTTGGGCTTCGCGCAACGATTGTTCTCTCCCTGCAACGCTTTCAGGTCCTTTTGTTCATTTTTATCGTTGTTATATTCATCGCAAATCAATTCCTTCGCATCGTCCGACAACTTTCTCACTTCTGTCGTCACTTTTTCCGCTTGCAACGAGCAATTGTCCCTTTGAAGCGGGTCGTTGCACGGTTTGTAATTCCCAGTAAAACTATTGTCAACTACACCATTTTCTACACTTATCATACATTCCAACGCGCACGCGTTTTCGTCACCGTTACATTCATCCTTATTCTTGAGGTAATCCGAATCTTCCGATATACGACGCGAATTTATAATACCGTTTTGCGTATTGTTATGTACAATCGCCGGCTGCAAGTTTGGCGGATCTAAATGATTACTATGCTTACTACTGATATTATCTTCCTTAGCGTTTAAAACGTCATCGATATCATTCGAGAAGGGCCTTTTATAGTCCTCCCGCTTTGATTCCTTCCGTAGAATGTCCTCCTCCGCGTACTTCTCATCCGGATCATCTTCCTCGATCCAAATAGTACCTTTCGAACGTTTCTTGATAGTGTAACCTTCGAACTTGTCGTACAGCTTCTCACTCTTATCGATTTCGTGCCAAGGACTACCCTTGGATCTGAGAAGATGCCCGCTTTCGTGTTTCGCACGAGTACGCAGATTATGCGGCGAGTTTAATTTTAAATTAAGGTTTCTACGCGCACCGTTCACCATTTTTATTTCGTCGACACTAAAGTCACTTAAAGTTTTGGTGTTTTTGTTAACCTTTTCCTCAGGCAGTACTACATTGTGAAGATTACCATCTCCATTGGGGAAACAATCACAGTCTTTCCTGTAAAATAAAAATAAACTTAATTAGCAATTGTAAATGCGCAATCAGTGATATGTGTGATGTGTATACGTCAAATAAATATTGAATAAATAAAATGAAATAAAGAATATGTGTATGCATATGTAAACATTTGAATTGCAAATTCTTACTCGATATCCTTTCTATTTAATTTTAAGAACGCCTCCACATTGGCGCCCGCGTTGATTAACGTATCCAACGACAAGAAGTTGTCGTCGTTCGCTACAAAGTTCAAATGCTGTTCGCTTTGCAGATGTTTCGACAGATCGTCATAATGAATATGACAAATTTCGCAGTAACCAGCGACCAGCTGTTCTGTTCTGCGGGTACGTGCAGCGTTCGCACGGGGTCTCCGAGTCATTTCTTTACCCTATCAATGCAAAAAAATTATTTATAATGTTGTCTTTGAGATAAAAAATTCAATTTCAAATTTTTGTGTAAATTTATTATTTATTAATATAATATAATGTACTATATATAAAGTAAAATAACGTACCTCGGTCCTGTTCGTAGATTCAACAGCCTGCTTATTCTCCTTAATCTCTTTGTTTGTTAATTTGCTCTCTCGTTTTCCCTGCTTCTTTGTGTTAAAAGGACACGAACCTGGATCACCGTCGAAGTTTAACGTTGGCCACGACGATAATTCCAGAAATACAGGTCTAGTAGTTCTATAAACACAGATATAAAATGTGAGACAATAATATATGGAAAGGCAGAGATGTAAATATTGTATATTACAGTGTATTATTACCTATGAAAGGATTCGAATTTAACGTACGATCCTCTCAGATGCTTGACCTTGAAATCTTTCTCGGTGCTATGCTGATTGGTTTGCTTCAGCTGCTTCAAGTTATAAGAATCCTTGAAAGAAGCATAAATTTTGTCAAGCCAAGCCTGAAGCTTTTCTATCGCCCAGATAGGAATTCCCCAATTATGGGCGTTATCTAGTGGATCCACGGAACACTGTTGTGGCTGCGTCAGAGCACGTTCCAACATTGCATCCACTCGCGATTTCTGTCAAATTGAAAATACAAGATATAAATTATTTCTTTTTCACAAAGAATGAAATAATGTCAATAGATATATATAAAGGCAAGTAATGCAATGTGACAGATAGAGCATTCATTTCTTTATCACAGCGTGACAAATGTCAAATATAGACTTCTATACGACATATCGAAAGCTTTCGACACGATTAATTATTTCCATCTCCTCTGCATACTTACAGATCTTTGGGTAGTTTGACCCCGTAGATTGGTGTAGTTGGACGAGGGGCATTCAGAACTTAGCAACGGTGTTGAGGGTGTAGGAGTAGGCGTGGGAACTTCTATGCTTTTCAGCGAACGGGGTCCGCCGCTGCCGCCACTGGCGCAAGTCCATCTATGCCTCTCAGAGTTTGTATGACCTGTCTTATCTACTCTATCGCTGATTACAAGACTCACACCACGTACTAGAAACAATTCGATCGTCTAAAAACAGAAAACCTCAAGTTGAAACAATGATTGGACAATGCAGTGGGTAAATAGAGCAGAGCAAAAGCGAGTATATAAACAAGCACATATAAACAAACAAAAATTTAAGTGATCAACTAACACTCAGATCACATTCTCTCCAAGCGAAACTCGGAGCCAAGGCCTCTCGGAACTTCTTTCGACGCACAGAGGACAAAGAACCTTCAATGCTGTCTCTCTCTCTCGAACAAGCATGAGCGACCGACAGAACGAAAGAGAGAGAGACGCTCCAGCAACTTTCCTCGGAAATTTATCGTTTGCGCAACGAGCGAAACGTCGTCGTCGTCGTCATCGTAGCAGGACACACGTACAGACACACATGTCTACAAACGAGGGGCCCTGATACTCGGGCACACGCTTGCATCGCGTTACGCTGACGTCAAGTGATTTCGCGAACAGCCTTCCTCGGAGCGGTCGCAGGGCAGTGGCAGCGACCAGAAGGGGGGGAGGAGGGGGCGGGGGTGGGGGCGGTGACAGCTGCGGCGGAGGCGCCGGCAGGGGCCGACCGTTACACAGGGGAACCCGATCCGGCGTGCCACCGCGAAGTCTGATCTTGGTGACGTAGTGGACGCCGCCACTCGCCGTAGGTCGTCGTCGTCGCCGTAGGTCGTCGCATAGCGTTGGCGGTCTAATAATATATACGTCCGACGCGTCACCCGCCCCCGGCCGTCGTCTCTCCCCCGGGAATTAGAACGGAGGCGTGAGGGAGCACGTGGGGAAGCGGTCCCCGGAAGTCCCCTGACATTCGACGTTTCTGAGAATCCTGAGAGCGAGAACCGCGTACTCGTCTAAGGGGACGAACTGTCAAACGTCCCCTCCGACGTTAACACTCGGATGTACACTTGGCTGAGAGAGAGAGACTCGCCGATGAATCGCGTCTCTCTCTTTCTCTCTCTTTCTCTCTCCTTCGACGCGAAGAGGTGCCGCGAAGGAGATTGAACGAGGATGCTTAATTAAGGTCGCGCGCGAACGTACAAGCGGAACGGACGGGAGGAGAGAGCCCGAGACGCCTTGTTAGCTGCTTCGGCTCTTGACGTGCCACCGCTGTACTCCGCGGCCGACACAACTGTCACGCACAAAATGGCCATTCGCCGTTAGTAGCTTGGCACAGGGGCCTGGAGACGGCGCGCGCGTCCGCGCCACTCTCGAGTCGGAGCCGAGGGCAACGAGAACAGCCAAGTTTTCCGTCCGCCACGGCGTTCTCTCCTTTCATCTTCCGATCGACGCTTTTCCAAATTTTCGCGCACAAACACGCGTGTATGTGACGTATGTATAGATGGATAGATAACGCGCGCGCGGATTTCTCGCTCACAGATGGCGCGGCAGAACGCGATTTGTTTGTCAACAGAGGACGCGAATCTCTCCTCGGTGTGACGAGAGATCAGATTCTCTTTTCTCCTTCTACTACTACTGCTCTGCTGTGCGATTTGACAGCTGCTCTCTATTAATAGGAGGACGTTGCGAAGGCGAGTCGGTATTCGCGCTCCTTCTTCCGCTTCGCGTCCCGAGAGAAATTAATTCGCTCATCCCCTCCGGTTAAACTGTTGACAGTTTGGCTCGATAAAGAGTGCTTCGAGATATCAATCCAAGCTTTGTATCGTGTACTGTTGTTACGTTTCAAACGTGTCGTTGAAAACTGTCAAAAACTGTCATTATCTATCGATCTTCAATGTCAGCTGTTTTCCTTTTTTTTCTATCAAAGTCACCTGTCATTTATCCTAAAATGTAAACAAATTCTTTTTCCCGAACTGCTCTTTGTCCTTGTTTTATTTTTGTTTCCCCTTTTCTTTTGACGTTACGAACTTTGCGCCTCGCTCCGGAAGATGGCGCGAAACGGCGCCAAGTTCGCCGATGTGGAAATTGTTGTTTGTCAACAGAAAAAAATTCGTTCCGGGTATCCGAGACTTCGGCGAACGTACGTAGATACTAAAACCTCGGCGTCGGCCGGTTTGCCACGAGCGTTGCCGAGAGAGGCTGAATTTAGGGCGTAGCCCGTCGTGCGCGCGGCTCGGCAACGACGCGGCCTCGAGTCCTCGGAAACCCGCCGTCGCTTCCTCCTCCTTCGAGCGGAACGCTCGGTCACGTCCGCGAGGGTCAGTCCCGCAAACGTCCCGGGTCATTCTTCCTCTTCCTTTTTTTATATCTACATATATATATACAGGGTGTATCTAAATAAGTGCGAACAATTTTAAGAGACGTTTCTTTGTCGAAAATTAAGGGGGCTTTCTTATATAAACACACATGTACTCTTATATTTCTCCTTGAGGAGTTACATTTTTTCTAAAGAGGGAGGTATACATTTTTTGTTCTTAAATTTTAGACAAATTCAAATATGAAACTTGCTGGATATTTTCCACTAATAAAAAGGATATATTTATTAATATTTAGAAAAATAAAACTTAATTTTTAAGTTTCGACAAAGAATAATCTGTTAAAATTTTTCGCACTTATTTAGACATCCTGTATATACTCTGTATTTCAAACTGAATGGAAGATTTTTTTTGCAAATAAGGAAGTCGAGGAAGAACGCGCGGGATTAAACGGAACCTTATATGGCGTTTTCGATCATCATTCGCGGAACGGAGCTAGTAATATTTATGACAAACGACTGCCTACGTGGTTTCTTGTGTTCCGTCGATAGAATTTGAATTTTCAATCTTAATTATAGATTGCACGATGTACATAAAAGAAAATTTTGAATTAAAAAAATCTTAATTGAACTTGAATGACAAGTCAAATTAATATTTCTCGTCGCGCAAAAATTTTATACGTTGCTATTAGAAAAATTATAGATTTTTTCTATTCCATTCACAATACTATTAATATTAACGTATTAAAGAAATTTATATATTACTTCAAATATAATTTATATTACATTAAAACATATTTTTCTATTATACTGTCCAAATATGGCAAAAATTCCAAGTATTTTTCGCTCTAAAAAATGGAAGTAATTGGAATAAAAGCACGACAGGTCGAATTTAGCAGCCGTTTGCGAGTGACCCGGTAAAGTTGGGCGCGCGCGGGATTTTTCGGGGACGAGTTTGGCATGTTCCGGCAGTTCGATAATCGCGCGCGTACTCAGTAGTATCACGCGGCAACGAGGTCGGCTTGAATGGCTCGGAGAACGCATCGCATCGCATCGCATAGCCGCGAGAGACGGAGATTCGAATTTTTTTCTTGCGCCCTCGGCAGGGGAGCAAGAGCGCGCGCGTTACGTCGAAGCGGCTATAGGCATAGTGATCGAAAATGGCGGGAAGAGAGATGGAGAACAGAGTGGGGAAGCGCGCGCGGGCAAGAAGGGGGACAAGAAAAAGAGAGGGATCGCACACTCGCCCGAAATACACACCAAATGCTCTGACAAATCGATAAGCGACGAGAAACGAAGCGGGAAACGTGGCTAAGCAGGCTCTCTACTCGTCGAACACGCAGCATCGGAACAAGCAAAGATGAAATACAACTCACTCCGCCCAGCTTCCTGATCTGTGCCTCTAGCTTGGTCGCGGTGGCATGGTTCTTCACGTCCAAGTAGAACGACTTCTTTTCCAAAGGCTTCAGCCCCTTTTGTATACGTATATCTACAAAACAAGTTTCCATTTTATTCATCTTTACATTTGCTTAACATTTGATGATTCCTCGTCACCTTTTCGCAGATATATGACAAAAATACTTTTTTCCATTGTCCACCAGGAATGAAAAATTGGAAATATTTGTATCAACTTTCAAAGAATATAATAAAGCAAGTATCCACTTATTGTTAGTATAAATTGCTGTCTTATATTTCTACCAACTGCTGTACAAATCACATGATACAGACAAATTGGTGCAGCGTCAAGCAATAACTCGTTATTTATATTCAACAAAACATCAAACGAGATACAATGAATCATCATAATTATTTGCATTATACAAGATGATCACTCCGCAGAGGATTTATTGACAATAGTTGATGAAATTTGCATCATTCCCACACATGTCCAGTTTAACGTAGAGAGAATCTTCATCTTTTGACTCAAAGTTTAACTTCTTTTCCAGTATAATAGTGATAATAATTACTATAGATTATATTAAATTATTTATTATTACATTATATTATCATATAAATAATTATATATTTACATTAAACTTATATTACTGAAAGGAAGTTAAACCTCGAGTGTATGTGTCAGTGATCACAATAAGTTCCTTGTGTCATACAGATACACACACACACATATATATATATATATATATATATATAATGTGTGTGAGTAAAGAGACGTTAGCACAAACATTTGTAACGATGCTCGATCACGGCCGGGCCGGCTTGATTGTTATGCAACGCGAAATGACGGGATGACTTACGTGACGTTCGCCGCGGATCGGATTTATTCTCTCCCGACGTTTGTCTGTGTTGTTGATCTTGCTGCTGCTGCTGCTGCTGTTGGTGCTTGGACGGCGATACCATTCCTAAGCGATGATGATGCAGCACCGCACGACGTACCGCAACGACGTTATCCCTGTCTCACTTTCGTCCCTCGTCGTCGTCGTCGTCAGCGGCGGCGGCGCACTTCCCATCCTCATCGACACGCCGAGTAACGTCGTAGAGGCGCGGTCGCATGCTCTATCCCTTGCCCGTTTGTCTCTCCCTCTCTTTCCTAACTCGCTCTCGCTCGCTCTCTCTTTCTCGCGCTCGCGAAAATATATTCGCTCCTTCACGGCCGGATAGTCGAGGATACGCTCTATCGCGGCTGTCAAACTACGTGTCGCCGGCTGCCGCGGATAGATTGCATCCTCGACCGAACGCAAATCGTCGAAACTTCTCTTCGGATGTCGCACGCACTCGTCTCGACTCGCTCCTCGCAAGCTCGTACTGTAAACTGAAACCGCGCGTGCGCACTGAAGTTAACAGCGAGAATGGCCGAACACGCTCAGGCTGGCCAACTTGAGTGCGCTTATCATTCTGTATATAACAAAGCAACATCGAGATTTATTTTTCAAAAATTAAGGGTCGACAGGCGACATGGTGGAGACGCCTATCGGCCGGCCGGGAATTACGGATTCGTTCATCCCATATATTAGCCAAAATACTTAATGAATCTTATTAAATTTACGATATTCTTAATCAGTAGGATTGTCCGCAGGGAGACAAAGATCGATTTTTTGGAAAAAGATAAATATAAAATTCATAATATAACTTGGGAAGATGCGCAGCTAGCAGCGGGTAAGGTTGGGTTAGCCACGAGATCGTATTTAATTTATTATAAATTTTTAAGAGCAATAATGCAAAATTTGACTCTTTGTCTCCCTGCTTTATTATATAAAGAATATATTAAAAAATATTTCACGAAGCTACGTAACTTCTTTTTATGTAATATTTGGGATGAACAAATCTCACTAGATCTATACTCATGGGGAAATTTTTGTGGTAACATACTGACAGCTTGACAAGGAGAGAGTATCATTCTATCTTTGTCTCTCTTGCATTTGATATGTGTAAAATCAGTATAAATACAAAAACCAATATATTACGCACACGAATGAGAAATATTTTACATCTGCTCATTATATAAGAAAATATAAAAGTAATGCAAATTAAATTTCACATTTATTTATAATAGTATTGTGAGGTAGTAACACATATGGAAATCTTATAAGATAAATGCTGTACATCGATTAGCGTAATATTATGATTACAAGTCGCAATAAATGATTTTGCTAATATATTATTTTGAATAAAAATTTTATAAAAACAAATAAAAATAAAATGAATAAATTTTATTCATTCTTTGTTTTTTTCTATTATTTTTTCTATTATTTGAATAAAAGGCGTATCGTATGTAATAGATAAATAATAATTTATATATATGTATATATTGAAATTATATATATATATATATATATATATATATATAAATTTCAAAACGTATAATTATATATTTATATAAATTATCTATCTATTTAATCTATTACACACGATACATCTTTTATTCAAATAATAGAAAAAATATTTAATAGAAGAAGAAAACAAAGAATGAAGAAAATTTATTAATTTCATTCTTTTTGTTTTTATATTTTTTTAATTTTTATTCAAAATAATATATTAGCAAAATCATTTATTGACTTGTAATCATATTATGCTAATCGATGTACAGAATTCATCTTATATGATTTTCATGTATTAACTACCTCATAATACTAGTATAAATTAATGTAAAATTTAATTTCCATTACTTTTATATTTTTATATGGGATGAGCAAATGTAAAATATTTCTTATCCGTGTGCGTAATTTATATTAAAATATAATTATTATATAAATAATTAAATAAAAATATATATAATAAATAATTTATTATATTTATAAAAAAATTTATGTAATAAATTGTCTGTATAATATTTTACTTATTTATAAAATGTATTTTATAAATAAATAAAAAAATAAATGAATTAGATAAATATGATAAATTAGTGAATGTGGTAGGAAATGTCATATTTATTTTTTAGTCAATATATAAATTAAATGTTTATTAAATTTAATATTAATTTAAATTATATATTGATTAAAAAATAAATGAATTAGATAAATATGATAAATTAGTGAATAAGGTAGGGAAATAATTTTTTTTCTATAAATTAATTATAAAATTTGAATATAAATAAATTTTTATAAAAAAATTTTTAAAAATTTAAATAATTTTTAATGATTTATTAATATTTAAAATAATTATTTTAATAAAAATTATAATAGATAATTTTATTTATATTATTAATAAATTTAGGTGCCAGCAATTGCGGTTAAACTGATGATAAGAATAAATAATTTTAATAATTTAAAGAATATAAAAAGGAGATTTAAATATTTTTTTTTAATTTTATTTATAGTGAAATGTAATAATTTTAGTTAAAAAAAAATTTATTTTGGAAAATTTATTTCTAATTAAGTTTAAAAAGAAATTAGGATTAGATACCCTATTATTTAAATAAAAATAAAATTAATTAAATATTAAATGTAAAGCATTAAAAATAAAAAATTTGGCGGTAATTTATTATATTAGAAAAACTTGTTGATTAATTTGATAATCCACAAATGGATTAACTTAATATAAATATTTTATATATTGTTGAAAATTAAATTAAGAGATTTTAATTATAAATTTATATTATAAATTAAATTCAAATCAAAATGTAGAATTATTAAGATTTAGATGAGTTATATTGAAAAATATTTTTTTTGTAAATTATATTTAAATTTATTATTTAAAAAGGATTTAAATGTAAATTTATAAAAATTTATAAGTTGAATTATATTTAAATTATGTACAAATTGCCCGCCGTTCTTATTAATTATGATTTGTAAGAAAAGTCGTAACAAAGTAAATATATTGGAAAATGTATTTAAAATAAAAAAAAATTTTAGTTTATTTAAAAATATTTTATTTACATTGAAAAGATTAATGATTTAATATGATTTATTAAAATTAAAAAAAAATTAAATTTAAATATTTATGAAAAATTTAATATGATTTGTGTGTGTGATTATTTTAATTAAATAAAATTATAATAAAAAATTAAATAGAGTTAGTTTTTGAATTGTTGAAGTATTAAAAAAAATTAAATAAATATTATAGATATAAGTAATGTAAATGAAAATTTAAAATAAATTAATTAATTAAATAAAAGTAAATTTTATTAATTGTACCTTTTGTATCAGGGATTATTAAATTTTGTTGTTTATTGGAATAATTTAAATTTCTCGGAATAAAATGAGTTAAATAAAATATTAAAGTTAATGTATAAAAATTATTTTAAATATTTATTTGAAAAAGATATTTTAATCCACTTTTATGATATCTAGTTTTTTTTATATAAATTTAATTTATATATAAATCATTTACAATTAATTAAATTAATAATAAAATTTAATTAGTAAATTTATGTAAAAAATTTATGGGATTAACTATAAATTATAATTAAAATATTTTATGAATATAAATGATTTAAATAGAAAAATATTTTTTATTTTTAAAAATTTTTATAAAAATTTAATAATTTATTATGGAATGGATTATTCTAATTTAAATATAATAATAATTTGAAAATTTGATTTAATTAAATAAAAAAATATTTTAAATAAATTAAGTATTTTAATAAATAATGATAGTATAAGTATATTTATATTAATTATATAGAAATTTTTAAATTTAAAATATATATGTATATATAATTAAAGAATTAGGCAAATTTATTTTATTAAATTAAAATTTTAATTTACTTGTTTAACAAAAACATGGTTTTTTGATAATTTAAAATTATTTCTGCTCAGTGATTTTTAAATAGCCGCAGTATATTGACTGTGCAAAGGTAGCATAATCAATTGTTTTTTAAATGAAAACTGGAATGAAGGAATTGATGAAATTAAAGCTGTTTCAATTTGTAGATTTAAAATTTAAATTTTAAGTTAAAATTCTTAAAAGAAATTATGGGATGAGAAAACCCTATTGAATTTAATATAATTTTTAAATTTATTTAAGGAAATAAATTTTATTTTAATGATTATATTTTATTGGGAGGATAATTAAATAAAATAAACTTTAATTTAAAGATAATTTTAACATTAATTAATGAAATTTTTATAAAGGATTGATTATTAAATTAAGAAAATTTTTTTTTTTTATAATAATTATTATAAAAATTAATTACCTTAGGGATAACAGCGTAATATTTTTAGAAAGATTATATTAATAAAAATGATTGCGACCTTGATGTTGAATTAAAATAAAAATTAAATGAAGAAGTTTAATATTTTAGTCTGTTCGACTAATAAAATTTTACATGATTTGAGTTCAGATCGGTGTAAGCCAGATCGGTTTCTATCTATAATAAAATTAAGAAAATTTTGTACGAAAGGACTTTTTTCAAATTATATTTTTTTTAATGAATAAATTTAATTGATTAAATATATGTAAATAAATAAAATTACTTTGGCAGAATTTAAGTGTATTAAATTTAGAATTTAAATGATGTATAATAGAAAAAAATTATACAAGTAATAATTTGTCAAAATTTAAGATTATATTTTTATAGTGCGTTAAATATATTAAGATTGTTAATTTTGTTATTAATTATATTAGTTGGGGTAGCTTTTTTAACTTTATTGGAACAAAAAATTTTAAGATATGTACAAATTCGTAAAGAACCTAATAAGGTGGGATTTATAAGATTATTTCAATCTTTTAGTGATGCTATTAAATTACTTATAAAGAATTATTTTATGTATATAAATCTAATTATAATTTTTTTATGTCCTATAATTAGATTTGTTTTAATAATAATATGATTAGTATTTCCTTACATTACTAATATTTATTTTTTAAATTATTCTATTTTATTAATAATTGTTTTATAACTATTAGAGGGTATGTTATAATTTTTATGGGATGATCAGCTAATTCGATTTATTCAAAAATAGGGGCAATACGATCAGTTTCACAAATATTATCATTTAAAGTAAGATTTATTTTAATTGTTTTAGTTATTATATTAATAAGAGAGAGATATTCTTTTTTTGATTTTATTAATTATCAATTTTATTTATGATATATAGTAGTTTTATATCCTTTGTTTATTATATTTTTTATTAGGATTTTAGCTGAATTAAATCGAAGTCCTATAGATTTTATCGAAGGTGAGTCAGAATTAGTTTCAGGGTTTAATATTGAATATTTTAGGGGTGGGTTTACATTAATTTTTTTATCTGAATATCGAATAATTATTTTTTTAGATTAATTAGAATTTATATATTTAGAAATTTATTAAAATATTCAATAATTTTAACTTTTATTTTAATTAATATTTTATGTAGAATAGTAATTTTTATACATGGAATACTTCCTCGAATACGATATGATGAATTAATATATTTATGTTGGAAAATTATTTTACCAATAATTTTAGTTTATATTTTATTAATTTTTGGATTTAAATTTATATTATAAATAATAATTTAGTAAAAAAAATTAAATGTTTAAAAGTTAATAAAAAATTAAAATTTCTTTAATATGTTTTCAAAACATAAACTTAAATTCAAGATCATTACCTTAATTTAATAGTAATTTATAAAAAATTTAAGTATTAAATATAATTATTTTAATATTTTAAATTTATTTATAATGATAAATTTTTTAATATTTATTTAAAAATAATTAAATCTCAAATTTTTATTAGGAAAGGTAATAAGATAAAATAAAGAAAGTAACATAATGATAAAATTTGTCTAATAATGATAAAAGGTATTTCAATAGGTTGAGCTCCTGCTCATGTTAATAGAATAAAAATATTAATGAAAATTCAAAATAAATATTGATTTAAAGGATAAAATGTGATAATGAATTAAATTTTATAGAAATTAGAGGTAAAAAGTATAAGATAATAATTGATGATAATAATGCAATTACACTTCCTAATTTGTTAGGGATAGATCGGAGGATAGCATAAGCATATAGAAAATATCATTCAGGTTGAATATGAATTGAAAATGTATTTTATAAATAAATGAAATATATATATAATATATAATATTATATATATACATATATATATATATATATATATATATATATATATATATATATATATATATACACAGATATGACAACCGTTATCTTGATTTTTTCCGATTATTGATGTTACATTGTATAACTCTCATTTCTTTCTCTCTGCTACATAATAACTTATGACGTGAAAGAACTTACGAGTAACGTATGATGGCTCAATGCAAGAATATTTAATCACGTAAAAAACTTGAGTTCAAATATATCAATATCAATTTTTTATAATATATTGGAATATGAAAAATCATAGAAATATATTTGTATATAGGCGATAAACTTAAAAATTTGATATTGAAATATTTTAATCATATTTTACAATTTACAACTACACACACTATAAATATATAAATGCAAAATAATTCCGTAAATAAATTTCAAGTAATAAATCAATTGCACACATGCACACAGCTGGTATGTAGATTTTTATTAAATTTATTTTTAAATTTATTTTCTGAATTATTTTACACTTATATATATAGTGTATGTAGTAAAAATATTTTCAATATATTAAAAAATTTTAAATCGCCGAAATATATTTTTTTATCATTTTCTATATTTTAATATATATATATATATATATATATATATATATTAAAAAAAAATTGATATTGAAATATTTGAACTCTAATTTACTGGATGATATACTGAACATCCTTGCATTGATTATACATTACTCAACGTTCTTTCACGTTATAAGTATTTGGAGCAAATGATACAATAGCATCAATAATCAAAAAGAAATCAAGAATAATCAACATATCCTTATATAATATATATATATATATATATATATATATATATATATATATATATATATATATATATATATATATATACGCACATATGTGCATAAGCATATATAAAATTTACAAAAAGTAGGTACTTATTAGCCTTGCTACGCTACTGCCTTCTGCTACGGAAGGCCAGAAAGCATTTTCAGGCCGTATCTCGCGAATACCGGCACGATAGAGGAACAAGGAGAACACGTAATTATCGGTCCTTGTCTCTCTACGGTGCGTCCGCGTGAGCAATGCAATAGTGTATGTACGTGTACAGACATGCACCACTACATAAAACCCGAGAATTGGTTTCTCGGCGTTGGCAACACTGAAATCGGAGTTTCGCGTTGTCACCGCGCGAGGTCTCCAACATCAATTCGGAGTTTGGCCGGCCGACCTGTCGACCCTTAATAGAAATATATATAGCCATGTTTTCTTCTTTTCTGCGAAATAGTTTTAATTTTTATAGAGAGCAATGTGTTGGAAAAATAGTTTGTCAACAATTGAATTTATTGTAGAAACTTGTAATAATTGATACTAATTGTTTATCAATAATAATGCTGTTGTGTAACATACGCGAAATGTGTCACGATGATTAATATTCATTACGTTCATTGACAAGATTGCGAAAAGTTAGCACAGAGTATATTTATAAAGAGAAATTTCATTTATGCACGTATATCGAATGATTGATTTAGTTACATTGGCGAAGAATTTTCAAATTTGATAATTGTTGCTGTGTTCAGTTTGGTAGATAATGGCGCTAATTTTTGAAATATAGATTTTATTCATAAATTAATATTTATAGTTGAAATATGACTTTAGTGTGGTAGTGTAATCGTAATACATATATAATTCAAAAAATTAATTTTTTTATTAAAAATTCTCAGATATAGCGCACTTGTTTAATATATCTAAAATTTACACTTAAAAACTAGAATCTGTCATATTCTTTATAATTAAAAACAAGCTTAGAAAAATATAACATTCTTTAATTTTTTGCATTTTAAAAATAGTATATAAATGCACTTAACACTTAGAAAAAACTCAACATATATCTTTGCTAAGCATCCTGCTATACATTTTTGTATCTATATAAATATAAATTAAATTACTGTTAGTTTTATATATTATTAAGTATCGTCAAATATAAAACAATATAGCATCCACAACCATCTTATTCTTATTGGGATTTATATATATATATATATATATATATATATATATATATATATATATATATATATATCTATCTCTATATATACACTTATGTATATACATATATTCTTTTAAAATCTCATTTAACATGGAAACAGAATTTATTCAATTCAATCATCATTAAATCGATCAATTGTTTTAGATTCATTTGGTTGCGCGATAGTAGAAATTTCTGTAGTTTGTTGGAGTTTTTCTAATGATGGAACAGTCTCTAATATCATTTTTCTACCCGTTTTTTTTGCGTATATTGATAAATTAACTTTATTATGTATAGAACTGTTAATGGTATTGGAGTCATAATTGCGGTAGACACAGGAAGCACTAAAAAAAAAGAAAAATAATATTTTATTAGACAATTAAGATAAATATATGTATGAATAAATATTCGTATAACTCACCAGTAGTTAGGTCGTCTGCAGGTGGTTTTAACGTAAAACGTAATAAAAAATTGCTACACCAGTATTTTGAATACCCGTTTCAATGGCTATTGCTCGTATGTCGGCTTGGGATTGTCTGCAGATTTTCGCTACTACAAGACAAATGTAAAACCCAACCAAGGCAAACCCATTCCTGCGATTATAATCTGGGACAGAAAAAATAAATATGTATACTTTGCATTCTGATATTGTTCGTAGATTTAATTGAAGAAAAATAGCCTTACCTCCCATGAAAATAATTTGAAGAGATACAAATTAGTCATAATGGCAAATATAACAATGAATATAATTAAAATTATAGAGAAAGGTTTCATTATCCGAACTAATATCCTTGACACTCTTGGAAGCTTCTTTTGGATGACAAATCCTATAACCAGTGGAATTATAAGACCAATCACAAAAGTGCCAATTTGACGGTAGGGTACTGCGATTTCTCCTTGCGCAAAAATATGTCTGCCTAATGTAAAGATCCAAAACGGCATCATTCCTGTAAAGAATAAAATTTATATAGAATATTCTATGCAAAAATCTTCATATTTTATCAAATGCATTCCTTACCAAATGCAGCAATGGTACATAGAGTGGTCATTGTGATCGAAAGATTTAAATTGCCATCAAGTAATACTGTCCAAATATTAGAAGCACCACCACTTGGGCTTATTCCTGTGAAGAACATGCCTATTTGCAGTTCAGGACGATCAGAAAATAAAAAATATCCAATGAGAAAACTTAACTGGAAATAATATAAAATATAAATTCAGAGAAAACTTGCTTGATAAAAACTATAAAAAATATAGAAATATCACCCATGCACAGGATATTTGTAATAAAAAAATTTACCACTGGCATAATCATAAATTGGCAAAAGAATCCTATAGCTGGACCTATTGGCCTCTTTAATGTGTCGCGGCATACATTCCAATCCATTGCGCAGCCAAAATTAATATACAAAATGGATACAAGTATTGCAACACTGGCAGTGAATATAGTATCTATTGTACGTTCTTCTCGTACTACAACAATACGAGATACCTCCTGACGACTTTCAAAAAAATGATCCTAAAAAGAAAATTTTTATTATATCTTTTAAGGAACAATATTAATTAGCTTATTTAGCACTTACCTCATTTTCCTCCAAAGAGAAGAATAATTTTGTTCTACCAAGAAACACACCAGTGATATTTAAAGTGCCATTAAAAGAAGTTTCATTGAGCAGTATTTCAGTTGGAAAAATGCTTGCGATATCATAGTGCTCAGTATTGACAGTAATTTTGGAAAATTTTGATAAATTATTAGATATACTAAATGGAACTGATATCACATGGTTCATATGTACAGATATATCCTTTGCAATATCAACAGTCCATGCTGCTATCCCTCTCAATAACAAAAATCCTATTATGTACGTAGCACCCGTCATTCTCTGAAAAAATAATAAATAAAGAAAACAATTAATAAGATGAATCAGATTGCTCCTTTAAAAAGAGATTTACAGTCTGTCTGTTACGTAGCAATTATCTTTGGCACTTAATACTAAAAATGGAGCAAAATTCAAACAATGTCAAAGTGATAAGCATGAAATGAAAAGATAAATAGTAAAAGAGACTGAATAAACCATGATTAGATAAGTTCTGCAAAGTGTGGGATACAAGTCAATTAATTTGTTATAAGAAAGATCACATTTCTATTTATAGGAACTGGACACTTTTCATCCGGAAGAGATAAATTGCTCCTGTATCTTGGATAATAAACAATTTTCCAAGCGAGATAACAAAAAAGTTGCGACATACAACCGGAATAAAAATATACACGTACCTTTGCGTACTATGTTTTGTGTGAATCTGTATATTCTGACATTATTTAACGTCGCGTAAAAGGTATATATATGAGCTCATCAGCATAATTATATTACATTTTTTCATTACTCGTTAACCAGTAATATCGACCAAGTCACGGTCGCGCGACCGCGAGACGCATTTGTAGCTAAATTGCATAACCAGCGTGTGATTGTATATTGCAATTTGTAAACCGGATGGTGGGAGATGTCGTTTGATCGCCGGTGATTCCATGAAATTTCTGTGTGACTTACACGCTATAAATATATACGACATAGTCGCGCTACTTTCGCTCTTTTGGCTTCACGGAGACATGCATCATTATCGCGATAAATGTCGACAAAACATCAAGACGCGCCGCTATTTTTCGCAAACACACCGGCGAGTTGCACAACATCCGCATAATCTTACGCCAATCGGAGTTTGTCAAGGCTTTTTATTTTACATCTTTCTCGCTTTATCTCTCCGTTGATTATTGACACTGAACCCTAGATAATTAATTAGGAATGCGATCTTCATGCTAGATGACCGGATTCCTTATGCGCGCAAACAGCTGATTTTCTCGAAGTGAAAACATGAATTATATAAGGTTATATATATGCAAAAATATTTAATGAAATAAAAAAATTAAGAGCTTTTTTTTATAGGTTACCAGTTTTTCATTTGCACTAAACTTTATTTCACTTCCGATGTTTAATTTAAGATTTAATTATCGATATTTTCATCGTAATTATATTATTGTGCAAGTTTTTATATCGCGTACCTTTTACACATATAATTTTTTTAAAAAATATATAAAATAAAATATAAAATTATGTAAACGAATTTCAATTAAAATTGTTATCTTTAAAACATTTTTAATAATTACCGAATTATAAAAAAAAACTTATTAAAAAAAATCAGCAGTGCCAAATTTAAAATGAGATTTATTTTATGCAAATTTAAATTGTTCTAATCAGTCACTTTCATTGATTGAATTTTGCCGGTAAAAATGTATGGTCAAACACATACGTGACATTTTAGCTCGATTGAGACAACACAAAACACATGTTTGTACGGGTACTTACTTCGCAAAAGAATTCGTGACGCTTATCAGCAGCAACATACGTCGCGTTGAAGGCATATATAAGAGTCCCCCGGTGCAACGATGCGTCCGGATAGTTTGGCGCGAAAATACCTCGAACGAACGGTCCGCGATCTCCGGCAATCTCCGACGACGACGGCGACTGATCTTCGCCGCTTTCCTTCGTCGCGATAAAGTGCACTTGAGTTGACAGAGAAACGACTATGGAGGGGATGACCGGAAAGAAAGAGCTCGATATATATATATCTCATCTATCGAAAATATAGATTTTTCTCTCTCTTTAAAAATATTTACGTCATTACATGAATTAGCAGTTTATGATGCATTGAACATGATAAATGATTTTTTTTTTAAATATTATTATTGTGTTATTGATTAATACATTTTTATTTTTATCTAATGTGTGTTGGACTTGTTTTGCCATTTACAACATATATATACATATATATATATTACACATTTTTTATCTAGTTTATCTCTATCGTATTATTTTTCAATAATATTTTAAACAGTTTGGCTTCTTTAATTTAATTTTTTAATAAGAAGTAACAATTTGAAAAATAAATATTATATAATTTATATTAAATATTCCAGAGATAAATATAATTCTCTAAATATAGCTATAATTAAGGAATTAAAATTATAAAAAATCACACATATATATATGTATATATAAATATATATTATTTTCATTGTTTGCAAAGACAAATCTGTTTCGTCCTTTCACAAATCAAGATAGAGATCTATCATTTTTAATTGCACTTTATTACGCATAGTTATTTACTTTCTATACATACACTTACCTACTTTTTATTAAAGAGAAAGAAAATACATATTCCTACACAATGAATTAGAAAGTGAAAGACTATACAAAAATATTATAGTTCCTTCAAACTGTAATTAATACAAATATATAATATATAAGAGTAAAAAAAGAATATACGCAAGCATATTTTTTAATATGAGAAAAAAATAACAGAAAAAAATAAGAAGAAAAATTAATTTAAAAAATGTAAAAATTTTTCGAGGAAGCTGCACTATGTTACACTTCGTGCACTCAAAATGCAATAGATCCATATAATATAATTAAATAATATAATAATAATAATATAATAATAATAATATAATAATATAATATATATATATATATATATATATATATATATATATAATATAGTATAATCAAGCGTGGAAGAGGAACAAAAAAGAGAGAGGAAGGTGCGAAATATAAAAGAAAAAGTGCGATTATAAAGAACACTTATTTAAAGATTTCAATCAGCTGAGATACCCTGCGCCATTGGCAGCTGTAGGTTCAGCTGGGTGCCGTTAGGGGTAAAGCAACACGTAGACGTAGACGTCTGTCAGTGGGTCAGCAAGTCTCGTGTCGTGTCTCGTTCGCAGTGTTGTGCATGATCGGCGAACGTCATTTATTGTAATGCTAATCGTATCGCGGCGCAATGTCTCACCACGTGCAGCTCGCGCTACTCAGTGTGTTACTGGTCCTGATTCTCGGACCCTTCGGGACCGGGGGCTTTTCGTATGAAAATTTGCCCGCGGTCGCGATGGACTACAAAGTGCACATCGACGCCGGCAAGGAGGACTGTTATTCACAATACGTGAACCCGGGAGCAACCTTCTACGTTAGTTTCCAGGTATACACTGACAGATATTCATCGTCGAAGAAATGATTGAGAGGGTCTGGCTGAGAAAAAACGAGATCGAGAGTAAAAACGTGACTTACTTGACTGACCATATGGTTGGGCCCACGAGGTGCTCCGCGTCTCGAGAAAGCGCGAACTAGACACATGTTCTTGCTTTGACAGTTCGTGCACGTCTCGTGAACTCTTATTTTCCGTCCTTGACAGCGATGACCCCCAGTAGTATAACAGGTGTTTTCAGGGACATATTAATTTTATTATATAAGACCTGAAAGGAATCATCTATAATTAATGAGTTGTTTTGTGATGTAAAAATGTTAAATGTTAAATATTAATAAAAAAATTGTGTTGGAAGAAAATAGTTAATAATTAATATTTCATGTATCAATATTATGTTGAATTAAGTAGTTTATTTTGATCGTAGGTCTTGCGCGGTGGCGATGGGAAAGCTGGTTTTGCAGTAAGAAATCCAGAGGGAAATATAGTTTATCCTTATCAATGGCGTCCCAATGGTGATTACCAAGATCAATCAATAAATGGTGGTTATTATACTGTATGCATTGATAATCAGTTTTCTAGATTTGCTGCAAAACTTGTGAACTTATATATTACAGTGATCAGGTAAGAGAAAAGTTATCTGCAAGATTAAATGAGAAAAGTTACATTATACTTATAATATATATAGTGCCATCTCATTTATTGATTTATTATCATTAATCATTGTTAGATATGATCAATGGCACCAATATAATAAGGAACTGGAAGAACTGAATCTTTCTGTTGAGAATTTTACGGTACATATACTATAAATATTTCTCTGCAAATTAATCTGTAATTAAAAATAATATATAAATTTGATGTATATATTTTCTATAATATTATGTTTTCTTTTTTCAGAGTGCAATTGTGCATGTGGAGAAGAACATTAATGAAATGCTTCAGACTCAACATTGGAGCAGAGGTAGAGAAGCGAGAGACCTGAATCTGCTTTTGGACAATAATTCTTATGTGCAGATGTGGTCGATCGCGCAAGTGCTCGTTATTACAGTGACAACTATGATACAAGTGTATTTCGTTAGGAAACTGTTCGATGTAAAACCATCTGGACATTCTAAGACACGCATTTAACATTGATGAATTGCAGTCAGTTATTAGCTCAATAAGAGCACTGTCCAACATCTATTGTGATAAGACTAACACATATTAATTGATTAATCTTACATGTCATACAAAAATCTATAGATAACAGCATAACTATGCACATCAATATTTCGTTTAGTGAATACAATTAAAGTTTTATCCGTCAATTTTATTTTAATGCTGTTATATATTTATATAAAATTATTCTTGGAGATTATTTGGAGAGACGACGAAAATACAAGAAATTATGTACAGAAATTTTTTAATGAATAGACATTTCAAAAATCTCTAAAATGAGGACATATTTGAATGAAAATTAATTAGTAACAAATGGAAACATGAACTTTCAATTTGCGAAAATGTAACAAAGTATTTACATTTTGATGAGATTTTACATTTATATGCATTTATCTACCAAATAGACCACTTACACAATTTACTGTCATTAATCTTAAATACATTATTTTTGATAATTTTTATAACAAATATTTTATTGTCGAATATTTCTTTTCCTATTTGTTCTTATCTATTGATGTACTATATTTACAAGTCAAAGCGCTGCTTACATCATATAAGACTGCCACACATTTTACATTTATGCAAAATCATATGTTCTATATTTCCATCATTGATTTTTACTCATTGTTTTTAATTTCAGATATTTCTCATGTACGAATCATGTTGAAGACATTTAAGGGATATATATGAGATTTATATATTTATATTGTATTTGTATAAAAATAATAAACAGACGCATATACTTTTGTTACAACATTCTTTTCTTTTTTTCTTTACGCCTTTATGTACAATATATATGTAAAATTCCATCATTTCTTGTCTCAACTTCCTATAGTTTCAATATGGTATGGTAAAAAAAGATTTTAGAAAATTATTCCTCACACTTTGGCGACGAATAACATTACATTGGCACACAATTCTTATTTATAAAAATACTGTCGTAGCGTGAAAATTACATACATATAAACAATCAATAATTTATAGACGATATCACAATATCCGAGCGATTCGCGCTCCCGTCTCAATTTAATCGTCAATGAATCCCTTGGTTCTGTCTCGCCCTTCTTTGTTGTATCACACTGCTGCTGAGTGCCAACAGACGGTGTCGTTGTTTCAAATTCCGCGCACGCACGTGTTCTGACGCAACTTCCTTCGTATAATTCGCCGGAAACCATCCTTGTTCTCCATCCAACAATTTTTCACCATGAAACCAACCATCTGCCATTTTTCTCAATACATTTATTACATCCCCTATAACAAATTAATTGACTAAAAGACTACGATTTTATTTATTATAAAATATTTTGAGTTATTTTTATTACCTGATTGCAATGATAATTCATCTGGTTGATTTGGCGAATATGGATACTTTGCCATCACTTGCGGACAATCCCAGGATTCGTACAACGTTTCGCCAACTGAGCCACGTTTGGGCGGTGAGACAGCCTCCAGCCATCGTTCTCGTGCGGTATTATTTTCACATGTCAAGACGTACTCCACGTGACGGCCAGAATGGTTCTCCAGAAGAGTTAGTATCATAGCGTTCCGTCCAGCGAACGGTGATTCTTCGGAAGCTGACTCCAGGGCCAGAAGATTCCTTTTACATGCGTCTATGACGCTATAGCATTCGTCGTGAGCACTGCAAAACATTTATAATTTGTTCTTGGTTTACTCAATAAAAAGAAGAAAACGATAATTTACATTAATTATATTAATTATATTAATTATATATTCTATTTTTATTTTCCACATTTTTTGTAAAAAAAATGTTTCCTTTAAATTATATATTATTATAATTTTCTTTTTTAAGAAGTAGATTTAAAATTTTTTCTAGAATTTTTTTCTAAAAGAAATTACATTCTCACAGGAATTAAATCTTTAATTGATAAATTAATGTGACTATGTTAAATGACATTGTCTTACTTGGATTTTAATTTCGTGACTAGAAGATAATCAGTGAGTAAGAGAAGGTAGAGCGGTGTCTTGTTGAACTTCTTTCCAAATGTAAGCTTGTATTCGGTATCAGTCTTCATCGACAATTGCACGACCGATCCACTTCTAACTAAATGTTTGCCCCTTAGTATAATCGGCTTAATTTTCGACGAATATTCTAATTTTCTATAATTAAATACATATATATAATTTAGTTTACGTATATCAAAGACTGTACTTACATAAAAACAATTCAGTAACACTATGTTATACCTCGCTAAAGCTTCCATCTCGGCTTCTTGAGCAGCAGCTCGAGCACCTTCGTTGCATTCAGCAACGACGTTGCTCAAAGTCGATAGTACTTTTTCCCAAGTCGCTCTGTCCGAATTTCCGATCGATAATTTGGAAACAACAGCGTCAGCTAATAAGGGCAATCTACGAGAGAATTATTGAAAGATCATGTATAAATATATATAATTTTATATTAATTTTTTACGAATAAATAATGATCATCAAACTTATGTAATCAAGTTTAACAAAATAATTTGAATTTTTTAATTAAGCTGAAGTATTGATTAACGTATACCTCGTAACACGCTGCATTGGTAGCATTAGGAAGGAATGCAGAGATAGATTTTGGCACGCTGGATGCATTTCTATACGTTTGACAGCCTCCAAGAACTTTACGCCTTTCCGAGCTCTGCAACCAAAAGAACATAATATAAATATAATTTGCATCATAAACAATATATTTATCAATATAATGTATAGCATAATAAAAGTTATACATACATTGATAAATATAAATATATAAATTTCACACAAAATATTAAAAGTAATTATACATATATAACTTTTTAATCATCTTACTTGAGTTCTTTTAGAGTCGTGTCTATGCTGACTTGATTCGAACAATAGGCCACATACGTGGCCTGACACTTTTCGGCGTGCTTCAGCAAGACCTCCGATAAACCCGACAGCATCGGATCTTCTCTCCACACAGCTTCCAATTCAGCTAGGAACATTTGCGATGTCGACAACACACTCGACACCCCGCCGAATAATTTCTTCCTTTCGACCGGCGTCAAGATCTCGTTCATTAGTGTATGATTACTAAGGAACTCGTTTTCTAGGACCCGAAGAGAATTTAAGTACGACGCTTCGGAGGTCAAGATCTCGAATTTTGCCTCTTGAATCTTCTTTTCTTCCGTTGTTAATTTTTCTAATTTATTTTTTAATAAATTATTTTTTATGAACATTTTTTCTTGGTTCATATTTTATAATATGGAAAATATTTCAAAGTATAAGACGGTTCTAACTTACGCAAGAGACCACTGTGTATTACTTGTGGAGTATGACACCAGAGCGTCCTTTGTCCTGATCTGGAAAGATTCGATGTGACTGGTTCTGTCTTCCACATCATATCTTCTACCTAAAGATGAAAAATTATATATACATATATATTCAATGATAAAGCATTCAGTAAAAATATTCCTTCCTAATTCTTTAAATAAGTCGTATAAAATGTGACATATTATTGTCTTATAACTTAAAGCAGTTCTATTTAAAAAATCCGATAAGAACTAAAATTAAAAAAATATAAGTTTTATTAATAATTTATCAAATTAGAAAGACAGTCAAATTATAGAAAAAAGAATTTTTATATATTATATAAAAATATTATACATGTCAAATATATACATATCTTCCATTTAAAAATTGCATTTTCTTTTACGATTGCATTCTATTTAAACTTAATTCTTGGAATGTTAGAGAGATAATTAAAACAATTTTTTAAAAATAATCTAACTAACAATAAGAGTTTTATATTTGTCTATTTTAAATATAACACACAAATATAAAACATTACCTCTTCGTAGCCCTCGGAATCCGATTCGAAAGCAACACGAGCCACCGCGGCCGCGTAAAACTGGTAGAGAGGTTCCTGATCGGCGAGCACACTGTAATGATCTGAAACAGAGTAATAATATTTTGTCAGTAATGATGGATTCCCATGCACGAAAATGACAAACGAAAGCGACAATTAGGTATTAATGAACATGCGTGGATCATAAATTTCGGCGCGTACGTTAATTAAAAGGAAGTATCATTAGTCTTGTGAAAGTGTGTACGCTTTTTATGCGTCAATGTATGAATAACATTGCGCATGGGAATATTCCGAAAACTACGGTAAAAACTTGATATATATTTAGCTTATGAGAACTTCTGAATTTAGCCTTTGCCTGGAAAAATCGGGTCGCTCTCGCAGATACATTCAAACTCTCGTTTTCCCTCGCATTCACACATTTCTAATTTGCTACTATTTATAAAAATACTTTTTAAATCATGTAATTATTTTATATTTATTATTATTATTATTACTAAAAATTAGAATCTATTCTTAATGCTTACGCATGATTATGTATTATTTTAGTTTTCGAAAGATTTTATTTATTTTATTTTATCATAGCACATTTTATTTTCATTTTTGTTTCAGATTTCAATATCATCATTGCATTTTGCTATAAAAATTAGGAAGAGAAAAAAATAAACGACTTTAATAAAAAAATTGAAAGTAGACTACTTAAATAAGAAAAAAATTGATGATTGAAAATAGATGATTTGAATAAAAAATGATTTTTACCGACGTCTTCCGGAGTCTTTGAGGAATCATCGCTACCGCTTCCCATATATTGGCTGTTAGTGTAAATAGTTTCCTTGCCATTGTTGTTATTGCGAGCTCCACAAACATTGTCATTTTTATCATTCTCGTCTAGGTAGAAGGTCGGCGGGCCAGCGATGCTCTTTCGGAAATGCCTCAGTCGGAAATTGAAGTATCTTCCGGTGTCGTGATGCTCGTTGCCGGATTCCTTGTCGTCGAAGCCGGACTCGTCCACGGACGTTCGCCGTCTGATCTTGCCGAGGCTGCCCTTCGTGATGCTCCAGGTCCTGCGCAGCATCTTTATTCGCCTGCCCAAGCTCTGCGTTAGACTGCCTTCCCTCGGAGGCGGCGGGGTCGGTCTCGAAGGACATTGATAAGTGTTGATCACGCAATCGTTCGGGACATCACGTCGAGTTTCCGTTTCCGAATCGCTGCTGAAGTCATCTGGCTGGCAGGAATACAGACTCTCGTATGTGCTATCGTCGGAAACGCTGTCTGATAAATAGAAAATACCAGATTAGAGAAATGTGGATATCAATTATTGAACTGTCATGTAAAGATAATTATTTGTGAGTTATATTTAAAACTGATATATAATCTATTTTTTTAAATTTTAGACGAGAAACTGTGTATATGATTGAGTAGGAACAATTTCCACAGTATACATATTCTAAAATTGTAGCATCGTTCTCTACCTATTGAGATATATAAATTTATTTTATATATAAATATATAATATAGTGTAAATATATATAAATATTAATTATACATAGAGAGAATCTTCTCTTAGAATTTGAACAGAAAATTTAAACAGAGAATTTTCTCTTAGAAAATCATAGTAATCGTAGAATATGGAAAAAGAAAAAGTATTGAAAGAATTTGATAAGAGTTACTCTGACTAAATATTTACTACAATCATAGTAAAATTTACATATTGTGTACATATTAATATTTTTTGTAATAAACATTTAATCAGAGAAACTCTGATTAATTGATTAATTGATTTTCAGGGTAAATTCTAAGAGAAAATTCCATGTATATTTTGCATTTAAAATGATACATTCACGCGAGAGGACAAAAAGAACGCGATATTATACAAATGTCACATAAATCCTAATTTGAATACATCGACGATTAAATTGAATTGATAAAAATCAATTAAAAAATCATGTATTCGCGTAGTATATTTTCAGGCGCGTTCTGAAATACTACACGCGCGGACCTTCGTGCACGTAACACGACGTTTCCTGGACGTCCACGTCTTCGTCGAGAGTGACGACGCGCAGCTGCACCAGGCCCTGGGTCCGCTGCGACTGGAGACCATCGTTCCGGTTCGCCGATCTCCATCCTCCGGCAATCTCGTCCGGCTCGCCGATCAGAAGAATCGAGCCGCCGCCCAGACTGACGGCCACTTGAAATCATCCGGTTCAGGGTCAGATGGTTCCCGGAGCATGCATGCAAGCCCACGCGCGCGCTGGACCAAAAGAGGGAGATGGCGGGCCAACGGGAGAAGGACAAATGTGAGCGAGGTGAGTCGCAAATATGGCCGTGGATGGCGAAACCGCGACGCGATTCCGAATTCTCTCTTTTTCTCCACTTGTCCGAATTTCCATAATTTCCATTTCGGCGACGACTTTCGTTTCGCGCGTCACACGTCACGTAAATGTCAAACAAATCGATGGTCTTTATATAATTGTCAGGCGACGTTTTATATAATTGTCATTATCAAACTCTCTAGCTCAAAGATCATAGATAAATTGAGATTCTCGCGTCATGAATGACGACGAATGCGAGTTTCAAGGAGAGGAAAAGGTGAAGTGTGTTACAAGAATGCATTTTTACCGGATTCTTTTCGACTCTCATGACCGAAGAAAGTAGAAACTCTGATTACTCTTTCGAGACGCTTCCTGGGTTGACGTAACTTGCATTAATTATCAATATTGACAAAATAAAAAGTCACGTAAATTTCAACAGAAAACCATATATACCTGGATTTAAAAAAAATTAAAGATCAGAAAATAGCAGGATAAGATAAAAAAGATCTTCAAAAATTAAATCGATGAAGGAATGCGACAAAACTGTCATGCATTTGCAAGGAGAATTCGATAATGTCATTCAAATCCGGGAATAATTTTGCGAGATCGGCTAATTTGCAAAATCGAAGGATGTTCTCGAGGGAGGGTTCCATTGTTCTCCAGACTCGCTCCCCTGTTTGACGTCCGGCGCGCGCGCGAGCAAGCGGGCAAGCGTGACACGGGCCCTCTTCATCATCGTCTTACCTTGGGTATTGGGTCGTCGGGTCTTCAGCGTCTCTCTCATTGCCGCATCTCGCTCATCGATGCGCACTCGAAGTCGCGAGACACTCCCGGGGAAACGCGTTGGGGAAAAACACGCGGGAAATCGTGATCGCTCTCGAAGACGAGCGATTTAATCGAGAGTAGCCGAGAGATTTCGCAGCAGAGAAAAACACTCCGATGCAACTCGCGGCTCGGCCGTGACTGGCAATGAGAGCGCGCAATTGGCGCTTTCACCTCGCTCGCTCGTTCCTTAAGGGATCCTCACACAATCTCCTTAAGGTGGCCTCCACACGATGAAGGCGCGAAGACCACGTGTCGATAATTTAAATTTAAAATTGGGGATTTTCCGATTTTTTTTTTTTTTTTTTAAGAAACTGTTGACCTAATCAATTTTTAATTTGCATAGCTTTGTTTATTGACATTTCAGTGTGCTTTATTTGTGTTTTATATTCCCGAAAAACTTTTGAAATCAATTAAGTTGGACTATCGATTTTCGAGATATCGTGCTCGCCACGAAAAAGAAGACGACTCGGGAAAAACAGATTACAAGGCGTAGTATTTTAATAAATTAATTTGAAAAAAAAATCATAAAGTACACTAAAGTGTCAAGTGTAATCATGAGTATAATCATAAGCAAAGCAAGTTAAAAATTTATTGTGTTAACATAATCACATGTTATTTAAACGCTACAAGGACAAATCTAGCTATTAATATCTTGAATTAAAAAAAAATGTCACTCTCGCGTTAAAGTGATTAGAAAATGCTAGAAAATTGCTAGATTTTTAAATTATAACACACGGTATTTAAATCGGTATTTAAATTGTTATTTAAATCGTTATTTAAATAGGTATTTAAATCGTTTATGGTATTATTACAGTATTTCTCTCTATCAAGCGTTGCACGCAATATCATTGATTAATATGTATTGACATTCACCCAGGAACTTGACAGATGAAAGTCGCGATTGTTAAAAATAAAAATTTCCAGTCAAGTATAATACTTTTAGAGTGATCTACTTTTAGAATAAATCTAGATATTTATTATCCAGAAAAGTTTTCTTTTTTATATATTTTTAATTGTGGATATTTTGTAAACAGAATCTATTTGACTTTACAATTCTATTGACATGTTTGAATTTAATCTCTCTCTCTCATTTAGGAAAAAAATTTTAGAAATATTTTGTTAGAAATATAACATTTTTCTTAGATCTCTAATTGCCTATAATTCAACAAATTCTGCTAGCAAAATATTTTTTAAAAAATTTATTTTAAACTTATTAATTTAAATTAATTAGTATTATAGGATTAATCGTAAGATGAAAGTGAAAATAATAGAAAAAACATTCATACTTTAAATACTATGTATTGCTGGTGAAATAAAATAGTGTCAACTACTTTTTCATGTGGAGAAAGCACCATGGATTATTTTCTTGTCTGTAAAATTATTTTGCAGACGCTACAGTTTATAAATAGTACAAAAGTGTAATTATAAAAAGAATGCGTAAGACTGTAATTATAAATGTTTTCTTTATCTTTATCTGATCAAATGAAATAAAAACATCGCAGCTAAAAAGCAAATGTATGAAATATTTCATTCTAGATTATAGTTAATGGCTGAACAAAACAGCATTAAAGGCATAAGTTGAAAGATTTTCATTATCGTGCCCATCGAGCGTATAGAGAGCTTACGTTCAAGTCAATAGTTAATACATATTCGAGGCGAATGACCGTGCAAAATGCTTTTCCATAGAAAAATGGAACATATTCGATGCAGAAATCGTTTTCAGTTTCTTGCTACGGACGTTTCAAGCACAAACCGTACGCGGAAAGAATTTTCTCTTAGAATTTACTCCGAAAATCATAGAACAATAAAAAATATTAATATGTACATAGTAAAATTAATCGAACATATTTTATATCTTATTGTGTGGTAGATATAAAATATATTCGATTAATTATCTTATTGTAGTAAATATTAATATTTTTATTATATGGTAAATATTAATTAGAGAAACTCTTATAAAATTTTTCCAAAAATTTATTATCGTTAGTTTCAATGCCTTATTCATTTATCAGAATTTCGGCTTGATAGCAAATTTCTATTATAGCTCTATCGTATTAAACTTGTCTCTTGTATTTTGCTCAGCCATTTAAAGCCATTTTCCCGCGTATTTTTCACGCAACGGTGCTTCGCACATCTTGCGTATTTCTCTCGCTAACAGAATGCATAACTGTGTATTTTGCGTATCTTAGCATTACAATGGCTTGCGACATTCTTGTCTATCGAATAGAGGACCCATGTGGGGGAGTTGCACATGTGCGGACAAAAAAGAAAAAAAGCATACGTGTGCGCATTACGTGATCCCGTCTGTCAGGCAGGAAAACGCATGTGTGACGAACAAGCAACTTTTACCTGGGGATACTATGTGATCATCCTTACTGATAGCACGGTACAATGCGTCGTACAAGTCGCGAAATTGAACGTCATTTTTATTCGTTCAAGGATTCAATTAAACCGACTCTCTTATCCGATAAATTATATAATATGTCAATGGAATGCTGATTTTTTCGATATGTATGAATATATAATTACTGCAAAAATAAACGTTGACAATAAGTTAGGAAAAGTTCTAGCAAAAGGAAATTCATTAAAACTTATTTTTAGAATATTAATTATACTACAATAAGTACGGATTATAATACATATTTGTTTTTAGCGATAAATAAAAATATAAATACTTTATAGAAATTGCAATAAAATTAAAAAGAATTCTTTAAAAGAAAATGGTATTAATTTTTAAAATAAATTGTGATTTAAATTGATATTATTTTCTTAAAAAAACTATAAGGATAACTCAATTTAAAATTCTTAAAAAGAATTGATAAGTATTAATTGTGTTTTAATTCTCAAGTTTCGAAATAACAAAAAAATCTCCGCATATCTTAATCTTTCGAAAGTATCCATCTTTAACGATAATGAAAACACATAAATATAGATAGGACAAAATTTCCAAATAATTAGCAATTATAATACTGTATGCAATCCCTTTTTAAGAATGCTTTCCGCAATTTTCCTTTCAAGTAATTTAATGTTCGTAAGATAATTGCAACTGCATCATTGCAAAATCATTGTCACTCTCACGTCTCTAGATTGCATGAGACATTCCGATCACGTAGAAAAGTGCAGCGGAACTCGGAATTAATGGAGAGTAGATGCTTTTGTCGCGGCACCTCGACCTCGGGCGGCCTTGTCTTTCAATTATATTATAAAGGCGATACGCGATGTGTTATACACGTCGAGTCAATTACACCCGCCCACTGTCCTTCGGATACGACGTTGTGAACAAGCACGATTGCGGATTACTGCAGCTTGCTTACTTCGTAAGCAAAACCGCAGAATCGCGGCCGTGACACTGTTGAAACATTGCATGTACACGGGTACACATGAAATAAATCGTGGTAATAGTCGTCATTATATGGGTTAAAGTCAGTTCTGGCATATTAATTCCCGGACACAATACTAATGGAAATTCTTGAAGACGTGACAACCGGTTGATCTCTGATCAATGTCTCGTGATGTTGGAAAATCGGTATCGTCATCGAGACTTTCTCGCGGGTATAATTATGGACCTGTATTAATCTATCAGAACACGCGTTTTATGGAAAGTGAAATTCTCACGTTCGATGTACAATCATCAATTCGCTAATATGCCGCTTGTATATCCTCGATAAGGATAGGATCTTGAACAAAAAAATGAGATTATTATGCTATTTTACTTTCAACTGGATGAGTATCAGTAGAATCTTGGAGTTTAAAGTAAAGCTCTATTTCATCTTTCGAATCTACTAGAGATCATTTTAATTTATCAATGTAGATATTTTATTAGTATAGAGAGAATTTTCTCTTAGAATTTATCTTGAAATTCATGATAATCGTGGGACAATATGGTATTGGAAGAATTTTATAAGAGTTTTCCTGATTAATATTTACTACAATAAAAAATATTAATATCTATCATAATGAGATATAAAATATGTTTGATTAATTTTACTAAAATATATAGTAAAATTTTATAAAATTTATAATTCTTTAAGTATTAAATATTTATTAAGTAATATTTATTAAGTATAAAATATTTTATAATGCAGCATAATATTTTCAATTCAGCTTCAAATATGATAAAATTTGTAGTGAATTTTGCGGTAAAATATAAAATGAAAGATTATCTCAGTGTAAAATCTCGATAACAGAGAGCAAGCTGTCTTTAATTTGAATGTTTACGGATATAATGCTTCGTCCTCTTCCTCAGAAATATGTGTTGCTGCCAAATGGCAAATGCTCGTGCAAATCTTGTCACGTGCGACCTATCGCAGACTACATCATGTTGAAAATACGAATTGCCAAAACAGTTAGAGGAACCCATGCAGTCATTCGATGCTGGAAAGTCATCGGATATTTTCGTGACGAATCCGTATGCTTATAAATATATCGACATTGTGACGACTATTTTTAATATTCCATCTCAGTAGCGCGATTATTTTTGCCATCCATCAGACTGCTAGCAGACAGTCTGTTCTCGGGAAAAACTATATGAATAGATAATGATCGAGGAATCATATGCGTCGTTTAATTAAAATTCCAATAAATCCAAAAACACGACGCAAAGTTCGATATGTTATTAAAATAAAAAAAATGATTAAGTATAGTATTTTTGGTAGAAAAAATAAAGTAAAATTATGACACATGTCGTGATATGCATTTCTGTCATTGTTGCAAGCTGTCATTTACGCATGCGCGCGCAATGCATAATCAAATTAATGCATATTGTGATTCCGTGAAAAGCAGTCTCACGCGAAAATCCTACACCGACGCAAGTCACGCATATACACGCGTATACGTGCACGCAATATTTGTGAAATACCAGTGATATAGCGGGAATCCTTCAAGGAGAGAGATACCCGAGTGTATTCTTAGTGACATTACGTTACCTGTACATATACACGCAACATATGGCGAGCGTTACCTAATAGTAAAATATCCTCTTTGTGGGTACTCACCGTCAACTGCCGTACTAATGGTCGTTTTCGTTGTCACAGTCGCTTTGATACTTCTGCGAGATCTCCTGGACCGTTGCCTCCTGACATTTCGCGACCATCGCTGAGCGAGTTTCTTTTTGCTCCATGCATTTTGTTCTTCGGTCCTCTTTCCGCTGCAATTTCATTATTAATAAATAGATATTATGCATTTATCAGACTTATAATTATACATATGTACATACATATAGAATTTCTTTTATCGACAAGATATTTACAATTTGTCACACTTTCACGTCAGCGCTATAATTATCTAAGGTATGATAACATATTGTATTGAGCACATGTTAACGACTTGTTCATCCTTAGGCGGAATGCAGCGATAACGATCGCGATATTAATAAGCTGACGTCGCTTTTAATCGCGTTATATCTCGGCGATGTTGGTCCCTCGTCCGTATATATGTTTTCGAAACACTTGCGGTGCGAATCATTTTTACGGCGATGTATATATTAACTTCGCGGATCTAATAATGATTAATCATTCTTCGGCCGAAACGAAGACAATTAACCTGGCTGTTTTCGATTCCACTCCGTTATCGCTATAATGAAGTCGTGGAAAAAAAATGTGTATATAGTTTTGAAACAAGAGTCTTATCTCTCTCTTTTGCGCGCGCGCGAGCAAATTCCAGTTCACGCAGACAATACTTGAATAAAATATTTTTCAGAACACGTCCTATTTATATTTGCAACATAACACAAGATTAAAAGTATTCATACCACATTTTCTACTTATTGTTATTGAAATAGGGAATCTATAAATAGAATGTTGCAATTATAATATTTATCTTACCCTTTCTTGTTTATTTTTTAGGAATATTAGTTTTTTATCATTGAGAAAGAAAAAGATAAAATACCGTGTATGTCTTTCTCTGTTTTTAAAATTTGCAATTTTCTCATTATTTTTCTCATTTCCATGCTTACCATGGATCATTGGTCTGACAAGGGCACCGCGAGGCGCTTGAGACTTCTTCCAGGTCCTCCCACTCGGATTCCTTGCCGTTCATCGAGGTCAATCCTAAGACAGAGCCGGGTGCGGAGCCGGCGTAAAGGCTATTGACACGTTCCTCGCCCGGCGGCAGCCCGACGTCGTCATACACACCCAGCTCGTCTCGCTCCTCTTGGCTCAGATGACTCTCGCAGTCATCCACGCTGGAATATTCGTTGTTCATAGACGTGAAATACTGATCGGACTCGGTTATCGACGTCATCTTCGCCTCGCGATCCTTCAACGTCGCGCGCAATTCCACGAGCAGTTCCTTGCTCAATGCTATTTCCTTGCAGATCTCCGGAATCAGATAATCGCTCTCGTCGACGACTTTTAAACCGTCAGGTTTATGGCTAGGCGGCATCACGTCGTCGTAAATCTCGTCGCAGTCTTTAGCATCAGCGACGTCCACTTCTTCCACTTCGAGACGAGCTATCGGTGGACCCACGTCGTCGTAATCGGACTCCTGATAAGAGATTTATTGCTTTACATTTTTTTTGTAATTTGAAGAAGCGAATAAAATGATTGTGTCGTACCTGTCGCACCGTATTGACGTATATATAGGTATATATATATATACATATATTGACATCGTTGTTAATTTTTGTATTGCGAAACATTACACGCGCGCGGTTATGATCTTGGAAGCGAAATTCGAGGAGAAACGAATCGAATTACGCATCGTTCGTGATGCCGCATTTCCGTCTCTAATTTGCTAGTATCACGCAGCGCGTGAATCGATTATTCGACATTCCGTTTCACTTTTGCTGACGGTTGCCAATTTCGTGCACGAAATTGCATATTTAGCGATCAGAAACGCGCGGTTACTTAAATCCGCGCATCAATTTTCGCAAATATTTCTTTCGCTTAGAAATGAATAACGAGCGAGAATTAGATTAATTAAATGTTTAAATATCGTGTACTTTTCGATAAAAAAATGTTGAACCTTTTAAACCGACTTTTAGATTTATATGCACTGGATTTCAATTTCCATTAACATGCATATATTAATTTGCGTGTACACATAAAATTTCCAGTTAATACTCTACGTCTAATGACAAAACAAATATTCTTACTATTTATTCTTCGATGTAATTCATCGGATTGTCCCAAATTGAAACTATCATATAGCTATCATAGGCATCAGGTACAGATATTTGCACAGATTACATTAGCGCGAAGATTCCGCTCCATCGAGAGTTCACGGATAACGGAATCGTTGTGCATACGATAATTCGTACCGCTTGAGCGACGAAGTTAGACGGCCCGACATCGTCGTATCCCTCGCTGTCGACGCCCTCGTCGTTTTCCTTCGTGGCATGGCACGAAGGAACGGGCGTGTTGTGCTTAACTTCCGGAAAAGTCTTAGCCCGATGATTGCTCCACAGAAAGCTACAGTTGGCCTGCGGCGGCGCCCGAGGAGAAGCCTCCCAGACCGGCTCGTACATTTCGCCTCCTTCAGGCGAATCGGCCTGATTTTCAATCGTGGTTTTCACCACTTCCTGGCCGGACGCCAAAACTTTCGCCTGTGAGTCCCTCGAGAAGTCACTCTTTATCTCGGCGTAGTTGACTCGATCGCTCTTATCTGAAAAGGAATTCAAAATCTTATAAGAGAAAAGATATCGCTAGATGCCTCCGGAAATGCTGCTTTGTGTGAACAGAGAGATAGTACCTGCTCGTACCATTCACATCTATACGTTTGAAAAAAAAACATGCTACATATTTAATCATTAAAAAAAAATACAATATTAAAATAATAAAAAATATAATATTAATATAAGAAAATAATTGTTGTATACATCAAAGTTTTTATACATAATAATATATATATTTTATCGCGAGAGTTTTTGTATGAAAGATAATAAGTATAGAGATACATGTAATATTAATGTGTTTTCACTGATTATGTATATAATCAGAGAAAACGCACATTATACACGAGCGTAGAATATTATACAACTATTGCTAATAAACATTTAAATTTAAAAGTAGCAGTATTTGAAAATTTTTGAATAAAAACTAGAACAATGCAATAAATTATAAAATAACTACTAATTTTAATTACTCTATAATGTTGCAATAATTTGAATATTTAAAGAAAAACTACTAATTTTATCATTAAGAAATGTTATTGCGTTTCTCGTTTGCTCAATACTTTCAATTACCCAACTCGGCATTATATATACAGGTATTCGAAGGTGCGCAAATCGCGCAAATCAGGCCGCACTTGTGCAAGACATAACATTTGCATAAATTTTTTCACCATTATTGAACTCGACAAAGAAATCTGATTTATACGTCTCCTACCTGTGACACTTTCTACAGTCGATTGGTCTTCTTTAGATTGCTTGGAAATCATATCGGGAGAAATTCCTGCGGCAACCTTGGACCATTCAGCGTTCTCGGCGTTCACCGACTTGCGTCGTCGCTCGTCCTTTCCAACAAGCAGAGGCAAAGTCGCGCATATCTGTTGATGAGTAATCACAACCTGCTCCAAGCAGCCGGATCCTACGGTGTCGCGAACCAGGCTGAGATTCGTAGCCGATGCCACGTGAACGAAGTTCGTGGGCGACGAGATGATGACGCCCTTCAGCTCCTCCCTCGACAGGCTCCTGGTCCGGGCGCAGGTGTCCTGTGTTCTCGAGAAGGGCGTCATTTGCAGCGAACTCAGCGAACTGCTCAGAGTGTACTTCTTCTTCGACTTCTTCTTTTTCGTCGGCTGCTTTACCAAGTGTCGTGGCACATAGTGCAGCACGTTTCTGGTGAACCGTCTTTTCTTTTTCTTGTACCGTGACGCGTCATCGTCCTCGTCGCTCGTGATTGACCCTGCGTCCTCCTGCTTCAAATATTCCCGACGATTTTCGTACGCGATCTCTCTGGTCGTCAGATCATTGACAGACCGGGACTTTACGGCTATCTTAGAAGCGATTGGAATATTTTTCTCGGTTTTATAAATATGTGTTAGGCGCTCTGGAATTTTCGGATTTGAAGGATCAATTATTTTAGACGTCCCATCAAATGTAAACGCTTTACTGTCTACTATATCCATCTGTTCGTAATCGCTGGACGAATTGGAATCCTTTCTTTCGATGCATTTTTCTTTTTCTTGCTGATTTTCAGTAATCTTGATGTATACGTGAGGATTCTTCTGTTCTAGATGAGGATATTTTAAATCATTATTATTACTTCGAGTGCAAGATTCCTCTTTTGTAAATAGACTTGTAGAGGATAAACTTTCTATAGTCTTTTCAGTGGCTTCTGTCGCATTGGTTTGCGACTGAGTTTCCTCTTTCGGGATATTCTCGAAATTGCATTTGATCGTGGAATCCGATACTCTGGTGGCACAAGTCGTCGACTGGTTCTCCGACTTCGTCAAAGAGAAGGCCTGGTACTTGGAGTAACTTTTCCACTGATGACTCGCCCCGGATTTCACCTAACAACGAAACGGGCGTAATTAAATGGCTAATTGAATCGGTCACCGCAGATGTTATAAGAGAGAAAGTTTTTTATGAGTAGAGACAAATTCTTGCGACAAGTCTGTCGCACCATCCTTCTATTATTTCACAATAACGCTTTTATATGTATACATATTTCAAATATATATATATGGGATGTATATTTTTAAACATAATACAATGCTGTCTCTTCCCTTAAAAAAAAGAAATAGCTTTCTGATGGGTTCTTTTGACAATAGCCAATTACATTGTGAGTGTGAAGATTCGCGTAAATTACATGGGAATATCGTTTGTATTGTGGAGAGATTTAGAAATCATAAAACGTTGAAAATTTATCCTTATGATGCAAATTCTTTTTTACTAATTAACGTATTAAAAATCACTGTTATTCCATCACAAAGAAACATACATAATTTAGATTTTAGGTCTGATAAAAGATAGTAAAACTTTTTCTCGTAGAATCTCCCGTAGAATTCCCGTATATCTGGGAAAATGAATGAATTGAGAAGCTTAATTGAAGGACCTATATTAGATCTAGAATTCTCATTGTAAAAAAATTGAAAAATAAAATCTTCTTAAACAATGAAATATTTTTATAAGGCACGATTACCGGGATCGTGAGTAAGTAAGAGGTAGAATTTCACAGTCTTACGGAAACACATTTATCACCTATGTACATATATATCGGTCGTTTTTGCCCCCTGTTACTGCTCGCATTCCTCGTCCGATGGAATGTCGGCGATACGAAGGAAATTGCAGTTGTCCCGCAGTAAAACAAGTATATGTATATATCAAATAGTAATAAAAAGTAATAAAAAGTCCACAATATCGCTTTGGAAAAGTTTTGCCATTAAGTTTGACCGATTAAGTATTTCGGCGATTTGTGATTTTCTCGACGTAACGGTATCGCGATAATACATACGGTAAACATCAAATGGTGCTCTCGTTGAATCTTCGCGATTCTTATCCAATGTGGTAAGCTAGCATCATAAGATACTAACGAGCCACTCCTCCGACTATTAGCATCCTTTTGCTCGCGTATCCGCATATGCGGATCTCATCCCGACTTACGCACGTAAAGAGACAACATCTTACTCGGTCTCGTCTCTCTCATAAGGGAACCACGTAACTCTAGTTTTTAAATGCATATCCGGCTTTATATGCGAGACTATAACTGGAGTCTGTGCCTTAGATCTTCAAGAATTTCAACAAAGTCTCCTTTAATCCGAATAATTCTGTATAAATCGTGCCACCAACAATAATTCTTGTTTAACATTTTTTATATCTCTTTAATGTCTATTAAACATTTTCACGAAATTGGTCGTAGAAATTTAAAGAATCGTTTCAGCTAAAATTATTTCTTAAAACAAAAGAGCTTTTATTAGACTTTGTATTTGTATTGAATATTGTGAATATTAACTAATTAATTGTGAATATTAAATTGTCCCACAAGTTTTCAAATGTTTGTAGAATACACATCATAGCTATAATAATTCTTGTTTAACATTTTTATATCTCTTTAATGTTTATTAACAATTTTCACGAAATTGATTGTAGAGATTTAAAGAATCATTTCAGCTAAAATGATTTCTTAAAACAAAAAATATTTATATTAAATATTACGAATCTTAATTAATTAATTGCGAATTGGCATTAAACTGTCCCACAAGTTTTCAAATGCTTTCAGAATAATATACATTATAGATTATTGAACTTTCTTTGTAACTGAAACCTGCATTCATTCGAAGTCTCACAACAAAGGTGAACGTATGATATTTATATTGACGCATGTGCGTACCTTATAAGTTGGTCGTTTGGGCGAAGTCTTTCCATTGACGAGTCGTTTCTCTTTGTCTAATTTTTCCGTCTTGTCCGCGACATTATCGCTGACCACGGGAAGCAATTGTAGAGGCAATCTCGTTCGCTTCAGAGCCAAGCTGTCGAGAGTGGCGTAAACGACTTTGTCGGAGATGAGGGCAGCCCTGCTGCTCCCGTGCAGGAAACTTCGATTGGCCGTAGGCGAAGGGCTCATCTCGAAGGGCTTTTTTTTTACGGTGCAATCATGTATGATTCACTCTCAAATTCCGCACGATTATTTCACATACTATTTCATGTTCTTATATTCATTTTGGTGTTCAAAATCTGTCAGCTTGAAGAAAAATTGAATTAAAATTTGCACGATCACATACTACGCTATTTTGCACAATTTTCTCCTATATTCATAATTTTTATAAAAAAGATTTTATACTTAAAATTTTCTATGATATTTTTCTCCATTTTTTATATTAAATTTTGTATTTCCTACAATACCTTTGTTCTCATTTTTTGCCTTTGATATTAATCAACTAGATGTGTTTAAATTTAATGTAGATTTTAAGCTACTGTATTTTTAGTACATATTAAAAATATAAAAGATCAATTACGATTATTATGCATGAGTCTTCAGATTAGAGCTCAATTTGTTTAAAAAATGTTTTAAAAAATTCATTGTTGCGCGCTAATCATAATCCAGTATTAAGAGGATATAAAGAGAGCCGCAACTTTAAATCTTTTCCGTGAAACCGTCGATAAGGGGTTTTAATGTCGTGTGCCCTTATCATGAATGTCACACGTACATATGATCGTTGATTGCGATGCTGCCAATTAGCAGTATCATAGGAATTGTTTATTATGTAACATTTTTACATGAATTATTTTTTATTATTATTTGTTGATTAAAATTTTTATATCTTATAGCATAATTACTATATATTATTATATAGGTAAAACATTATTATTACGTTCATTTGACGTTAAAACATTATATATCGAAAATGTCAAATCTATAATTTCATGTACTTTACGTAATTGTTCGTTTTGATGAGATACGATCGAAATTATGAATCAGACAGACAATTGACAGATAAGCTTATCGCAGCTTCCGTTACTGTTTTATACCGTGTCACAGAAAACGTGACAATAAGAATTAAAAATCTTATTAGTCTTTGTTTTTTTGTGATGTAATCGATACAATTACTAAACTTTGATTTATTGATTATTACTGGAATAATCACTTGATTATAGATAAAAATTCACTAATTTTTATTGATTTATTAAATAAATTTAAATCAAAATATATAAAGCTTTTTATAGTTTTAAACACACTTTATATATTGGTATCATAGTTTACTTTAGAGTTGTTAAATTTATTTTAACTCCTTTAGCTTGTTTAATTATGAAATTAATTTCTATTTTTATCGATTCAGCAGATTAATTGAAGTCATTGTGTAACTGCGTAATCATGCAATAAGATTTTAATCAACAAATAATAATCATAATAATTCTTTTTAAAATTTTCTGGTAATTATTAAATTTTTTGTGCACAATTAAATAATATAATATTATAGATTATATGTGTAGCATATGCTAAATAAAATATCCATTATTAAATTTATCAATTATTTCAAAATTACACTACACATATAAAGTATCTTTTAAGTGCAATATATATTATATATAAAAAATTGTTACGTATTCTCATATAATCAAAAGATGTAGAAATATATACTTGATTCTACCTTAAAGTCGTGAATACAAGCTTGTCGACATAACGCGTTTCGCACGAAACTGTTATACAGCGAAAACAGATTATGACCTTGCGAAGTTTTTCAACTTTAGTCACGTTACGTCGCGCGCGCGAAACTTCTCTAGCTTCTCCCTCGCGAGAAGATCGACTCGCGTTCCGCTCGATCTTACGCTGCAGACTTCTCGTTGATACTCTTCGGCGAGACTGCGAGACCGCCCATAAACCGTTCGCAAACGCGTATATCGCGCACTCCCGTGAATCGCACGTGCGCTCACGACGAGCGAGTACGACGAACACGAACGAAACGCACGATCGCGCGGCGCGAAGCGCACTGACGTTAATGATCGATCGCCGATGATCGAGCCATCGAACGCGCGCGCGAACGGCGACAAATCACGCGGCCACGCTCGCGCCGGATTTTCGGAGCACTTCACTGCGCATTCGCGCACGCAACCCGCTTAGTCAACTCCGAAGATCGTCGGCGGCGCTCGGCGACTCTCGGCTAAATTCGCTGACGTCAGTGCCGTAGCGCGCGAATTTTCGATCCATCGATTTTTGCACCTTCCGTATTGCGTTTTCTATATTTTTTAAAAATATATATATATATTTAATTAGTATATATTTAAAATATATATTAAATATATATGTATATATATATATATTTAAATAATTTGAATATATTTTAAATATTTTTATCTATAGAAATTCATTAATTATATAATTAATAATATTATATACTTAATAAACTGTATAATTAAATACATAATTAATTGATTATACATAATTATAATTATGTTGATATTTTCGAGTTTAGCCTTTTTGCAGGAAGCATTAACGAGCGTAATCTGAAAATAATAGTAATTAGAAATTAAGGAGCAATGATATCAAAATTCTTTGCATTATAGTTCTTTAAAATATGCGTTGTAAGATTTTAATAAAATATTATTATGATCATGAAATAATTTCATATTAGTGATATCGAGCAATATATTAAAATGATAGAAAAATAATTACATTTATGCTCTTCAAAATACTGTAATTTGTTTCGCAATTTCTCTTGTTTTTCTTCAATTAATACTTCCTGCATTAAGTAACAATCATGCATGCGAGTGCGTCTTTTGTAAATTATTGACATGTCAGAGAATGCGAAAGTGTTTGTAAATGTACACGCGCCGTTTTTATTGATAACGATTGAGTAGTATTTTTTACTTTGTCATTAATTCAATACACATATTTTTCTGATGTTTTCCAAGTATCACTTTACTATTAGAGAAAAAGCTAATAGCCTGCACTTCACTCGATAAGATAAATTGAATTTTATTTATTTTAAAACTGAGTACTTTTAATCAAATCACCACCTGTATGCACTGTATATTTTTGTTAGCATCGATTAATAACTTCCGATATTACAGAAATATCAATCAAATCTCTCATTGCTGTTAACAGAATTATAAAGTTTAACATTTTTTACTTTTATTGACTTTGTATATTAAATGTAAATATAATTTTATGCAAAACGTATATTATTTGATTGTTTGCATAAATTAATCATATTACTTATATATATTTTAAATATTTAAATATATGCATATTTATTGAATATCTTATGTATATTTAATAAATATACATAAATAGGCATTCATATACAAAATATGTATTATCACGTATATTTATGCTATTATCTATATTTTTGAGAATATATATATATAGATTCTTTTTTAAAAGATTTTTCTTCTTCATATTTTAATATTTATTTCAAATTTATGTGTCGGTTTCATAGCATCATATTATTCTGTAATAAAGGAATAAAGTAATTATATATCGCTATAACAGCGTATGTAATATCTTTGAAAGCAGTTTAGCAGTAATTCCGCATTCTTTCTCCACCGATTTCTCCGTTTTGTTTTCTCTGCGAGTTTTCATAATCAAACTTCGTCTCTCATGTACGCAACGTGACAATTCTTTTGTGTATTATACGCTTGCAACATTATAACTTAAACATTATAAATTTAAAAATCACTGTTCGTATAAATTAATCAGCTAATTAGATAAATAATACGTAATATGAATTGTAATATTAGGTTGAAACATAATTCTGAATAGTATTTAATTACAATATTCAATCGCACTGACAAAAAATATTGCAATTGCGATAGGATCGATATAATAAATTACAATTATATTAACATATAACTATATAAATTAAAATTGCAACACAACAGATATTTGTTGTCTATACAACTAAAATAATTATCAGCAAAAATGCACAATTTAGCCGGTTCTACATTAAAAAAAATAAAAAAAAATATGTTTGCGACTTGCGTTTTTAACGCGCAATATCTATCATAAAGGTGATTTTACGTATCCTGTAAAATTGCATAGGATTCGTAATATTTCATAAAGTGGATTTGATTGCGTTTCTTGTCGATCGATGTAAGCGCGTATACACAAACGCGTTATATACAGGTGTGCGCATAAAGGTGATGGTAAAATCATGCGCGTCAGAGGTAGTCAAGAATTCCTACATTCCTGCGCAGGTGAGTCTGGGATGCTGATGTGGCACATTGGCCCCGTTCGCTCCTCGTCGAACGTAGCGTATGCGAGGATCAGCAAAATTATATTATTTCGGCAAAGATTTCTCGCGTGCAAAGTGGAGCATGACGGTATAAAATATAATATATTCGCGTTCGATTCGTTGTAGAAAAAAAGAAATTTAAAAATATTTTGCGCTCTTTTTTATATTAATTTAATAGTTCTTGATTATTGTGCAAATATTTTTAATTTATTCGGAATAATCGATATATTTAATCATTATGTTGCACGAGTTACGAATTCGTATGGGCGGAGTATGTAAAAACTTTATGTAAATGCAATTTGAGATTACGTACGTATTTTTGCACTTTTTTTACATCACAATGTATTACGTAATAAATCGAGCATATTTTTTCTCTCTAGACCTTCAAGTTCATCATACATGCAATTATGATATCGTGCCCACATTCTTAGATTACTGTTAGCTTGCCTCGTTATCATGTAATAGCTAATTTGGCAGTTAATTTGAGGAACGAATTAGTAGTAATTACGCATCCGTTTCTATTTTAATTACGTGATTAATTCGTATTGCATTAATTGCATTAAATAGAAATTCATTATTTTAGAAGACAATAAAAGAGATGTGTAATTATTTTATATAATTTAGATATTTATTACACGTAATTTTTTTATGAAATTTACTTTATTATTAGACTGTTTAAAAAGAAATATATATATATATATATATATATATATATCTTTTTTCAATTTTTTAAATATTGATTATCATTTACTTATAAAATTTAATTCATAAGTAGATTTATTTTTGCGAATATATCTGCATGTACTCACATTTACGATGACATGGAAATATTCAAAATACGCTCACTCATCCCCACTTATTGTTAGAGCAATAAACTCTAAAGGATCGGGAAACGTAGAATCATCATTACTATCCATACTGCCAGTAGACAGTCAGCTCGCACTCGAAGCGGATACCACATCGAAATGTCGGTCGATCAGGTATTGTGTTTTATTTGCAACAAAATAGATAAATTAACAGAAATTAATCAACGAAAATTCATTCTACAAAATTAATTTCTATAGAATTAATTAATTTACACAAATATCCCTGAAAAATGTTTGAATTTAATAGAAATACAAATTATTAAATTCCTAACAATATTATTTAATTTTATTAGAAGAATTAAAGAGTGAATATAACAAAAATGGAATAATATAATATAAAAAAATGTCAGATTACTAGTGAGGTTTCAATTTTGGCGATAAAGAATTCATGAAATTGTAAAGTAAGAGAGACAGTTTCTAACTTTTTTAAATTTATTTAATTTGTCACACAATGTTTTTCATTAACACATAAAATAACTGTTTAACGTTATCGCATTGTTCTTGAACTGTTGCATGTAATTTGCAAAGTCATGCAAAGGTTTTACAGATTTTATAGAGCGTCATTTTCTCTAACGGGGTTTTCTACGGTTGATCTTAAAACCGGTAGCGAATCCTACACTGTTTTGTACATTTATACAAGTATTTCAAACAATTCTTATTTATAAATTATTTCAGAGTTAATATTCTGATAACAAATTACAAAAATACTGAGAAAAAAAGTATATTTAAATTATGTGAAATCGAAAATAAAATACTATTAAAGAAAATTATAAAATATGTAAAGAGAGAGTAAAACTTGAGATTCCTAATTTAATTTAAAATAAACAGGATTATAATATATTTGTAACAAATATTAAATATGAAAAACAATTTGTGACAAATTCTTCTTGACACTTTCATTTAGAAGAAATTAAGAATTCGGAAAATTTAATAATAAATTATAGATAAAGGTTTGAGACAGTGATGTAGAAAAAATGTAAATATTATAGCTGCAAACAACATATAATCATAATTTAAGAATAATAAATATTTATATCCTCAGTAAGTCGTATCATAATAATTTGAATATGTATCATTTTATTAAATAAGAAAAGCTGTAATAGTTTATCGCACACATCAGCTCAAATTGATTTTGAAATGCGATAACAATGTTAGCAAAAATATTAGAACAATTTATCTATGAAAAAATTGAAGATTTACAGGCAGTATAATATTATTTTAATGAAAATAATCTAAAAATAGCTGTTACTATAATTTGTTGAATTAAAACATGCATAAAAAACTATTATGCCTGTAATTCTTTTAAATCATGAAATATTGACATAAATATTATATGTATTATCATAATCAAAATGATTACGCTCAATTTTCTTTCATCAACTCAAAGTCACATTTTCTCAAATTCTATCTTGTATTATATTTTTTTCTTCAAGAATTATAAATAAATGCTCACTGTACTCTGTACTCTGATCAGTTTTGTTTGCACAACTTCTTTATCACACAACATTATCATAAAATTGTAACAAAAAACGTTTAAATGTATTCTTGAAATGATTACATTTGCATTAATCAAACGAAGATAATCTTTCAAAGAAAAAAAGGAGAAAAAACAGGTTTATATCGATCAAGCCATACGATAAACTTTGTAAGGTGGGGATTAACGTTTTTAACTTGTGCATACATTCGATCGTTGGTCATAAAGTACTTACGGTGCTTACAGGAAGAGTCGAACGGTTTATTATAAGGATGTCTCTCGACCAGGTAAAACCAATATCTTTTTTCTTTTTTTTCCCTATTTGTTCTGCAACAGACGGGTATCTCAACTTTTGTATTCTTATTCTATTCGTGATTCGCATCAATTTTTTTCGGAATACATTGTAACGGAAAGATAAATTAATTTTTAAGTAGAAATAAGCAGCAAAAATTGATGTATTGTAGCATACTAATTTTGTTGGTCTCTCGTTCGCGATCGCGCATGATATCGTATGGATTTCTCCGAAGAGAAATTTGGGGCAGTTGGTAAATTATTATTTAACCGAAATGAACTCGTCTGGTCTGAGGAAAGTTTGGAAGTTACACTGTAATGGTGCGAAATTTTAACATTGCTTTTCCTTAATGACTTTCAAAATTTTCTGCGTTACTTACTATTGTTGAGTTTGAAAAATTTGAATTAAAATCTTCAAAATTCTTAATTTATAATAGAGTGTAATATTTAAATCCACAGTTTGAAATGTGAAACAACTCTCTACGTGATTTTAAAATTCGTTAACCATTTTAGGATCACTTTTCTTTTAAACGCAAAGTCATTCATAATTCAAAGGTCACTTGTAATCTTCTCTGAGAATATTATCATATTTATAAGTAGACGCTGTCATACATAGCTAGTGAGATTATTAATGTTTGGTTTCATAAATAATATTTAAGTAATGTTATTCATGGATGAATATTAATATTTTGAAATACAAATTTATATTTTTTATCATAGCAATTTGAGGCGGCTGCTGCAGCTGTAAAGGCACTTACGAAACGGCCTACCGACGAGGAGCTTCTAGAACTTTATGGTTTGTTCAAACAAGCTACAGTTGGCGATAATAACACATGTAAGTTCTCTCATCAAAATAAATTTCGACAATTAATTTCGCGTATATATTAATTCTAATTAAAACTGTCAATTATTTAACTTATTCAATGAATTTAGTTTTATTGAATAATATCTAAAAATAAATTGTATTGTTATATATGTTATGTAGTAACATATCACAATATTTCAGCCAAACCCGGTATGCTGGATTTGAAAGGAAAAGCAAAGTGGGAAAGTTGGAACAAGAAGAAGGGCGTTTCACAAGAACAAGCGAAACAAAATTACATTGATTATGCCAATCAATTGATTGAAAAATATAAATAATTTTATCTACCCTCTCTTTAGGATAGTTGCGTTCCTGTTGCAATATAAATATAAGAAATATATTTTCATGTTTTCTGTTCTTAAGTAATCTTATTACTTACTGATAAAATTAAACGATTTTCGTTACAATTCTCTCATATTGTATAATATTCAAATCATATTTCAAATATTATACAAGACTGGCGATTAAAAAATAAAGAAACTGATAAAATACATATACTGCATCATATTTGAGGTGTGCGATTAATTATTGTGTCAATAAATTATTGTTCTATATAATATCCTCGAATTGCGTTTCTCATTTATCTGACACAAATCATATTCATCTAAGCTGTGGTGAAAGCATTTAATGACCAATAATGGAACAAAAATTTTGTTCTTCTTTGGTCAATTAAAAAGTTCTAGCACTTACAGCATCAAGACGAATACAGCCACACGATCTATTCATATAACTGCATCAAAGGCAGTTTGTTTAAATTACTGTTGTTTTATTATAAATTATAATGAATGCAACAATCTATTATATAAAATATTTCCATTTTATTTAATTTAAGTGTATAAAACATTTCTATGCTATATGATTGATTTTTATGTGTGTATGGAGTATATTTATTTTATTAAAATAGATTTCTTAAAATGTGTGTTAGACTAATCCTCTTTATATATATACATAGAATATATTTTTTTCTGATTACTATGGATTTTACTTATTTTGCTTATTGGTATTTTCTAGGATTTGATTATTTTTGCCTTTTTTTTACTTTGATTATCAACAAATATGTTTTACGTCTCTCATGAAATTTTACTAATATACCAATAGCAAAGTGATACTTTTAGGATTAATATTAAAAACAAGTGAATCATTGTTTTAAAATCGTATCACATCATAAAAGATTAATACTTCTGTAGCTATTTTATGAATGTAACATTGTTACATGTTAATTTGAAAGATCGATAAGTCGAATCAATAAATTAAGACAAAAAATGTTATTGTAATGATCTTTTATCACGTGGCAAAGTCATCTTTCCATGAAATGTTGTCAGTTTTGTCGATTGATCTCGACGACGACTTTATCCGTCGAATATTACTGTGCCGCACGCCATACGAGAAATATATAATCAAACCTGTGATAAAACATTTTATACGTTCGATATATTAAAAAAATGCATTCATTTGTTTTTTTTTAATAAACTCACCAACTGCCATCCACACAGCAAATCGCACCCATGTCATTACATCCAACATCATCATAAGATAAATATTGATAAGTATACTGATCGCAGGCAGGAATGGTACAAACGGCACCTAACAACAGCAATGAGCATAATAATGATATAATAATTATTCAATGAATGTTATATTAATTCCTTATAATAATATAATTTAAGTCTTATATTTAATTATTAATTTGTGATATTAACCTTCTATGTTCTAAATACAAGGAAAATGTTAAAACATCGATAATATTAAAAATCGTGATACAATGATTCCCCAGATAAGATAAGATTAATTGTAAGCTTCATCTCAACATGAAACTTTGATATATATTTTACTCATAAATAATATTAAATAACATTAATATAAAAGGTACACAACTTCACACATTGACGTCACGAATTAATATGATAAAGAATATTAATACGATATTAACAAAAACTTATATAAATAGGAATGTGAAAATATATCATACCGAGAATGTAAGTTTCTTGCCAGAAACTGGTTGGAAAGAAATGAAACAGAGAGTAAGCACGAGTGCAATGGCTAAAACGACGAGTGGTACTATAAAAGTCACTTTTCCGATGCTGATCTCGGTTATATACATTGATAACAAAGTGGCTATACCAAAACAAAGAACAACTGCAAAAAATTCAATAGTTTAGTACATTAGATACTTTAAGATGTAATAAAATTAACGCGAAAAAATAACGAATCTTACTGTAACAGAATACGAGAGAGGTAACGATTTGCGACGTAAGTTTCGTGGAGTGATTCAATTTGTTTGCATTGATTAGTTGCTTTGCGACGAATACAAAAGTCCTTGGATCACGATCGCCTTTCTTCTCGTATGCTTCGCTTTCTTCGTATCTACAAAAAAATGTATTAATTATTTTTATTAATTATTATGAATCGTGTTATAATTTCTTACCGTAAAATAAGTACACAAGATGCCACAATTGAATATGCCAGTAGCGTGCCGATACTCATCATGTTCACCAATTGCGTGAGTTCGAATATCGCCGCTAGAATGCCTGTAATATGTCATCAAGTTAGATTATAGCGTTTAATTGACCACATGGAAATAAGGTGTGGTTGAACGAACCTGTGAGAAGCCCGGCGGAAAGTGTCCCCATGAATGGAGTTTGAAATCGTGAGCTTACTTTGCCCATCCATTTGAAGATTAATCCGTCCGAAGCCATGGCGTAGATCACTCGCGGAAGCGGAAACATCGCGCCTAAGAGACTGAAATAATTGGAAAATATTATTATAAGTAGAAAGGAAATCATTTCCTCTAAAAAATATTATAATAAGAGACACGATTAATATAGAAAATTTGTAGATATATTTTCTTAAAATATTGAAGATTTGATTAAATATGTTTTACACTTATAAAATAACAAAATAATATAGTTAATTATATGTTGCATTTAATGCAAGAAAAAATGAATTCTGTAGAATGATGTATGAAGAAGCGCGATCAATACGCGAAAGATCCATTTTTCTCATACACTCTTTAATTTGACACATAATGAAAGGGAAGTAAATTACCTGGAGCACAGTCCGCAAATCGCTCCGATCGATACGAGCCACTTGGCCCAGTCCCATCCTATCGTTTGGAACAAATGCGGGAACGGTGCTTCGGGATTCTGCTCGTAGTACGGTATTACGGTGGTGAGCACCACTGAGACGCCAAAGTACGCCAGGAAGACTATCGTCAGAGACGCGACGATTGCTATCGGGATGGATCGTTGCGGATTTTTGGCCTCCTCCCCCGTCGTGGCCACGCAATCAAAGCCGATAAATCCGTAAAAACACGTTGCCGCGCCACTTATAATGCCGGATATACCGTAAGGCACGAATCCGCCGGTTCCAAACTTGCAGTCCGTCTCGGTGCACTTGGGCTCCGTTTTCCAATTGCTAACATTAGCTAGAAATTATTACAAATTTTATATCCATTTTATATTTTTCTATTTGGTATCTTTATGTTTTAATTTTCGAGTTTGTATATGTTTATAACAATTCTTTAATCGTTTTATTTTATAGTATTGTATATTAGCATTTTTATTGTAGTATTATTATTGACATTATTAATTAATAATATAACACTTTGCACACATTTGTAAGTTTAATTTATTATCAAAAAATATCGTAAACTTTGTGCGTGTGAAGTAATCTAGATAATAAATAGTCTTCTATTTCTGTGTTATATTATTAGCTCAGCATTTTTTCAAAAGCTATAGATAGAACAGTTTTAAAATAGCACTTACATTTAAAAGAACCGGCAATTATGACGAAAAGTACGACAGAGAGATTCACCAGTGTGAAGAAGTTGTTTGCTAGCGAAGATTCCTTAGCTCCAAAAGCGAGTGCAACTACGAAAGAAATTCTAAATTATTTGAACCATTTTTATTATTGTTACGCAATTACGTAACAAATTAACGAGTCAATAATAGGGCTTGTTATGAGAGATACGCGTTTTAATCAGAACTTTACAGATAAAACACGCACGTGAGATGTACATACATCACACAGTTAATTGAATCTCGGTCGGGAATTCTCTTATCACCTGAAAATAACAGGGTGATGCCAAATGCGAAGAAGTCCGGATACGATGACAGATGACTGATATCTATAGGCGCCGCCGACTCAAAGGCATTCCTCATGCTGTTGTTGAAGAGCGCATCGACGTACGTACTGAGACCGCGTACCACGCTAGCCGAGCCGATAACGTATTCGAGAATTAAGGTCCAGCCGATGAGAAATGCGATGAATTCGCCCATTGTTACATAGCTGTAAACATACGCGGATCCAGCACGTGGTACTCGTGCTCCAAATTCGGCATAACAGAGACCTGGAAGAAAAACACGCATTTAAATTTTCCGAACAGTTACTAACGGCTAATATCCCTAACAGCACAATATATTCGAAAGACATTTAAAGGATATCTAGAGGACATTCAAACATCCTCTAGATGTCCTTAGGATGACTTCTGAACGTCTTTCGGATATGTGTGGTATTAGGGATACGAGTCGTGATTTTGAGTCAAGAAAATTTTTTTTTCTATCTTTAATGATTTTATAATGTTAATTATAATTTAGGTAATCTAATTGATAAAAAAACATCGTATCTGCAAGAAAAATATACAAGACAAAATTGCAATTGATATTAACAATTATTAAGTAATTAGTTTCATTTTTTCTCAATCAGAATAATATAAGTGACTATTTCTGTTTGTTTTTTAACATACTTCTATTTTCCTCTATATAGAAAGAACGGATTTCACATAAGCTTTGTAAAACATAACTTAATAGAAAAAAATAATAAAAATCTTTTGCTAATAAATGTAATATACAGGGTTTGTCCGGAAAGTAATGCGTCGCATTTTTTTAAAAAAGAATTTATTGATCGCATAGGTAAAACAACTTAAAATTGTTCGAAGTATGACCCTTCTGCGTCAATACATTTTTGCCAACGCGATTTCCATGCGTCATAAGATTTCTGGAACTCCTTGACTGGGATGCTGTTCAGGGAGGCCGTCGAAGTAGCTTGTACGTTGTCAACCGACTCGAGCTGTTGTCCTTTGAGCTCCCTTTTCAGCCGAGGAAATAAAAAAAAGAAATTGGGATTATCTGCACAGAGTTGCTTGAGTTCTTCACAAACTTCCACTCGGTGTTGCTTTTGCGCATCGGTCAACACTCTGGGCACAAGTTTTGCGCAAATCTTCCGCATGGCCAAGTCTTCCGATACAATCTCGTGAACAATCGTTTTCGGCAAGTTCAATAATTCCGACATTAAGCGAACATTCATTCGACGGTCTGAATTCAATAATTGGCGCACACGAGTCACATTGTCGTCCGTTCGCGATGTTGACGGGCGTCCTGCGCGGGCCTCGTCGGCGACCTCCTTCCGACCTTCTCTAAACATCTTGTGCCATCTGTTTGACTGCGATTTGGAAAGGCAATCGTCCCCGAAAACTTTCTTGAGCATTTCAAAAGTTTCCAGCGGCGTCTTGTCCAGCTTCACGCAAAACTTTATCGCATAGCGTTGCTCTATCGTTCTCTCCATCACAAGTTCGACGCGACCACTAAGCAGAGGTTCACAGAATAAGCCGTCCTAACCCTCCAAGCGCATGGAAACAATTGAGCGACCTACCGTTGGAAAGCTAAGGGTACCCCCTTCCTCCCCAACCGGTCCCATCGCTCTGCGATGTATAGTCGCGTCACAAAAAAATGCGACGCATTACTTTCCGGACAAACCCTGTAATTCGAATTGTGTTTAATTTAATATAAAACAATAAATTGTTTAAACTGTACTCACAATTCCTGATTTTACTACATGACATACTTAATAAAAATTGCACAAACTTTTTTTTTTTAATAAAGTTATTTCAAATTATAAAACGTAACTTTTACAACAATGATATGCATATACGACATTGTTATTTGTCGAGTACGTTAAATGATTAGATGAGAAGCTTATCTCAAGAGTATCGACTATTTCGTCAAACGAATTATCTCTTTTTCCAAGAACCTTTTTCAAGAAACTAAACATTAATAAATTTATGTGTATGCGAAGCATAACGCTACGCAGTTTTTCGTGGTATCATTTTCTGCTAAGCTTGCATCATCCATAGCGCCAGGACGGAGGTTTGCTTACAATTAGATAGCAACGAACGTGGAAATAATACCGGAAGATATGGACATGCTCATTATTTATTCAAGATTTAATCCCGTACATTTCCTCAGCGAGATATATTTTTCTTCAGCAAACTTTCTAAGAAAGGAATAAGGAAATATTCGAAATTATGTTGCAATAATTGGATGATTTGATTGATTTGTAACAGAAGGTGAAAAGTTGATAAAGTTCGTCGAATGGTTCCCTTATCACCGTATCACCGGATGTATCATAGGCATACATACCTGCAAACATCGATGCTATTGCAGCAATAGCGAATGAAACGACCACGGCAGGACCGGCTGTGGATCTCGCGACAGTTCCTGCCAGGACGTAAACACCTACTCCCAGAGTAGAGCCAATTCCTAAAGCTGTGAGATCGAGAGTTGATAAAACTCTCGCCAGTTTAGAATCTTGAGTGATGTCCACTACCTTTTTGCGACTGAACACCCTGTACACGTTGCGGAGTTTCCACTTCATGTTATACAACTGAAAAGGAATGCACATACAATTAGTCACTTAAATAGACACCGACTTATAAACTGATGGGTGGTGAGATTTTTTGGAATTTTATAATCTTCTTGAAATTCAAAGAAATAATAAAATTTATTATCCAACAGGAAGATGCATTGATAAGAGCTAATGATGAGCAAAGCGCAGATTCTTTTTCTTCTAATTAGAATTTATTGATCAATTCTGTAAATGTACATTTCGGAACCTGGACCAACATCAGCATAAGTAAATTAAGTTAAAGAATAAGTATACGACCTTCGATAATTCCAGCTCGTCAACTGAACGCCACAAAGGTTGAAAGAGAACTACTTCAATTGTAAATGAGTGTTCACAAGGTTGTATAACGATTTCGAGTACAATGATTACTAATCGCGGCCAGGTAATTCTTTTCTTAACAATTGTAATCATAAGAAGACTTATTGTGATCAAATCATAGTAAAGATCATTAAGTTATTGGAGATATCGTACACAGCTAAATTCACGTACTGATAAGTAGCTAATTTTCAGGGATCGGAATATACATTTATAGAATTAATCGATAAATTCTCATTAGAAGAAAAATAATCTGTGCTTTGCTAATCATGCCTGGTCCTCGATAGTCCATTTTCCCGTCAATTAAATATTCAATACCAGAGTCTTAAATTTCGTTTATTAAAATTGACATTATTCACTATCATATAAATAAGTGTATTGTACATATAAATCTGCAATTATTTAATAAAACACAAATTAATTCCATGAAAATTCAAGATGTTATCATTATTAAAAATAGTAGAAAAATTCTCCTTATTCTTATAATTTATTTATAATATTCCAGGCACGTTCTTTTGCTTCGAGGAATCGATATTTCTGTGCAAGAAATTGGTAACAGCGATAATCGGCGATAATTTGCGAAAAAAACAAATTATGCTGATTATGTAACTGGTGGCTTACCATGAGGAGTTTTGTTAAAGCACAATCCATTTTTTTCTGCAAGGAAAATGCGAGAACGTTAAGAAAATAAGTTCCACGAAGTGTCCGTCGAACAGTTCGCGCGCGACTAAGGAGACTTATAAATTAAAGTGCCTTTATATATCACGTGACGACATGTCTCACGTCGGGACACTTCCTCGGGCGCGCTTAATTGGTCGAATTGTTTCGCTGCTAGTACAGAACGGGAGCACATCGCTACAAGTAAAGCAACTGCCTATATTCATTGCGAATATAATACGAATTACGGACATCTCTTTCTCCACTTCACTTAAACAGTTCCACGAATCGAATTCAACATTCCTTAATCTTGATTGGATTCATTCGAGTGTTTCATTTTTAACGTTACATCAATATTAGATTTCGTTAGGTCAGTATTAGATTTTTCAGTACTCTGTATCGATCTGTTAAAAATCTGTAGCTGAATATTGATTAAAAAAAGAAGCCACAAATTATTTTATTTAATTCCTACGTGCTAAAATTGAAGAGAATCTGATATCGATAATAAATTCTCATCAAGAAATGCCTTTTTCACCTTTTTTTTCGTTTGATGAAAAAGATATCTACTATCTTAAAAGAAGAGTTTGTAATAAATCGCGAGTGTGATAAAAATGTCAGATTATTGTGAATGAACATTGAAGGAAGAAGATAAGAAATATATCTGTTGTGCAATAAATGTGCGTTATTAAGTGTCAATAGATTTTATGCTGAACTTGTTAATATATTATTCATTTTTTATGCATTGTTTAAATGCAACGCGCATATACATATTTGTATTTGTACACGCATATAATAACTTTAAGTAACCCCTTAATTTTAAAGTTTCTATATATATAAAAAGTTATATATTTTATAATAAAAAATATATAACTTCCTATCAAAAGTTGTATTTCTTAAGCTGATATAATTCAGTAAACAGAAGACAGGAATCTATTTTTTATTTTATACGTCGTATATTCTAATGTATATGCGCCATATTTTTTTATACATATCCTATTTTCTACTTCAAATATGTGTTTTTGATATCACATAAAAGTTATAATAATAAATCCCATTCTGAATTATAGAGCGTTTAAAGTGAGCTTAACATGTGATAACGTTTGTAGCAATGCGCACTTACTTAATCGGAACGTGACTTTTCTCAGCTGTATGCGCGAAACCACTTCACTGCAATTACTGCAGTCACACCTGAACATCACTCTCAATTATACTCTACAAGATGACGCGACGTGATCTTGAAATTGTTTTCACGAATGTAATAACTACTTTCTTTATTTTGCTTATCTTTGCGCAGATACCGATTATCCCCTATGATAATACCATCAATCATAAAGCAGATGTCGATATAAGTTTCTCGAGTTCAGCGTCCTCGTCGTGATGTCTTTTCGCTTATATGAGCTTCTCTAGATTACAAAAAACAAATGGTTACGCGAATTGATAATAAACAGTACAATTTCAATACATTCAGTTATTATTTCATATATAAATTTGTATTTCTATAAAATTAAACATTTAATTGTTAGCTATAAATACAATTTTTGGAAAATGGACGGATTATGTTTTATGTATATAACAAATAATATTTGTTAATATACAAATTTTTTACACATTATGTGTGTATATATATATATATATATGCATATTAATTATTATAACAAATGGAATACTGTTCAAAGTGGACGGAATATATCTCTTATAATACAGTTAGAGATCACATAGAGATTCAAATTTGATAAACATTTGTGAAATGACTATAACCACTATAAAAGCATTTGCATTCGCGTAAATAATTTACGCAAATGAATGTGAACACTTATTAGAAGACTATTAGCGAACACAATATTCTGAGACAAAAAACTGTACAAAATATATAAGACATATAAAAGATTAGATTTATAAAATATAATGCATTGAGACAAATAGAAAAATGTTAAACTATCTTGTGTATATATATATAATATTCGTTAATTATCGTCGTAAAAAAAAGAATTTATATATTCAGTCTGCAGTGCTGAGATTATTATGTCAGCTGACTAAAACGTCAACCCTAATAATTTCTGCAGAATCATTGTCATTTAAACCTTGATGTGCCCAACAATGAGAGTAGAATTGTTATGGCAAATATTCCATAATGTAATTTTGTTTCATTTCCAGCAGACTGAAATAAGTATGAAATATTTATACTTGTATTTATACTTATATTGTTTTAAATCGTTAAATTCACAGGAAAAAAATACTTACAATAACGTAATAGTTACATCTGTCACCTTGACAGCAAGAAGAACACTTCCAGTCCTGATACCAGATATAGATACAATCAGGCATATTAGTTCGCTGCAATCTCTCACATTCCTTTTTAGTAGCGCATTTTTTAGAAACATAAAACTGCTTTTTTGCACCCTGAGACCAATATGGCGTACCTATAACAAACGTTAAACTTATGAAGCAACTATTAAATGTATAAATTCAATATCGTGCACTTTCAACTTATTACATTCAAAGATGATTCGTTAACTTGACTATTCTCTTAATTGAAATTTATAAATAAAAATAAGACTCATATTGTTATGCGATATCAAGATATCATACCAACAAAATTATAATTTAATATAATTAATATTTTTTCATCGACTTCAATAAAGAATGATTAAGCAATATAATTGTTGATAATAATTGGTTTAAATTAAAAGACAGATGAAAAAACATGAGTGTACGCGACACTATACATAACCTCAAAGAAGCATAGTGTAAAGTGTTGACAATGTTACTTACTGCCCCATTTAATCTCTGTAAGACAGGAATCTTGTCCCTGTTCGCAGGTTTTAATAGTATTGAGACACTTATCCCGATTGCCCTCCTGATCCGTGCAAACGTAACACTCCAGGGCGTGGCCTGCGATAAAAATATAGAAAATAACAAAGTATGAAGAAGCAGACTGCAGAATGTTCGAGATTAAATCACTTACCGAATGACACGCATGAGATAACGAGTAGGGCGAAATGCCACTTCGTAAAATTCGACATTTCGATAAAATAGTACAATTTATCGCGAGACAACAAGCGAGTTATAAACTATACGATCAGTCAGCTTCGAACGCGCTGACAGATCTCCCACGAGTCAGTGACGTATCATCGCAGAGGCGCATAAAGATCCCTGGAAGCTTGTCAGGAAATTTAAATTCTTGCTAGAAAATTTTTAAAAATATTTATCCTTACTTTGTCAATTTTATTTGTTATAAAAAATAATTTTTTTAAATTATCAAATCATCAGATAATCAGTTGAAAAAATATAATCGGATGTATAATATTTAATTATATACTTACTTTGAAATTTTTTCTTACTTCTGAGTTTTCAAATAATGTAAGTGTTGGATAAAAAACTGAAAGATTAATTGATAATATTGAAGAAAGAGCTCTAATTCTCTCCCATTTTATCGAATTAAAACTGTAGTTCATAAATAGGAAAAATGGCTAGATTTGTGTTTTACACACAAAAATACACAATATTGTAAACTTATTATAAACTGAGTTTTATTTTGACACGATATCCGGTCAAAATATTAGACATATTTTTTCTCGTTTTATCAAGAAATAATAAAATAAATAATTCGACTCACATTTCGACGATTATTCTCCGGTCTCCGCGTATCCTGGATTCCTCGCCGGCATCATTTTTCCTGCAGGAAACCAACCTCTGCATCGGGAGCTGTCTATGTAGAAGTTTCGAAACACTTGCACTCGCGTTACATTTTTTCGTTCGCGACACCCGAGTATTTTAACTACGTCGAAAACGCCTACTTCGATAATATATATATATATATATATATATATATATATATTTTTTTTTTCTCGTCCTTTCTAAATATCTTCAGCTGGGGGTCAATTGTGTAATTTTTTTCTTAAAGTGAAAACGTGAAAAGTGAAAAATGTTCGCCAATCACGTATTGATTTTAAAAGAAAATCGATGTGCGATTGAAAGAAATTTACTTTTCACGTTTTCACTTTAGAAAAAGTTACAGAATTGATACCCAGATTTATACAATAATTAAGGGTCGGCAGGCGACATGGTGGAGACGCCTATCGGCCGGCCGGGAATTACGGATTCTTATTTTCCAGATATTAGCGAAAATATTGAATGAATCTTATTAAATTTAGGATATTCTTAATCAGTAAGCTCATTTGTAGTCCTCTAAAGAGCTATTTTATGAAAAAAAGATAAAAATAAAATTTTTAATAAACTTGGGGGAATGCACAGCTAGGAACGGGTAAGGTTGGGTTAGCCGCGAGTCCGTATTTTATTTATTATAAATTTTTAAGAGCGAAAATGTAAAATCCGGCCTTTTAGAGGACTGCTTTATTATATAAAGAATATATTAAAAAAAAATTCACGAAGTTATGTCACTTATTTTATGAAATATCTGGACGATAAGATTCTCACTAGATTCATAAGGAGCAGGGGAAATTTCTGTGGTAACATGCTGACTGCTTGACAAGGAGAGAGCATCATTCCATCTTTGTCTCTCTTACATCGCATATGTAGTAGCGTCCATGTAGGTACAAACACTAATACGTGAGCACACGGATGCAAATATTGAGAGATAATGTCAGCAAAAAGGCTATCATATTATTTTTATTTTTTTGTATATGTATGCATATGTAAATAAAGAACAAAAATAAAAACTATTTTAAGATGACATTTTATAATTAATTTTCTATATGTATTTGCATTTTATTAATATGTATTACATTTTTGATATGTTTTTAATTTATAATTTATATAAACATAAGTATGAAATAAAAATTGAAATAGTTCTGAAAATAAGTATATTAATGATAAAATTATTCAAAACAATAAAAAAATTAAATTTAATATTTTTTAGTGTTTGTACCTACATGGACGCTACTACATATGCGATGTAAGAGAGACAAAGATGGAATGATGCTCTCTCCTTGTCAAGCAGTATTAAAAGCCATATTAAAAGCTCTAGCTTCATTCAATTAATAATCCAATATAATAATCAACAATTATTTTTATATAATATATAGTATTTTTAAATATTTTTAAATATTTAAAAATATTTTTTTTAAGATTAATTGAGGAAAAGAATATTTTAAATATAAAAAAATATTTTAAATATTTTTTTTCAATTAATTTTTAAAACAAATTTTTAAAAATATTTTTATATATTCAAATATTTATTATATTATATAAAAATTATTGTGAATTATACTCATTGGAGTAATAATTATTGATTGAAGCTTGTTATGGCACAAACTGAACATCTTGTACATTGTCTGTATAATATTTTACTTATTTATAAAATGTTTTTTATAAATAAATGAAATATTATATATATATAATATATAAGATTATAATATATAAGATTATTGATGTTACATTGTATAACTCTCATTTCTTTCTCTCTGCTACATAAGTACTTATGACGTGAAAGAACTTACGAGTAACGTATGATGGCTCAATGCAAGAATATTTAATCACGTAAAAAACTTGAGTTCAAATATATCAATATCAATTTTTTTATAATATATTGGAATATAGAAAATCATAGAAATATATTTTTTATATAGGCGATAAACTTAAAAATTTGATATTGAAAATATTTTAATCATTTTACAACTACACATACTATAAATATATAAATGCAAAATAATTCCGTAAATAAATTTCAAGTAATAAATCAATTGCACACATGCACACAGCTGGTATGTAGATTTTTATTAAATTTATTTTCTGAATTATTTTACACTTATATATAGTGTATGTAGTAAAAATATTTTCAATATATTAAAAAATTTTTAAATCGCCGAAATATTTTTTTATCATTTTTCTATATTCTAATATATATATATATATATATATTAAAAAAATTGATATTGATATATTTGAACTCTAATTTATATACTGGATGATATACTGAACATCCTTGCATTGATTATACATTACTCAACGTTCTTTCACGTTATAAGTATTTGGAGCAAATTATACAATAGCATCAATAATCAAAAAGAAATCAAGAATATAATCAACATATCCCTTATATAATATATATATATATATATATATATATATATATATGTTTATATATATACGTTATGCACATATGTGCATAACCATATATACTTCCAAAAAGTGGGTGCTTATTAGTTTTGCTACGTTACTGCTTTCTGCTACGGAAGGCCAGAAAGCATTTTCAGGCGGCATCTCGCGTATACCGGCACGGTAGATGAACAAGGAGAACACGTGATTATCGGTCCTTGTCTCTCTTACGTGTGTCCGCGTGAGCGATGCAGTTGGTGTATGTACGTGTACAGACATACACCACTACATAAAACCCGAGAATTGGTTTCTCGGCGTTGGCAACACTGAAACCGGAGTTTCGTGTTGTCACCGCACGAGGTCTCCAATATCAATTCGGAGTTTGCCTGGGTGTACTGCCGACCCTTAACGACGCAAAGATATCAATTAATATACTCACGCGCGTATTTTATGGACCGGTAACGAACGCATGAACGTTGAGCAGAAACAATAAATGCACCAGAGGGCAGCAGCAATCTGGATTGTGTTTGGAAATGCATTCACCTAGAGTGAAAATCTCGATCGATCAATCAGGATTCAGAACAAAGATATCCTCGGCCTCTGATTGGTCGATCGAGCTCTTCGCTCTAGGTGAATGTATTTCCGAACACAATCCAGATTGCTGCTGCCCTCTGGTGCATTTATAGTTTCTGCTCAACGTTCACACGTTCGTCGCCGGTCCATAAAATACGTGTGTGAGTATATTAATTAGTATCTTCCCTCGTTAATTACTGCATAAATCTGTTCGCGTCGCGCGTCCCGCCATTGCAATCGCGATCGCACGGGCGAGATCGACCTCGTCGGCCGAGAATCTCGCGTAATCGCGCGTCTCGCGTTCGGGCCTCCGAAAGACCGCGTGACGTCACGCTTCGCCGCTCGAGCCGCCTGAAGTTCGCGCACGCGAGTGGACAGAGTCGGATCGCGGGTACAACCGGGCGCTTTCGGCGCGAAAATTTTCCGGGTTTTTCGACGTTGTCGATCGTACTTCCAGCGGGCGTTTGCGCGTTTCCGCTCGTACTTTCGCGACATCGTGTCGGAGCATCGTCCCGCGACGAATGAAACTCGCAATCTTCGTAAAAATCGCGAGGGTCAGCCACGACGGATCGCGCCGCCATGATGCTATTGTCTTTGTCCAATATATCGTTCGCCGGTCTCTTTCTCGCGCGACGTCGAGTCGGAAATATTTAGCGACGAGCGAGAAGTACACGTGTCAATCGTATAATATCGAACTACGCGACGATCGCGAGGGTTTACGATGGCCTGGAAATGCTTCTCGTTTCGCGAAGCGCCGGGATTCTCGGGACTCGTCCGAGGAGCTGATTCTTGGAATCGCGTCGGCGCAGGTGGCCGGGCGATTCTGGGTATTCGCGGTGGCCATCGCGATCTTTATCTCTCCGAGTCGCGGCGATTTTTCGGCGCTCGATCGTTCGGAGATATCGCGCGTCCGTACCTCGGAAATCGCTATCGACATCGCGTATTTCTTCGAAATTCGGCCAGGTTTTTTCTCCGAGTAAGCGATATTTTCGCGACGTCGTTGAAAATATCGCGCTCGACGATAAATAATCGGCGAGGCTTCTGTGCGCGATTTGTGTCGTCGAATAGTCAGTGGAATATATATAAGATATAGTGAAGTGTCGTGACCGATTCGGGAATATCGGCTTGGAAAAAAAAGCGGCGACGCGAAAAAAGGAGCATCGGTTTTATTCGCGCGCGAATAAGCTCCCGCGTTTTTCGCGTTTCATCGAAACGCGTCGAAAATGTGATAATTAAAATAATCCGGACGTCGCCGCACGTCGAACGAAAAAAAGTAACGTGAGTGCAAGTGCTTCGAAGATCTTCTACGAGGAGAAGGTGACATCGGGTAGCAGCGGAACAACTATTTGGTAATTTATTTATTATTTATTATTACTGTTTTTACTATTAATTTAATGTAAATTATAATTTTCTTTTTCAAAATGTTAATTATTTTAAATTTCTATGCCATTATAATTATGTATTATATACTATATTTATTATAGTTATATATATATTTTCTTGTATTTGTTTACAGATTACAACTTATTGTCAGTTTACGGTGCTGCGCATCGGTGAGTCTCGATTTTTGTTTAATTTAGGATAATAATTTTGCGAAAATCCTCTCCGATTTTGCCGAACTTTACAATATTGTGTAAAACACGAATCTGTAAATTTCAAACCCATTATAACTTTTCCCACTTAAGAACGACAATTTTAATTTACAGATTTGTGTTTTACGCGCAAGAATACACAATATTGTAAACTTTACAGTTTCACAGAAAAGACGAAGTTCTTCCTCGAAGTATTATAAAACGTTATGGTTTTTAAATGCTCGATCTTTTAAGATTATTTTATACAATATACTATACAGTAGTATTCTTATATACTTGCAACTTCATATTATAATATTTTGTATTTTGTTCATATTTAATAAATAATTATAATCTAGTTGAATTTGAAACTATATTAATTGAGAATAACTTTAAATAATTATTCGTTTTACTAAAGTAACAGAATTACTTTTACTATAATATCGTTAGATTATTATCTTTTCGAAAAGCTTTTCTCAACTCAATTTACTCAAACAACATTAAGATTAAAGTTTCTGAAAGATTGCCATTTAAATGTTATAACTGAGTAAATCTACTTTTTATTTTTTTTCATATTTCATAAAAATATGTATCTGAAATATTCATTATGATTACTTTTTGTTTGCAAATATTTTTAATATTTCGTCTTTTATCTTCATTAGATAAATGCATCTATTTCATCGAAATTCTGACCAATTAATTGAATTAATTGAAATTGAGTTTCTTTATCTGTTTATATCATAGAAAATATGCTTATATATCATATCACTAACTTGAAAAATATAAGTAAACTCTTATATTTTTATAAATAATTATAATACACGCATAATAACGTGTGTGTTTGTGTCCATAAATTTCTTTTTAAAATATAAAATATATTTTCCCGAATTTGATGCTTCGAGGAAAATTACATATGTAATTGGTACATATGCAAATTGATCCTCTCCTTGAAAATTTATCGGTCCCTTGCCTTGATAGAAAACTCGATTAGTGCATAAATGTAAATCTATAATCTGATAATCTGTATTATTATCGTATATGAATAACGGAGAATCGGCGAGAAATGCATATTACGTTGCATGCAAATATCTTTCGCGCGAGTTATATAATATAATTGGCAATGCTCGATCGATCGAATCATCCGCTATAATCTGGCGGGAATTCGACGGAAAATGACTGAATCATTTCGTGTCACTATAAATCCATCCCTGGAATCCCTTCATCCTCCCATCAGGATATCGCATAATGTCGTGGCTCTCGTATGACATAACCGCGCCATTTTCTTGCTCATATAAATTCCAGAAAGAAGAATGCGCAAACATTTCTAAATCGCTAAATCGTGTGTGTAAGATGGAAAATGTTCATTACATTAATGGAATATTTAAATGTCCCGTTTGGACAATAAGCAAAATTAATTGCTCTCGCTCGATAATCTGCTTCGATTCGAATTTCGAATATATATATATATATATATATATATATATATATATACACATTTAATTACATACGCAATTTAATTGTACCAGACATTTTAATTTGATTATTCAATTTGATAATTAATTGTCACGTAGAAAGAGAGAAGGAAAGAGAGAAAAAGAAAGAGAAAGAAATACGTGTTTGCGAGGCAATTTCCTCGACGGTGCGGTGACTCGTTTGATTTGCGAAGCGCGTCCTTATTGGGGTGAAGCTTTACTTACGCGATGTCCTGCGGGATGTCCTGCGGGATGTGGACATTCCGGGACACGGGATATCCAGGACGTTCACGTTTTCCACACGAGTGTGTGTGTTGTACGAGCGCTGTCTCTCTCTCTCCCTCACTCTGTGTATGGTCACGTTATTAAAAATAGCCCAGGGGTATTATTGACCCGCACGTCACAACTTGGGTTACAGTTTTTCCGGTTGACCGGCTTAGGATCAAGCTATAGCTCGTCTCTTTAACGCGAAGCGCATTACAAGAGCTGCGAAAAGATGGCGACTACCATCAGCTATATACTTTTGTCTTCTATTTTACATGAGAAAACAAATCTTGTATTAACCAAAATTCTGTTCGAAAATGGACGAAACATCATTACTGATTGAATTTATCAGAATTCTTTTTAATGCAACAATTAATTTGCAATTAATTTACTATGTACATATTAATATTTTCTATTGTGGTAAATATTAATCAGAGAAATTCTTATAAAATACCTCCAGTACCATGATTTTTTAGGGTAAATTCTAAGAGAAAAAATATCTCGTTTGCACAATTAATTTGTTGTTGCATTAAAAGGAATTTTGGGGCAAATTCAACAAGTAATTCTGTTTCGGCCATTTTCGAATAGAATTTTTGTTAATGCAACACAATTTTTTTTCCAATGTAGGACACTTTCCTTTCTTAAACGACTTTTAGTCCATATATATGTGTTTTCCGCAAGAGAGAAACCGCGATCGATGGGGTGAATCGCGATGGTCAGTTCCTCGAGCAAGATAATCGTCGGTCCGAAACTCGGCAGATGAAGCCCAGCGTGAATCCGTTGCATTATCATTGAACACGATCGCATTACATTGTTCCCATTATCGTGGCACGCTCGGCCCATCCTCCCCTAGCGAAATTCCGTGTCATCGATTTTATTATCATTCCGCCATTTGCGATATATAAAGTCTGCATGTCTTTATCTATAGATTTTTTTATTTTTTATCTTTAAATATACTTTGCGCGCGTTTATACACAGAGATAATTTTCTCTTAGAATTTACCCTGAAAATCATGGTATTGAAAGAATTTTATGAGTTTCTGTGATTGATATTTACAATAAAAATATTACTATCTATCACAATAGGATACAAAATTTACTATGTTTATATTAATATTTTTTATTGTGGTAAATATCAATCAGAGAAACTCTTATAAAATTCCTCCAATACCATATGATTTTCAGAAAATAAATTCTAAGAAAAATCTCCGTAGTAAGCGCTGTTCATAAAAATTACGTCATTGACAGATGTCGACTGTAAAATGTGTCACGTGCGTCTGTAATTTTCGCGGCTTTATACGTACCTATATTTTTTTACATTTAAGAAAATATTTGAAGAAGTTACTATATCGAAATTAGACATAAAAAACATTTGAAATTAAATGCATAAAAAGCAGTTGAGGAAGCAGTTAAAATAACAAACGAATAATAATGCGAAGGATATTCCGCGGTTGAAGTACAATCAACAGGGAATAAGTTCAACGCGAATATAAAGTTTTAATTAAAATATAAATATTTATATGACACACAAAATATATCTATGTGTGTTTCAAGAAAAAATTAGATATAAATCGCGCGCAACGCGCGCGTTCAGAAGCCACCCCGTTGAAAAGCGGCGCGATTGCAGCAAACCGCAAGTGACGTATGAAAAATACGAGATCGTCCGACACCATCCGACACTGGACAGCGTCTGATGCGACGCTCTGGACCGCCGGAGGCTGCTAAATACGAGACCGAGTCGTGCATTTCCGCAGGCGGGTCGAAGAGGGCCGAGCGCGAGGCGATGCGATTCCGCAGCGTAAAATTGCAATGCCGCGCGTATATGCATGTTAAACCGCGGATCATAGAATCGTCCACTCGCGAGGGTCGATCTCTATCTCGTCCTACGTTTTCGGTCCGAGCGATCGAGCACCATCCGTGCTACATAGATAAGAGCGAAAGGGAGGGAAACGGACACGCGCGAAAGTCTGGTTAAGCTGGCTAGGGGGTGGCGCCGCCATCATATCATCCCCCCGTTTGCAGGGAGCCGTTCCTGGGAAGAGACCAGGAGGAGAGTACGATCTGGACACCGATAGATCGCAGGAAGGAAGGAAGGAAGGAAGGAAGCGAGCAAGACAGGGGAGAAATATGGTACGCGCTTTTTCCTTTCCCATCCTTCCCATCTCTTCCACCCTCTTCGTAGCGGCCGCGTGCGGGTCTCGTGGTCGGCGGATGTCGATATTCGAGTGCGCGGCGCAGGCTGAGCAGTGTCGAGTCGCTGCGCCGAGAGTCTAAAATTATCAGGTAGTCCGCGCGACGTTAGAAGAGCCAGGGGCGAAGAGGAAGAAGAGAAAGAACAGAGGCCGCGCAGCATATTGGACGAGGATAGCCACGACTTAAGAGAGAGAGAGAGAGATACGTTGCGCGACAGCTATAATCCGCCGCGGGACGACGGACGGATCAGTGGCGACGAGGAAAACGCGAGGTGGTGCTGATAGCGGGAACGAGACGGAAAACTGGAGCAAGCTAGTAGGGGAAGAAAGAGGAGAGAGAGAGAAAATTATTCAGGGGTGAGAGAAAGGAGCAAGAGAGAGAGAGAGAGAGAGAGAGACCTAGCGTGAAAGGAGAAAAGTGGGCGTTGGACAAGGAGGTGCGATTGCATATTCAGCCGATAGAGGGAGCGCGAAACGGAAGAGAGACAGCGCGACGCGCGGTATATAATACAAGTGTAGTAATCGGCTAGTACAAATGTAGAATAGAAACGAAAGAGAAAGAGAGAAGGTGCGTGTTTCACGAAGGAGGGAACTAGAGAGGCAGACAGAGACCGAGTCAAGTAGAGTCGATGCCGTGCAAGCACGATATGCGCGATAGAAAGAGGTAACGTGCGCTGTACAAAGCGAGAAGACACGTAGAGTGACGTAGAGAAATAGAGAAGGAGAGATTCCCGCGCAAAGCCGGAGCGAGACGGAAGGAGCGAAAGCGCAGCCTGGCGGCACCATACAAGAGCGAAAGAGAGAGCCGACGTCGCGGGAGAAGGACCTTCAGAAGACGGAACAAGGAGAGCGCTCTATACCTAACACCTAGAGACCTGAACGTCGTTAGGCTACAACCGAGGAACCGCGCGCGCTGACGTCGACGGAGACAGCGTCGTTAGATCGTTCCTCCGTCTCTCTCTCTCTCTCGCTCTTCCCCCACCCCCTTTCGCTCTCCCACCCCTCTTCGTCGTCCGTCAGGCACCGTCGCGCGCGCGAGACATACCGTCGTCGGTCGGTGCGCCGTGTGACAGCTTTCGCGCGCGGTCCTCTCTCCGTGCGAGTTCGATCGTCGTCGTCGTCAACAACAACTCGGGGAATCGCGGCAGCCGAGTGTCGCCGAGAGGAGACGCAGAACCGCGATCTTGAAGGTCTCTCTCTTTCTCGAGGAGAGGCCGGCGTCCCTGACGACGAGCTTCTCGCGTGTAGCTCATCATCCGGACATCGTCGATTGATCGTCGATCAGCAGCAGCAGCAACAGCAGCATCACCATGGCGGACGACGACACGTGCGAGGACTCCCTCGGGACCGGCGACAACAACACCTACTTCGCCAAGAAGCTGCGGGGCCGGAAGGGAGCCCTGAAGAAGAAAAATGTCTACATGGTCAAAGATCACAGCTTCATGCCAAGGTTCTTCAAGCAGCCCACCTTCTGCAGCCACTGCAAGGACTTCATATGGTGAGTGGATGATGGATATATACATCGATGTCTTCTCTTGTTGTGGACTCTTCGTCCTGAAACTTTTGGTTGTCCCGCGCGACCCGTTATTTTGCGTCTTCCTGTTTACTTGATATCAAGGATGCACCAGGACGCGTCGATTGGCTCGTTCGAATTTTTTTTCTCCTCTCCGTTGCATCTACGATACATCGATACTATATGCGATGAATCATTAACTAGAATCGATTAACCTTTAGGAAGACCAAGAAAGAAGAGATATATCTAGTTTGTGAAGGTTGATGAGTTAGTTAGCTCGAGAAAGAAGAAAAAGAACTTATATATTGAGAAGCGAAAGAAATTGTGTTCTACAAAATTTTTGCTCCAAATACTTCGCTTTGAATGATAACTTAAGATCAAAGCGTACGAGTTTACAACTTTCCCGGATTCGCTGCGCAACCATGCTCTTCGGATGATACTATTCGTATTTTCGGCTTTGACTCTGGTACTAGTCGTTACTATCATTAGCTTCTTATTATTATTCGAGCGCATTCTCTCGAATAGACGGAGGCTGGGTATGAAGGCCTTTTGCTCTCCATACGTAAACGTGTCTATGCGTCGGATGCGTTCCAGTAACGATCGAGTTTGCATCCCCGGGAGAAGAGCAGGTGAACGCCTCTGGGGGGAAGCTCATCACGAAAGGGGGTGGCTTGGACAGGCCTGCTAGACTAACAAGAAATGTTTATAAACATTTCCCTGGCGATTGTACCATAACCGAATAATTGATGTATTTATCATTTCAGGATGTTGATTTTTTTTTTAATTTTTAAATGATCGAATCATATGAACGGATTATAAATTCTTTCAAATTAATGCTCGAAATTGTGAAAGGATTAAAATTATTTTCTCAATTTTCATTAAAATCGAGAAAGGTCTATAAACATTTTTTTTTTCTTAAAAAATGCCCGATGATTTTTATCTTTTAATATTTAAACTTTATATATACATACACATATACATATATACAGGATGTTATAAAAGTACCGGAACAGCAGAATAAGTCGACAAATATGAGTTCTAGAAAAAATGTTAAGTACTGGATTTTTATGATTTTTTTTCATAAAAAATTATAAAAACCCAGTATTTAACATTTTTTCTAGGATTCATATTTTTCGAGTTATTCTGCTGTTCTGGTACTTATATAACACCCTGTATGTACAAATATATACCTGGAGAGAATTTTCCCTTAGAATTTCAACGGAAAATCATAGTAATCGTGAGCCAATATAGTACTGGAAGAATTTTATAAGAGTTTCTCTGATTAAATATTTACCACAACAAAAAATATTAATATGTACATAGTAAAGTTAATGGAACATATTTTGTATCTTATTGTGGTAAAGGTAAATATTAATATTTTTATTGTGATAAATATTTAAACAGAGAGAAACTTATAAAATTCTTCCAATATCATATTGTCCCACGATTACCATGATTTTCAGTAAATTTTAAAAGAAAATTCTCTCTGTGTATAAAAGATCAAATGTAAAAGAGAAATAAAAATCCATCGACATTCTTAAAAAAAATATTTGTAGATACTTTTTTCTCAATTTTGACGAAATTTCAGAAAATAATTTTAGTCTTCTTATTTTAAACTTTTTTACATATATGAAATAACTATAATGTCATTGCTTTATTTTTATGCTGATTGTAAATGTTGCGAATAGAGAATAATCGTTACTTGACGTTATCAAGGCGCTCTAATCTCCCTTTATCTATTTATTTTTCTTGAGTCTCATTAATTGTAAAGTTTTAGACCATGAAGTTTTACGATATTTACAATGGTATTATACAATATAATACAAAATTAATGCTCTCTATCGAGTGGCATATACGAACGATGTCTTTCTCTCTCCTCTTTAACTGAGTATCTCTATTCGATTAACATTTGACGTAGAGAGATATCGTTTAATATCTCAATGTTTTTTTCTGATATTTTTAGGATATGCTGTGTATACGTTGTACATAATATTTTCTCTGTTGTCAAGATTGCGTGTGAAAATTTTATTCAGCGCAATTAAAATCGCACTAGGGATATTCGTGAGATAATGCAGGAAAAAACGCAGAAAAAGCATTTGCTCCACTGTTTCTCTCACTCTCTCTCGCTCTCTCTTTCTCTCTTTCTCTTTCTCTCTGCTGGATCGTTAATCTGCTTTTATGCATGCCGCTTCTAGCTATATATCTTCGGACCTTCGACAGCATATTGATAATGGAGTTTGGGGTTAATTATAAGTAGAGAGAGAGAGAGAGAGAGACACTCAATTCCCTCAGGGTAATGTGGCCTTTTTCCGGTAACCTCGCCCATGTTGCAATTTAATGAAATTATAACGCAGACAGTTGTTTTTTTTCTGTTGTTAATTGCAATCCTTGACAAAATATGTATACACATATATCGTCTGTTAATTAAAAAAAAAAACGAAAAAAAAAACGAAAAATAAATGTTTTTCGCGTCTCTTTTACAGATGAAATAATTTTTCATATATACAGTTATTGATCTTTGCACCGCGATTTGTGTAGTGCGTGAGAAATCGGTTCGCGAGAGTCGTCCTGTTTACCCGAGACTTCATTTGATCTTTTCGTAAATGTTTACGAGACTAATGGGGGCCGATGTGTTGTAACAGATCGAGCTTCTTCTCGCGTCACGACGAGATATATACCGGTCATCTTCCTCTCTTCATCTCGTGACGGACGCACAGATACATAAATCCAGTCAATAATGCTCTTCGGGTCGGCCGGAACGACCAATAGTTAAACACTCCGTCCTTGACGCATACTCTCGTCGTTTCTTCCTCTATCCCATCAGAATTAGAAACCACGATTACAAGAAACGACGACGCTGTTGGGCACTTTCCGTCTTTGCGGAATGCGTGCGTGCGTGCCGACCTCTCGTAGAACGCATATTTCGACAGAGGCATCCTTGACTCACCCTCTCTCGATATCATATTGATGAGAAAATTTAGGGTGCGTCTCGGTGACAAGGTATAATTGGGTCGAGCACGATAGACGTGAATTTATCTCTGTTATTCTATTTTTATATCTTTTTTTATTCGAAAATCTTAACATTTCACGTTAGTCATAATCGTGATTTTTGTTAGCTCTATTAAAGTATTTTTCAACTCGTAGAATTATATAATCGTGTAATTTCACAATGGGACTCTAATTAGTGCGCCACTTTAATTAGTAAGCAGAGTAAAATACTCAAGGTTTATTAAGAGTGTATATGAGTTCACGGATTTATGAATCTCTAGTTTATAAATTTTTAAATCTTTAAATAATTGACAATATTTTGTAATGTTTATTATTTTGTAACGTTATTCAAAGCCTTATATATGCCCATGATTCTTTCGTATTTAATTCTAATGTGATGAATTTTATTCAGCGTGGAAAATTTCTCTAGGGTTTCTTTTTTGCAATATTTTATTTATATATGCGAAGGAAAAGGTAGAATAGCGTAAATAATATAAAATATAAATACTTTATACGAGATATTAAGATTATCTAATTTTTTTTTTGTTGACGTGATCACACAATTGATCTTAAAACTCTCTTTTTTTAAATCGGAATTTTTTTGAAGAATTAACGCACAGTTGACGTATTCTTTTTAATTGTTTCTATTTTAAACATTCATACGATTTGACGTGTTGACGCCTGCAACGTCAAAATAGATAGGACAGTCCATTTGGACACTCTATATCATATCAATATTCATAACGACAGCGACCAATACTATTGAGGATAGGAAAATTAATGACCAATTGGTTTTGCTCGATCATCGACAATTTTTTTCATAAAAGTTCATATATCGTATATCTAGATTGATAGATATCGATATTTAGGTGTTGTTTACCTATTCATAAACTTAACCGATTTCAAAATTATAATATCTTTATCTAAAATTTCTATCAAATTTAGCATTTCCATTATGCAGAATCAAAATATTTTTTAACTTTCTTACCCATTGTTTAATCACAAGATTCTCGAGAGAGATTGATCGATTCTTCTCACTCGCGATTAATTTTAACTATTAATTTCGTCGAATTCGCGAAATAAAATGTTCTTTCTTTATTTCGTCGCAAAACGACGCAATGAAGAGATTCGCTCGATATTCCTAACGAAACCATTATCAAATCGGACATCTTGATTTGTATGTAAAGATATGTTGCGAGGAAAAAATTCGTGATGATATTGTATGATTTACCGACGATTGCGTGACCAACGAATCTCTGATGAATGATGACTGTCGCGCTGTCGCATTCGTTATTGCATGACGTTTCGCGACCGCGAGACGCATGCATCACGACGGCGAAATGCATTTTGCGATGACCCGCTGCACTTCCCGGGTCGCTCCCGCCGTACGCTTGCACCCCTGCGTCGGTCTCTTCGACCAGTCTGCACTTTCGCTCGTATGTACCCGATGATGTTCGTGCTGAAACCAAGCATGCGTTATTGACGTTAGGATCCAAATATAATTTCAAAATACAAAAAAGGAAAAAACAATATTTTCATACACATCTATATCTGTTCAGAGGTAGTTTTAAATAAATAAAAAAGAAATACTACGAAATAAGCTATTATGATAATATTGAATTGCGTCTATATTATTGTGTTTCTTTTGTTTTTATATAAAATTACCTCAAAAAGATGGCAAGTGTCAATATTTTTTTTATCTATTTTATTTTAATATTGAATACTAAAAATGGAGTTTCCTAGAATTTTCAATTGTAATCTTTCTCTTTCTTTTCTGAATGTCTGTCCTTTTGGGACGCAAAATATGTGTTGCCTTTTTCTTGCCTTCTCTTTTTTCAATATTTTATTTCAATTCCCGCAGAAACATTAAAAAATTGCTATAATAGAAAAAATTTCATATTGTGTCATGTCTAAACTATCGAAACTTTCAAAGTGATTATTATTGATAACGAAAAGTTCGCAACTAACTGTAATTTTAAATATTATATATTCTACAT